GTTAGTGTCACATCTCTGGAATGAAGAGCGAAAAAATTCTCGAAGAAAACCAACAAAAGAGGCACATCAAAGTCGTGCCATGGTGCTTAGCGAGGAAAAACACGGCGAAAGGCAAAAAAAAAAAAGAGGACGGAGACTACGCGGTGTGCTAGACGAGCGTTGTCCACTGGGCGAGCAATGGACAGCGCTTGACTAGTGTACCGCGTATTATTCGCCCGTGCATTACCGCGTATCATTCGAGCGTGCACCAACTCGCCCAAATCGAAGTCCTACATTAAATCCAATCACAAGTAGATATCATTTACTGTCACGTCCCGGGGCGATCGGATCCCTTTAGTTCGTGTAGCTTTTCTTCATATTGAAGCATGGCAAAAGACGAGGCACACAAACAGACTTGACAACACGAGCGCTGTTTCGATGTGAACGCAAACCAACAAGCCCAACTTGGTGCAGTTTTTTCTTGTGCGAATTGTTTTCGATTTGGTCCTAGAAACGTTATAACTCAGCGCTCACAGTACTCGCACGCGGTTCAGGTATCTGAAAATGACACTACAGAAACAAAATAACTTCTGGGTTTAACGACGTCGCAAAACCACCATATGATAATGAGAGACGCCGTAGTGGATTGATTGATTGATTGATTTGTGGGGTTTAACGTCCCAAAACCACCATATGATTATGAAATACGCCGCAGTGGAGGGCTCCGGAAATTTCGACCACCAAGGGTTCTTTAACGTGCACCCAAATCTGAGCACACGGGCCTCTAGCATTTTCGCCTCCATCGAAAATGCCGCCAGGATTTGATCCCGCGAGCTGCGACTCAGCAGCCGAGTGCCTTAGCCGCTAGACCACTATGGCGGGCAAGCAAAAATTAAGGCGAAAGCCGTATATGTCTCATCAGACAACAAAATCGGCGTGATGGCGAAACGATACGAAATGTACCACGTGACCTCAAGCGCTAGCAGCGCGTTCACTCTGTCTTTGAAATCTGTACTAAGAAATCAGTAGAAATTGCCACTGCAAAAGAAAAAAAAATACCCTTTCCCACATCTTACATACAGGTCATTTCTGAAGCAGATTTGGTGCCTGACGTCAGTCTGGACGGCAATTTTGAAATGTAGTTTTACACAGTTAAGTTTCAACAGACGGTGGCTACATGGTGTGCCTTACGAGATCAATACTTGCCTGCGTAGCTTGCGAACATGCATAGTACGCAAATAAAAAAAAACAAAAAGTCATGTGCGCGTCGCAAGCGAGAGAGGCTCTTGGGCCGCCACGTGTTTGAGACTCCAAGCTCGAAATGCACGTCGCAGACAAGACGGTCGAGAAACCCGCCGTGGTGGCCTCGTGTTCTGGTGCTTGACTGCTCAGCCGAAGGTCGCGGGTTCAAATACCGGCCGCTGAGGGCAGCATTTTCGATGAAGGGCGAAAATGCTAGATGCCCGCGTACTTAGGTGCACGTTACAGAACCCCACCTAGTGGAAATCATTGGAGCCCTCCGCTACGGTGTCCCTCATAATGATGTCGCGGTTTTGGGACGTAAAACCTCGACAATTATTCTAAACAGTGAGCTTACGATTCCCAAATGAACAACAGAGTTATCAAAGACTAATTAAGTTAGTGTTTCACTCAGGCATCCGTTTAGTGGATGTAGCAGGGAAGACGGCCAACGACGCAGCTATCACGACGACCCAGTAAGCAACGAAAAACGGGACTAATAAAGAATAACAAAAATCAAAGCACGCAGGTGCACAGCGAGCCTAACGGGGGAAGCACGACCTGCAAAGCAGCATGCGGGGAAGCCTAACGGGGAGGGAACGCCGCGGTTGCGAATAACAAAAAAAAAAAGAAATAAAAAAAGGCACTGCGAGCATCACGTCGATGACCTGCGTGACCTCCGGCACGCCGTTCGCAATATTCGCGCACGCTCCAGATGAAAAAACTGCACGCCTCGTTCACGCCACGCGCGTAATTTTTCAGCTTTTTTTTTGGGGGGGGGGGGGAAGGGGGGGGCGGACGCAACAACGCCGTCAAACGCAACGCATGCGGTGGTGTAAGTACATCTTGAGTAAGTAGATGCGTACATTCACACCGGCACAAAAGACCCGAAACAAATAATGTACTGCCCACTTTACTTTTTTTTTCCTTATGTGGAACAAAAAAAAAAATCTTTTTTTTTTCACTGGAAAGGTAGGCTACATTAAATTCCACTATACCATAACATGATGTTAGACACACACACACAAACTAGGACACACAAAACTTAACGTAGAAATAATGCGCAGAGTCCAATACAGCGTGGTCACTAAGACTGCCCCGGAAGAGTACGTACGAATAGTTAATAGGGAGTTTTAGCTTGTACGTACACTTCTTTACGTTACCGTGTTACCGGATACCGGATAGAATCTGCGCATGCGCGGGTCTTTACGGAACGTAAACCTTTACGTTTCCCTCCGGATCTGGTTTAAAAGTTTACGTTTCCGGCCATATAGACTTTACGTTTACAACCTTATCTCGCAAATACGTCTTCGTTCGTAGAAACTCGTGGTATGCGCATTGCGGGGACTCGAACCGTCGAGTTGCTATAAGCAGAAGTAGCTAAAGTGCGAGCGCCAATGGCCATTACATTGTTTCAGCCGGATTACCAAAGCTAGAATGGTCTAGAACATAAATGCCGTAGACGTGCGAATTCCAGAGAAGCTGGATAGGTGGTGCCATCTAGCGGGGCGATAGTGAACCAGGTAATCACAAAATTGTTATTGCAGAAACATTGAGCATTGTACATCTGATGCAAAAAACGCGCAGCGCCGTTATTACAAATGAGTTACCTTTTTAATCATTTTCACCTCAAAAACATTACGCGTAAGAACGTGTTCATGAATGTGGTTGCACGAAGTGTCACAAGATGTCGACACCATCGTTGCATTAGCCTTGTATTTTTCACTTTTTCGCGCATATGAGGATGCTGTACGCAATAAAAGAACGTCTCGTGATTTCACCACAATGGTGATTTAATCATATGTAAGGTGAATGCAGTTTATATGCAGTTAGCATCACCATTTATGGTTTGCGAAAACGTAAAGGTATACGCGTTTACGTACGTACGTGAAAATTTACGTATGAGGAGCTAACACGTTGAAAGATATCCGTTCCGGTAAGACGGTAAACGCGAAACGGTATCCGGTAACACGTTAACGTAAAGAAGTATACGTACAAGCTAAGACTCCCTAATAACACCATACCATAAAACAGAAAATACGTTGGCAAATATAAAAAAAAACATTTCACTAAAGTTTATCAAAAATCACAAACAGTGCTCACTTTTCTCGTGCACGGCAGACAAGTGCTCGAAAAAACCGCTGTCAACAAGTCGCGGGGGCGACGCAAATCGCCAACTAAAAACGCACGTAGAATGTCAGGGTTACCTTGGTTTTGTTTTTAGTTAGGAGCAGCACGACACAATAAAAAAAAATTGAACACCTCGTGTTCTTGCTTTTTCTGTAGCGTGTGCCAGAGTACAGCGCCCGTCCTGTTACATCTTCACGTGTTTTTTGTTTGTTTTTGCTAAAGTTGGCCTTGGTCAACTTTTGCAATTGCAACACGAACTAACCTCGCGTTCTACGTGCCAAACCCACGGTACCATGATGAGGCGCGCGGTAAAGAGGGTCGCCGGATTAATATTGACTACCTGGAGTTCTCAACTAACGTAAACAGATGTTTTAGCATTTCGGTTGCATTTCGCAACCACAGAAATGCCACCGGGAATCGAATCCGTATCATTGAGCAGCGCAGTGAACATTCATTCAAGTAGACAAGAATAAATCGTAACGCATAAAAAGTGCTAGATTGATCGGTGACATATGTCAAAGCCGCCTTGACAGGGCTGTACAAAAATTTGATCACCCCCCCCCCCCCCTCCCACACACACACAAAGAAAACGGAGAAAAGAAAGCGAGTTTAAAACTTATCCCCTTTCGGTACGACCCATCTGCGCAAGGGAAATGCTGGGGGAAGGGCAGCGGTCAAGTGTTCCACGGCGAGACAACGTATTCTCGGCACACGTGCGTCATTTATTTCCCAGAACTGGTCAAGAAAGACCCTCTAGGTGCGCGCCCAGCTTTTCGTCGCAGAAAGGTGCGCGACGCGCCGATCAAAGAGTAAGCACCTCAGCGACTACTACTCGCCGAGAAAACACCGACAAATTCTCTTCGGTGCCTTCCTCTCGGCATGCTAATCACAGACAAAACACGGCCCCATTTACTTCACGCAGCGCGACCACGAACACTTCGATCGACGCGATGTCTGCAAACTTCTTTTCCCCCTCCCGACTCCTACTAAATGAGCGTGTTTCGCATCGGAGACTGCGAAGCGCCCGCGGCACGAACGATAATGACCGAATACCGCTAGGCGGGTTCATGAGGAAAACAATCTCGGTCGGCTCGGGGCGCGCCCCATTCACAACACACGAAGTTGCGCCCAGTGAAGTCGCCTCCAAGGTCATAGCTTTGGCCGAGACGCCAAAGAACACATGCGACTCGAGCGCGGACGGAGAATTAATTAGCATAACAAATAACACCTTGAAGGTTACACGAGTATTACGGCCGCCCGTAACACCACCCGTCGAGTTTCAAGCACGCCACGCGACTTCTCCGAACTGTCACTCAAACCAAAACCAAGCGCGCAACAAGTCCGTGAGCAGCTGTTTCAAAATCATCCGACAACGGTCAAAGAAAACGCCCGCATTAGAAGCGCGCTTTACAGAAGCACGGAAATTCCGCGAACCAGTGGTTCTAGTAACGTAGCTAGCCTACGGTGTGTAACCCTTGCTAAGGGGCAACGCTAGCTAACATGTAACGACATTCTTTGCGTGACAACCGATACGGAATGCGATGACACCGACGGCGCATCCGTGATTGACACACGCGATCACGGACGAATAAATATGCAACGCAGGAAATGCGACAAGCGTCAAACAATAGGAGAACGGACTTGCAACTTACCTGCTTCAGCAGCACTCCTGTCAAAGCATCGCCATCTTGTCCCTACGTATAGACATCCGGGCACCTCAACAGGTAAGCGAACTTCCGGATTCGCGCAGGTACACGTTTTTCAATATCTTCACTTTTGTCAGTGATGGGCTAAAAGTAATCCTTGAAGTTGAATTTGCGGTCTAGTTCATCAGGTAAAAACGTGCGAGAGGTTGTTGTTCTTGCAAGTGGTGTGAAGCGTCTCTAACCATATTGCAGTTTTACGTTCCATTTTAAACATAGCCCTAAAGATTAACTGCGCACCTGCTAACACGCTAAATCTCGGAGGTCTTGCTTGAGGCACTTTTCATAAATAGTGCACAACTTCTTGTGCGCTACAATAACTAAATTTTCAAACATATAAAGTAAAAATGCCCATATTTGTATATTTATAACATAGTTCTAGGGGAAAAATTGTCATTTCGTTAGGTTGTAAACGAAACCGAAACTGCGGTTTCACCGCTCAGTCGTTAGGACTCGGATTGGCGTGTTATGTGCGCGCGGATAAATCTCCGTGTCATTCGTAAGCTTTGAAAAAAAAAAAAAAAAAGGCTACGAAGGAAGCGATACTGTGATGACAGGACCCGAAATTCACAAATACATTCAACACAGAGTCGACTTCACCGCGTTCGATGTCAAATGGATGCCGCAGAGCGCCAAATTCCTCGCTTTCGGAGTGTGCCCGGACGGCCAAGGAACCGTAAATGTGTACGAACTAGACGGCAGTTCAGTGAAGGAAGCGCAACAGGTGATCCTGCCTCCAATTGTTTTCTTTTTTTTTTTCCTTTTTGGCGGTTCTTTAATCCTTGCTTAATATTAATGCCGCAGCTTCTACATCCACGAGGGCGTGAAATGCGGTACCTTTGCGTCATCGAGTAAAGAGGAGCGCAATGTTACGACGGGCGGCTTTGACGGCAATTGGCGAATTTGGTGAGGCTCGTACTTCAGTTTTCAATTACGGGGACACTGTTCTGCCTTTGTAAATAAAACCAGGACAGAATCTTAACGCTGACTAATATAACAGAAAGGGCCCCACCACTGCGCTGAACGTACATACAATTTACTGAGAGACAGTTCACGTACTTGTATGCTCGCAACCGCGTCATGTGTCACTACCTTAACGCCATTTATCATGTTCTAAACTTCGATCAGAGGCATTTTACCTCTCTATCAGGTGGTAGTACCGACGCTGAGCTAACGCGCTGCTCGCCAACCACGTGAATCATTGCAGCTGCCATTATCTCGTACGTGTGTGCTTGCCCATTATATCGACCTCTTAAAAAAGTGTTGTCAAGAGCACTTGACATAGTGTAGCGGAAGGAAGCCCTCTCGACATTTTAAAAGGTTATTGTGTTCTCGAAATCTTGCATTCGCACATGTACCTGTGCAGCTTGAATGCAAACGTAGAAACAAAAGTTCCGCCCGCCACCTGAAGGTTGCGGGATCGAATCCCTGTCACGGCGGCCCCATTGCGATGGAGGCTCAAAGCTAGAGGCCCGTGTGCCATCTGCAACTGCGTCCCTCATACTTTTATCGTGGTTTTGTTATGTAAAACCGCAATAGCTATTGTATTAATAATTATAAAAACGAGTTACATGTCGCTTGGAACATCCTTTTTGTTTGAGTGTCCCCGTTCATCTATATTGACTTGTTTACGCACAGGGACGTCGAATGCCCTACTGAGCCCATCGTATCCATTAGAGGCCACAGCAAAATCATTAACTCAATCGACGGTATAGGCGACAGCAATGGCTCTCCAGCCGTAGTAACAGGATGCAAAGACGGTACGCAGTAATTGTACATTTACTAGCATGCTCTTTTTTGGCTTCACTGTATAAAATATGCGATCATTACGCATTTGTTGCAGGCTCTGTCAAAGTGTGGGACCCACGAAAGCCAGAACAACCAACGGTGGTTATGGAGCCAGCGCCGGAGCAGCAGAAGCTAGATTGTTGGGCAGTGTGCTTTGGTAAGTGTAAGAACCTGATAATGAGTTAGCCTGCAAATATTCCAAGGAACTCCTCACTTTTCATGTGCAAAAACCCTTCTTCAGGCAACGGATACAGTGCTGCGGAACGTTGCGTTTGTGCTGGATACGAGAATGGAGACATCAAACTTTTCGACCTCAGAAATCTCGCAGTCACCTGGGAGACTTGCGTCAAGTCAGGTGTAATTATCTTTCATCCCACCTTTCATTCCTGTTCACTGGTTTATCCAATCAAGACAACAACATGGGCAGGCATATTTTTGAATCACACCTGTTTTGTCGTCAACAGGTGTGTAGCTTGGAATTTGATCAGAAGTCCATCTACATGAACAAACTAGTTGCAACCGGAACGGGGTCCAAGATACACGTTTTCGATCTTAGGACAAAGCACCCGAAAAATGGCTTTGCTCAGCTGTCACATTCAGTGAGTACCGATTTTATTGTTCTTCTGTCGTAACATTTGGAGCTTCAAATTTAGTGTATCGGGGCAATGTAAACGGCCGTAGCATATACAAAATACAGATACCCCGCCTGCATTTTCGTATGCCAAGCCTTTTCAAAAGTTACTAATTTTGTTACCAGACAGTGTTGCTCTTATTGAAGTTAACACGAATCGAAACATTAAACTGCGATTAAACCACAAAACAGTTTGATTTTAAAGTGCAAGTTTATAGTGACATGCTTAGCAGCATGTTATCAACACTGACCTCAAACTATATTGTCTCATGGCATACTCAAATCTAACTTAGAAGTGTGGCAGCTTGGGCTAGTTGGTATGACATGACGATAGTTACTAGCGCGAGAACACGACGACGATGCAGAGACAAGAAGGACATGAAGCTCGTGTCCTTCGTGTCTCTGCGTCGTCGTTCTGTTCTCGCTGCTATAACTATCGTCATGGCATACTCAAGTCACAACTTGATATCAGTGTTAGGTAAAATCATTCGAACACTGCTTCTGGGGCTGGGCCCAATGATATTGTGCCAACTTTCATCATGGCAGGACGAAACAAACTCGACTATCTGGACTGCGCGACATTTGCCGCAAGACAGGGACATATTTGCCAGCTGTGCAGGCTCTGGAATGATCAACCTGTGGAAGTAGTGAGTGGTTGCCTTCTCAACTTGTATAATTAATGAAAGGAGCAGCATAAAACCATCTTGCTGCAGGGGTGCAACAGCTGCGCCAATTTGATACGATTCTCCGCTGTTGCGCTGAGCTGCAAATTGCACCAAAAAATTGCAACTCCTGGTGTGGGACAAACTGAAGCCATCGACTGCCGAGAGTTTTTTGTGCTGGCTATTTAAAAGTTTGCAACTGCTTTTAAAATGGCAGTACCTCTGCTGTCTGAAGTTGCACCTGTTTTATGTCTGAAGTTGCACCTTTATGGAAACGCAATGTTTCCATAAAGCGCTTTCTTTTTATGGTCCTGTGGTCACTCATTTCGGAGATGGCAGGGCCTGCTGTCCGACATCAAACAGCAGATAGCATGCTACTGGCCAAGAGCGGAGTTTGGATTAATTGAGCTTCTTACCATGAGATACTGCCATATGTCGGCACTGGTAACATTGCGATATAAGCCTCACTCGTGTGTAGGAATCACAACGGAAGAGACTGATCATGTTTGACCACGCATGCTCAAGACTCAAACTGCGTAGCGTTTTTCTTCGCGCCATTCTTCCCTGTGTGTCTTCTAGAGCGCTCGCCAAAAGTGTGCAACAAATTCCTGTAACTCCACTCTTTCTTGGCAAATTAGAGAAACTCTTGCAGCAAGAAATTAACGAGGCAGTAAACTCTGATCTGAGCTCACTAGATGAATACTTGGAAAAGTGATTCATGACCGCTTCGAAATCGTTTGGCAGTACAAGCTCGCTCTTATATTTCCCTGTACTATGCTCCAGCCAATACCCTGACAAAAGAACCCGCAAGGCTTCGGATGGCTGTGACGAAGGCGTGGCCGGCACCCTGACCCACCTCTGTGGGGCCTCTCTGGGTAACCAACCAGTGTCGGCATTAGACTGGAATCCAGACATGCAGGGACTCTTTGCAACGTGCACCTTCGACCAGAACCTCCACATTGGATTTGTGACTGGCTTGGCAAGCTGACCAAGCTGTTACAGTGCGACGGATATACAGAATGATCCGAAAGTATTGGTAATGATAAAAATGCAAGATATTCTGAAAAGTACAGAAAAACACTGCTTTTATCAAAATTTGAGGATAATTTTTTAAAACAAAGTAGTCGTATTGCTAGAGTAGTGACAAATGCCACTACCCTAATTTTTATAGAGAAATCCAATATTTTTTCGGCATATTTGTGGAAGCCACATCTTGTTTCGGTGTATAATTAAATTTGTATTTCTTTCCATTACTTCTGGATCACTCTGTATGCGGAGAAAGTTGAAGATGATACTCAGGCAGATTATATTTTACTTACCATTTCAAAAAGTAAGTATTTTGCTGCCTCGTTTACAAGAAAGGCTGCTGCAAGAAGAAAGCAGAATGAGTGCCGCATTGTTACATTTCGTACGAAAATAAAAACATTACTTTCTGATATAGTGTTTGCGTACGCCAGCAAACACAAGAAGCACAAAATAGCGAAACAAAATTCCAAATTTATAAATCCATCATGCAAGTGTTATAGAAAGGTGATATTATACAAATACTATAGCTGCATAGTTGAGGTTGTAAAGCTGTGTGGTCACATTTTTTTTACTCAAGTAATGCACGGCACATTGCCCCTAGTGGATGAACAACATCCAGTGATACAGAAGTATTTAATGTGGCAATAGTGAATGCCTACAGGTTAACTGAACGCTAAGGCACACTAGGCATAGAACCATAAACTCGCTTAGCTACAAGGTTGCCCATTGTTAGGAAAAACAGCTCGCGACTCTTCAAGTACCAGGTGAAACGATGTAAATGTGTGAAGGCTGATCTTTTCATTTGAAATATAAAGGCATTGTATTAGCAACTGTCCAAGAAATCCCAATGTTATATTCGCTTGAATGAATCACAGATATTTCCTCAGACAGTGAAGATGGCATCTTCACCCTGAAAGAACGCTGCTATTTTTTTCACTTGGCTCACGGTATTACGAGCTTTCAATACAAGGCATTTACGCATACACAAACACACACAGTTAATTTCTGGCTCAACATGGCTATTGGCTATTTACAAAACATGCCACCGGTAACAAACTTGCATGATGACGGTTTGGAACATGCCAAACAGTTGACAACAATCTAAAAAACCAGGTGTTTTGGTGATGTCGCACTAAATTGATCCTACTCGTGTGACGCACCATACAGCATATTACTAATGCAACAATAAAGAGCCCGGGTTAGTCAAGTACACAGACACTTTCCTTCAAATGAGATGTGTTTTTTGAGGCATCAAATAAAAACAAGACAAGCACACATCAATATTATCTTTGGTACACCTTTGTGCTGTGACAGATTTACAACAGAGCCTTGTAAGTGGGCGCCCGGCTCGTACGCTATTTAAAGAATGTCCCTATAAAATGCCCCTTCAAGTCACATCGTTCGTATAACATGGCAAATGTCGCAGTAGTAAAAAGGAAAGTAGCAAGACACTGTTCACATAAAAATGAGCAACAAATACTAGTGTTAAAAAGAAGGAAAAATCACAGCCATAGTGTACATACCAGTCTCATATTCAAGAGCACCATTATATGGTCGGTACGTTTCTAATTACACGGTGTTCACCTTTGCCGTTATTTTCTCGTCACGGCACAACCCGATGAAAAGCTTAAAGTTACAGTATAAATCTACTTTCACAAACCATCGACGTCTATCGATACATCTAGGCATGGATACCTATACAGCCTATGTTGCACCTTTGAAATGCCTTAGAAACAGAAAACAAAGGCACTTGGGTGATGCTATTCAACTGCGAGCAAGCCCTACTTCATGACTTGTACTCAAGATCATTGCCACTCAGACCTAATTACATGCTTCAAGTCTCAGATCAAGGCACACAAACACTGAAGCAATGCAAGAAATCTGAAATGATAACATGCATACTCATACACTCACTTCACAATATATTCAATATAAAGTGAGATTTCGTGCATACTGCCACCTCATAAAGCCTATTATAAAGCACTGAACTTTAATAACATGATCTTGTACAGAACTAACAAACCTGTCATAGAATCAAATTCGTTCAGACATCAAAGAAATGCAGTATGCACACAGTAGCTCAACTGAAAAACACGTAATCAAGGCGATATGCCTTTTTCAGCTCGCCAAAATGTATCACATATAACAGAATGTATTGCAAGTCAACTGATGTGTGGTAATCATGCTTGCAAGTACTGTACAGTGTTACCGTTCCACATCTGGATATTCGCGTCTATCGCAAAGAACTGTGCAGCTGGTGGCACATTGCACAGCATGGTCTGCTCTCTAGTGGAAGTCAAAAGTTTACAAAATATCGATACTGCTTTGATCTACTGGATAAACATCAACTGACCGTCTTATCCAAGTTAATACTAAAGTACTCACTGGGTGGACTACACTACAAAAAGAACTGCTATTAACACTTGTGAACACAACCAAGGGGTACTCTGAAGATAAAAGATCACCTTGGGAAGTGGCGCACTTTACAGTACTGGGACCTATTTTGGTGCATTTGCGAATACAGAAGTGTTGGCCTAGGCCTTCACTGAGGAGGCGTGCCTGCACCTTGCAGGCGTTTTGCGCAAATGGCCCGGACGCTCTCCTGTCCAGCAGCCTCGGCCAGCTGCCATGATGCGCTTGACGTGGTCGATGCGGTTCTGCCTAACTGCCAGCAGGTAGGCAGTTTTGAGCCGACCAGCAAGCATGTATGCTTCAACCTGGGTATGCACCACAGGAGCTCGTAACTACGGGCAAGCGATCATCAGAACTTGTCTGCTTAGTTTGAAGCACTGAAGGAAGCCACAGTTTTGCCAATAATCCTCATCATTTTCAGGATTTATTAATCCACCACCGGACGAAGGCCCCTCTCAATGATCTCCGGTTTACTCTGTCCTGTATGAATTGATGCCATTTTATTTCAGCGAACATCACAATTTTGTCACTCCATCTATCTCTCGGTCTCCTTCGACTGTGCTTCCCATCCCTCAAGTAACCATTCTGTGGCCCTTATTGTTCTTCACTGGTTGTCTGTCTTATGCATTACGTGGCCAGTGCAGGTCCATTGCTTTTGCTTGATTTCAGCTAGTATACCTGAACCCCTGTTTGTTCCCTGACCCATACTGTCATCCTCCATTATGTTACCATTACTTCTTTAATTTTTCACTCCACCGCATGCTGCGTGTTCAACTTCTCTCGCTACCTTGCAATTCACTGAATGCGACAGTAACAAGTTGGAATCGTATACGAAGTACGGTTATCAGCTAACTCCTGTAACATCCCTAAGGGAACAAAATGCCAGCATAAGAAAATATGAGTGCTGCAGCAAAAAGTGACCTTCAAGCTGTCTAAAAATAAGAACGGACGACTGTGCCTGGCTGAGCAAAGCGTCGAGTAGCATTCTAAAACAAACAGTCTACTGTTACCATTAGTACATTAGCACATTGGTTTTTTAACCAATACTTGCAAATAAGTTCTACGGAAACCTACAAGGTGACAAAAGAAGACAATTACCATTTAATTGTGTACAACCAACCAATACTTGTGTACATATGCTATTACTTCGTCATGACAAATGCTAGCATATCATCCGGTTGAGCGAATGATAAGAGATTATGCTATGCAGTATTAACACAGTACGACAAAGAATCTTTCACACCCTCTCATCAAAGTTGTATTGTGCAAAAATGGCACTTGTGCTCAGTTTTCAGGAGTAAAACACAACAAAATATGAATTACAACTTGGGCAACAGGCACATAACCTCAAGTTCAAGTACAAATTGTTGGCAATTAGTACTACGGTTTATCATAACACGAACGTCACCAAAGAAATAGCTTCTTGCTCTTGGAAAATTTTTCCTGGTTATATATAAGAACATCAGCATTTCACATTGAAATCATCTTTATAACCAAAATGTAGATGGTAAAATGTAAACCTGAAACAATGCAACAACTTACTTTGTTGACGTCTTTTTTCAGGCATTTAACTAGCAGGTCCAAATCCTTTTTCTGCACAAAGGAATCAACAAACATATTTGGTACATGAGGAATTAAATGGGGATGTTGTATCTGCAGTGACATAAATATTAATTGACAAAAATCTACTAACTTTACAATTTTGCAGTAAAACTACAACAAGCATTACTGCTTGACCCAAACAAGCACAGTTCTCTACCAAGAAATGCACAAAAACAAGTAAAAATCCAACAAATCTTTAACTTGGTTCAGTTGTAGAATATTCACTTGTCCTTTTGCAGAAAATTTAATACACGAGAGGACAAACATGCATGCACGTCTTGTTTCACTTTGTTCGCAATTTCGTGTCTTGAGTACAATGAAAAATACAAACACAGTAAAAATATAAAGATGAATTAGTTTTGTTACCATAGTGTCACTAACGTCTTAGAAAACTGCACATGAAACAAGTGTGTTTATTATCAAGCCAATGAATGAAGGGCAGCATTATACAGTAAACAAAAATTCGAACACTATGCAAATCTAATCAGTACAGTATCACGCCTATTATGAATGCCTATTCACTGACAAACTGAAAAATGAAACTGACTTTCTTAATATTAACAGCTAATAAATCTCCGAAGGCGGAATTAATGAGAGTAGGGCTTTTGAGGAAACTCTTGTCCATCCAAACTGATTCGTCATTTCACAATAGTGTTCTTAAACCTTGTTACAGCTACTTTCAAAAATAGTGCTCTTTTAGCGCAGTAAGTAGGCACGTAGCAGAGAAGAGTGGCACAGCTGTTTTTCAGCAACTCACATCATCCTGAGAGCGCACCAACTCCTGCAAGGCCGCCAGCACAACAGCATCAGTGTCGTAGCGATCCGGGTAGCCACAGCTCTGGATGCATCTAACTAAACGCTCAACTTGCGACACAGCTCCAGCTGAAACGAGGGTCTGAGCTGCGCGCTCAAACACGACTGTCGCCGTCTAAGTGATTCTCCTGCAGGTAAAAAAGAATGAATTGGAATTTGCAATTATATTGGAACAATAGTTTTCGGATATATATTAAGTTATTAACCTACAGTCCAACATCATTGTAATAATGTATATGGGACATTAAATTACTTTGTTACATCTAAAAATTCGCCATAAACTATATATAGTACATGCTATTAACATTTTCACTGTCTCATATACATGTACTACTTCAAGGAAAACTGAAAAGACTTTAGAATTCAATCAAACTTCATGTTTAGGAAGAACCGACATTATTGTTGACGATGTTTTAACTGTTTTTGTGGTTGTAGCAGCAGGAGCTTTAGAACAGGCAAAATAAAAGCTTGTCTTGCTCCGCCCCCGCGAGCGCGCTGAAAGTGTGGGTGTGGAAAACATATGTCATCTTTGTTTCCTATGGCACTGGAGCAAGTGTTGTTTCTTATCTCCAACCACAGCCTCCGTGATTAACCCATGACGTGCTGTTGCTGGAACTTATTGAAGGGGCCACATTTCAGCAGTGCTGCTGTGGCAGATGACACGGCATACCGAGAATGATGTCACCGCGTTCGCTCGGCGCCTCGAGAAGCCCGGCCGCCACAGCCACTGTTTTTCCACCAAAAAGTGCTATTGGCGTTCACTTTTGAGAACTCCAACATCGCTTTTATAATTCAGCAGGAATCAAACTGTCCTTACATGCTCCTAAGTCATTTTTTTTAAGTGTTTCAGCTTCCCCTTAATCATGACATACTGCAAGAACGATCTTCATTTCAGTTACTGTAATTGATCATTTGCAATATCTATATTAACTATGTACCTCTATGTTCAAGTGCAGCTGTACGCCACTCTTATCTAAAGGTGAGTAAAGTAGTTTAAAGCTTACCAAAAGCAAACAAGGCACAGTTATTTTTTGTCTTTTGGGTGCACTCTAATAAAACTTTAAAGGCATTTATGATTTGCCTTGTTCCCTAATAATAAGTCTCATCTACCTTGATTGCATTTTTTTTTTGGCAAACTCTGTGCTGATTATTCTCCTGCCAAGAATGCCACGATACATAGATAACACACTTATTCGCATCACAGAAGTAACAGGTACGTGGCATTAAAGAGAAAAATCAGAAGGAGTACACAACCTTATCCTCATTAAAGAAAACAAGGAAATCCATGCAGCACTGGCAAATTCCAAAAGCTGCATATTTTTCTTAGAGAGTAGGGAAGACCTTTAATTAACGCGTTAAAGCCAATAAAGTCGACGTGCCTGGCAAGCCCAGATGTTCACACAAATACAGAATTCACAAAAACACATCGACCTACCTTGTGACATTTGGATGGATGCATTTCTTGGCTTTCATACAAAAAAAATACAGCATGGATAGCTACTCGCAGATTGCTCCGCATGAGGCAGATTCTCATAAAATAAACAATCTGATTTTTTTTTTTTTTTTTTTTTTTAAGATTACTATGCTCCCACAGGAAAGTAGCTGCAGTGGGAAGACAGTCAAGTTGCCAGGGTATACGAGCACACACATTTCTCAAGCAGTCTGGGACAGTCGACTCTCATTGATTCAAACTCGAAAAGACCTCTGGATTTTGTTTGAATTATCAGAAGTTCTCAGATAGATGACTCCGGGTCAGGTGACACCACACATTACGATTAGGCATTGATTTTATCACATTTAAAAATTTCAGGTGTTTTTAAGCCCTAACTGCACACAGTGAACAAAAAGATGCCTAAAGTCCACAAGTTTATTGGCCATTTACTGCTGGTCAGACTTTTTAAAGAAATTGTGAATTGGCAACTGCTTCATTGCTATAGGCATGTGCTTTCAGCAAAAGGCTCTGTATACCAGCTGAGAAACATCACAGTTTACAATGCGTGTGCTTCGTTTTAAACATTTGTTTACTTGCAAAGATTCTTTCCTTGAAGGCCTCAGGTGCCCAGTTTCCATTTTTAGACTGTTAGCATTATATAACACAAATTTTTGAATAGCAGAGGGAAAGCAGCTGATATTTTGTGGTATGGACCTGCAAAAAGTATAAATTACCCAAATGATGGAGTTTAACTAAAGAGGCAGTAAATTATCAGAGTTTGAATTATCGTGAATCTATTGTAACAGATAATTTGTAAAACGATAGGATGTCTAACGCATGCTTTTCCAAGAGCAAAGTAAATAATAAATGAGCATCACCTGGATGATTCGGAATGCCAGACCGAAGCCTTCCTCGACATTCCTTCCATTGACTAGTACCTTGAAAAAAAAAAAAAAGCCTAATAATAAGCTTAGGTGTCACAGAAAAGGTGCACGACATTAAACAAAAACATGTTAGAAAACAGAACAATTGGAAGGATGTGCTAGCAAATTTGCAGAGCAGAGAGACAATGAATGAATGACTCCTTAACATTTGCGTCCTTTCTCAAGGGGCCCCTTGTCCCTGGGCGTTACGTTAAAATTGAGTTGTGAGAATAGTGAATTTTACATTCGAAGTGAATTGGAAGCAAATAATAATTTTGGTCGTCGAAATGAACTCATATAGTATATATCACACATTATAAAGATAAGTGAGCATACTTGTCATAACCTAACCAACCTGCACAATATCTTTTTTAAACTGAAACACTTTTTTGGTTCAAAGAAGTGGTAACAACATTGAATTGTAGCAGGATTTGGCTTTGGGTAAAATGCAAGTGCTAGCCTGTGAAATACGTTTTTTTTTAAGATTTACCATACTTAAGAGCATATAAGCCAAAAAAAAACAAGCTTTTAAACTTAACAAATTATGAAACAATGGAAGTCTAGAAGGACTTGTTCTTTGGCTAGTTGGTGTTTGCTAATAATCAAAACGTAGCATGAAAAGACACAACAGACACACAGAACCACACACCACAAGCATTCACAAAAACAAGAGTGTGATTATTACACTCACAAGGCTGTGTGTGTAATATGTTCATTTAACCTTGCAGTGGGTCTTTGCAGTAATGTGGATTTCCTTTGGGTATGTGTTTTCACAATTTAGTACCCCCTTATTGCAGTGAAACTGTCTTTACAAAAATTACAAACGAATTAATATACACTTGAATATGTTTTCACGGCTTAGCACCCCTTCACTGCTGTGGGACCATCTCTACAGGGTTGCATGCACCAATTTCTTCATTTCGAATACTTCAAAAATTTCAATATTTAAATTCGTATCGAAGCAAATTCGAATAATTTTTGATTGAATATACAAAGCATCCATATATTTGCACAAGCCTACTTAAAATGTAAGAAAACACGACTACAGTCACGCACTTCAGAAGCCAGCACGATTTCGACCTCAAAAGTGGATGCGCACAAGGCTGTGCCAATTGGCGAGCACTTTAGACTGACGTCATCGGATCAATGGTCGACAATTCAGTCGACAGAGAATATGAGTGGGACTATTTTTTTAGTCTGGGAGGCAATCCGCTTCTGTGCTTCCGTCATCTGTGCAGAGCCTCTCCTACCTTCTTGAAGAGACACTAAATTTGAAGCAATGAATCATTTTAGATTGATAAATTGTACTCTGATAATTCTAATCTCATTAATTCCACCACAACAGGTTTACTAAGAGAAGACAAAATGAAGGTTGAAGTTTTATGTTTTTATCCAGTACCAAAACCTTTGCATGTTAAGTCACGGAATTTCAGGTGCTCTTCTTTGTATTTTGGTGACATTGGCTTGACAAACTTTTTCTAAACTTGTAATGCTAAGTCCATAGTTTCCTCAGAGGGTGATGCATTTCGTTTTTAGTGATTACTAACTATGTAGAATCTGGTAAACGGTATCAAAATTTATGTTGTCAAGTCGCTTGGTGCAAAAATTACACGGTGGCGCAGCCACACGGATATTGTGTTGCGAGTTTTTTTTCACTTAGGCGTTTTCTCACAGCAAGCATAGTAATTCTGTAATTGTGGAGTAATTTATACTATGAGAAAAATCGTTTTTCTTTTTAGTGGTTCTTTAAGTTGTACCCGACATAGTTCAATCAAAGAAGACAAGTGCCTGAGCCCATTGAGGCTGCAGCTGTAAAGATGTGAATGTAATGCTTACTTTCAGGACTCGGTACAATCTAGTTTCCTTGGTGCTACACTTACCAGGCAGGCTAGGTCTCTCTTCATTGCCATGTCACCAAAGAGAGTTGGTGTGACACCGTCAGCGCTGTCCTTCTGGCGAGGCAGCAGCAGCTTCTCCTGTTCGGTCTCGCGTGCATTCAGGAACCGTGTGATGTCGATCTGCATGTTCACCATACTAACGTTCCTGCATGCAACGCACAAACAACTGTAAGCTTCCTTCTTTCGCAATGCATAAACACAAAAGAACTGGACTTCCAAATGACATGCTAATGTAGCATCTTGCAAATATTATGCCTGGCACACGAGAATGTTTTTTTTTTTTCTTCTCCTGATCAACTTAGCAACATGCCATAGCTAAGGTATTGCAATATTACATGCAGATGCGATCGGGTTTCTGCACATCATTTAGAAGTGGTGTGATTTGATTTTAAGCAAATGAAACTGCTAGGTATGTTTATTTTTTGGATGTTTGAATACTTCGAATAGTACATTCCAATGTGAATCAAAGGAAACAGCAAAAACCATTAAGAAAAATTCAAATGTTTGATTATTCTCATGCACCTACTTATAGAATGAACAGTGAAAATTGGGCTGTACCTGTTCACCTCCTTGGGTGACATTGCCAGAACTTGAGTGCCCGTGCTTTTGCACGATGTCCATCCCACGTTGTGTATTTGGACAGGTATGTCTCCAGATGTTTTCGTGCATCAGCCAGATGTGCAAGGCGCTGGTGAAGCTCTGAATAACCACTGGCAGGGGGGCTTTCAAAGAACTGGATGCTTGTCACAGCTGCACGTAGGTAGTCCTGAGATGGAGTTGAAAAAACGCCTTAAGACCTTCAGTGCAAGGGGTGGGCAAAATAACTTGCATGAGAACACAGGAGTTCTATAAGTGATAAGGCAACAAGCATGAAAAAGCAGTGTAACAAACAATACTCAATAAAAGAACGTAATGACTAGACAAGAAAATGAAAATAAATAAATTTACAAAGACGAGAACAGCACAATGGGAAAGACGATAAGCTGCCATTTTCTGAAGATTGTTATATTTCAACTTATTTATTTCCGTTGCAATTCAAGGAGGCAGACGGTTCCACTCAATATTATTATATTTGGGAATAAACATTTAAGCAAAAGTTCTGCAAGTGACGCATTTTATCTTGAGAGGCTGGGAATAGCCTGGAATAAAGGCCGAGATTGAGTGAAATAAATCGTAATGACGTAATAGATGATGGTAAAATGATGATGGCAGCTAACTTCTTTAGCATATGATCTCACATAACTCAACAAAATAAGAGAACAAGGCCACTGCAAATGGCAAAGCAAGTTTCTTACTGTCTATCGCTTCAATGCAAGCTAAGTGGCAAGACTGCAGCACGCAGAAAGATGATGAGCCATATGCTAATACCTGTGAAGATAATGTCCATGTGGCAGTATCTGAACACTTGAAGTAATGTAGTTCTTGCTTAAAGATATGCTGCGTGTTTCCTATTCGCTTGAGCTGCGACTGTCGGTTGCGGCCACACACTTTCACTCGCACATACAACACACTACGTGCGGGACAATGTTATGGATTGCAATTCCATATACCATTAAGCCTGGATATAACGAATATGGCAAATTCTCAAAACATTTATTATAAAAAGGATTTCCTTATATACATGTTAGGTATGAAACTTCGATAAATAAATGCACAAATTAAACAAAAGGGGAAATGAAGTCAAAGGCAGCCCAAAACACTTATTTGGTGGTAGAAAATGCATTACTATTTTGATAGCAGCTATATGAACACTCTTGTTGAGTTTTTCCCATGGCCGACATGTTCCTTAACAAGTCCAAAATGATAACATGTCTCTGTGCATTGTAACTTTAGGAGCGGATAAAGTCGTGCGAGCACTGTTGAAGCAGAGATCAAATAAACTGACCCTTATCTATCGCCGGGAGGGCACATGCAATAACATATCCCTGCATGTTAGAACTTCCATCGACAGAAAAGAAACTACCAGTCTTGAACAAGAATTAAAAAATGCGGGGGGGGGGTACACTTGAGTACCAATGGTGATCTTTGATTTTGAAGATGTGGTCACGATCTCTGGCGTGCCTGCTATCTCAGCAATTATCAGTGCACTTACATCACGAAGAAACTGTGTAAAAAGAGCACTTCTCCCTGGAGCGACCATATTTGCTCACAAGCGTTTTGTGGGAGTTTCGTGATATCGGATCCAAAAGAGTTGGTTCCCAGACTTACTTCGTATAACATTACAGTTGGTTGCTACTGCATTGATTGCATTGCATTCAGCGTGCTGTCGTGTTGTTGCCAGGGCTAATCGGGGAAGCTTAGATCTCGCGAACTCGTGGTGCAGTGCAAGACGAAAGCTCGTGACGAGTCGACCTCCGAAGATCTGTCATTGTTACTCTGGTGTCAGAGAGTTTCCATCAGCACCTAATCTGACATCCTCTTGGTGGTGACGACACAGTTGTCCACGTTTCTGACATCGTCTTGGTGGTGATGACACGGTTGTCCACATTTAAACAAGAAAAAAAAAAGCAAAGCTAAACATTTTCAGGGGCTACACCATGTGTGCTCAGTGAAACCATGCACGCGTGCTCGGCATCGAAAACGAAGAGTGAACAACACAGATACTGCGAAAAACTATTCGGTAAAGCGCCCTTCATGTGCAGCACAGACTCGCATATGTCACACTAACTAAAAGCGTGGCACTGTCAACGCAAAAGTACTCTTTTTCTTTTTTTGGTCTGGAGGGAGGGAGAAGGCACATTCACACATGCACCCGCGGCGGCAAGAACGGCAGCAACGCCAGCTTGTGGGGCGCAGGCCTGCCTGCCCGCCTCACGCACACTCAAGCGCAATAACGAGTGCTCGCTCTCGCCTTGGTGTCACCGGGGCCACGAGCACGCTGCCGCTACTTCGCGCTTTATGGGCGGTGGGGCAACCGCAAAAGATGCATGCTCATGTCAAAATGACAAAATCCGGGGCCAAATTTCTAGATTGTCTGTGGCAAAAATTTGTTATATCAAGGATTACTCCCACTGTTTCTTTGTTACATAGACGTCGCAAATACATGTGCTTCTACAGAGTAAAGGCGGGGAATAGAAAAACTTGGTTATACTATTGAGGCTCGTTATAAGCAGGTTTAACTGCAAAACCCCATGGCATAAGCAACAGCAATAATGAAACTGGAGTGTCCACATAATTACTATCGCAATAAGTACAAGTCACTGCCCCATTACAAAGGGAGCTGAACATATCATTGATCCATCTGTACACATGTAACCAGCTTTCAATGAGAACTGGTGATAGTGCTACCATGGAACAGACAGGATTGCACCAACTGCTCGCAAAGGCTATGTGAACGCTTTCACACAATCCAGCTGATGTGTCAGACCTGCCATATTTACGATAATCATTATCTAATTCCTGTATTCACTTAGAAAAGCACCTGGCATGTGTGCAATGCAGTTCTTTAGAGTATAAAGCGAGTTTCATTTTTACATGAACTATTTCATGAATCATGTACACATGTGGGTGCACAAGCACGTGCACACACACACTGGCACTAATTATCATAATAATTGATGTGGTTTAAGGGGAGACGCTCCTCGAAAGCACTTTTTTTTTGTTATTCAACTTAGAGCTTCAGAAATTGGACCACTGATGCAGTTTTTCCTCCTGATTCCAAATCTGTAATCAGTTTTTACATAAGTGCAATAGTTTGGGAGTTGTGTTTCAAGTAATGGTGAAACTTGATAAGTTTTCCGGGAACTTTCGCGCATACTAAATGTTCATGCAGAGAGTTGTTCAATGGCTCCTTTTGCTCCCTATTAGCCATAGAGTGCCGATATCTAGCTAGAAATTGTGCTCCAACTTTGAAACTATGAAAAAAACATCTGTGTAGCAAACTACCCTTTTTTTTCCACTCGACCACCATTAAATTTATTAATAGATATTTACAGCTGATAGGTTGTGCTGATTCAAGTAGATATCGGCACCCTACGCACTCTCCTCAATGTGTGTGCCAAATTTCGTCGTCGTATGACCATTCTAAGTGCCCGAAACACTTCCCGCAAAAAATGCAAATTGGCCAAAATTGCGAAATGAGAAAAACGCGTTTGAAAGTTTGAAAGTCTGTATTTACAAAAATGAAAAACGCAGTAGCACGAAACTTGTGCTGAACACATACACACATGTCCAGAGGGAATATCAGTTGTCTAAAACTCTCCAGCACCGTAGGTTTTCCCTTCCCGGCTGGTGCGGCAGGACTCTTCCACCCGGGCCCTCTTGGCTGCACTGCGACGGTGTGCCCTCGCCTCAGCGGTCTGACGCACATTCATCTTGTGCATGCGCATGCTGTCTCGGCGGTCGCTGAGGGTAACCAGGGCCTCCGAAGGAAGCACCCCAAGCTCTTCCAGCACCTTTTCAAAGCTCGCGTGGCCCCGGTTGAACCACAGGACTGCAATGGCTGTGGCTGTTTCCACAGCAGTCCGGGAAGCAAACCGGGTCTTTGGACACAGCAGCCATATTTTGCTGTTCAGGGACTCGGCCGCGTTCTGTGTCTTGCCGTGGAGGCACCGGGCAAGCAGCTTCGCATCTGTGAGACGCTTGTAAATTGGGAGGACTGCCAAACCCTGGGCCTTGGTCAGGAGGGGGGTGTGGCACGGTGCAGGCTGGCCCTGCGCCTCAGCACGTCGGTGCTTGCACCACGAGTCTGGGCCTGCAGGACAGAACTTGTGACTTCCAGCACCGTCTGTTGAGCACGAGTGCAAACATGAGGCCCATATGGCAGTGTACATCTTGTGGACATTTCCCCGATTGTTCACAATGGCCACCTGAAAGTAAGTTTGAAGCTTCTGGATGGTGGTCTCCTTCAGCTTCTCCCCTCGTGGAAGTGGCGTTGGCAGCTTCCGCAGGCCGGTGCCCAGACGTTTCGCCACGTGGTTGGTGCACTCCTCTTTTTCAATTGGAGTGTCAGGGTACACGTTGGCATCACAGACCCCGTTGTAGGCCTTGCTGTCTCCATCGCTTAGGAAGATGGTGAACCGCAGGGGTGTCTCATAGTCCACAGTCCTCTGCCAAATGCGCACTGCAGCTTCGGCCTCCATGGCATGCGAAGAACAGTCGCAATTCTTCTCACAAACGGGATGATGAAACGCCTGCCATGTTTCTTCATCGCCTCCCATGTCGTTATGCAAACTGCACGCCAGGCAGAAGTTGGAAAGCACTTCATAGTCCAGGCACAAACCAGTGTCCAAGGACACTACAGTTCCCACACCATTGTGGCTTTTGTGGCCTCTTTTTTGCCATGTGCCGTCAAACATGACTGGCACGTCACTGTTACCAGCCACCTCTTTGGTGACGCTGCGTGCCCTTTGCATGTTTTCACAGACAGCCTTCACTGCCGCACTGTGAATCTTTTTGCCGATAGCATGGAAGGTCTTATGGTGCATAGGGTTTGGCAATCCAACTACTGCACAAAATCGTGAAAGTTGCTCATGCCCGATACCGACGGCACGCGCTGCAAGCACCACTTTCAGGTTCACGGCAAAGGCGTCACGCGAACTCCCGCTGTCGTAGCTTCTGCTTGCACCGCGGCCGCCATCTGACGCGACCCGCTTCGACGAGTACGCGGACGAAAGGATGCTCTCCGAGCACTCCGCATTCTCGCAGTGTAGCTCCAGAAACGCCGAAAGGCCTTTCCGCTTTTTATTCGGTGCCCGAACTGCGAGTTTACTCTCGTGACAAACGGGGCATGCCGCGCCTGCGACGACGGCCGTCAATGCACCCAACTCGCACAGCACTACGCTTTCGGCACGATCGGCATTCGGCCTGACGTCGTTTTCGAATAACGCGATCTTTTTCTGCGATGCACTCACAAAATTCACTGCAGCGTTGATCTCGTCGTCGCAGTTGCCATGGTCGACGTTGCCGTGGTCGATGTTAGGCCTACCGGCCGCTGGCCCGTCGCGGACATTTTCGTTGGCGGTGGCTTTCTTGTACGTCCTCCGCCGCTTCCCTCTGAACTTGTTCTTACTTCTGTATTTCCGATGGTCGGCAACGGCCTTTTTCGGGCTTGCCATCGCACGAAAACAGCGAAAAATAACTCCGGAAAACAGTGAAGCGAACTACGGCAAGAAAACACGGGTGCTGTCAGCCAATGGCGGCCCTGCGTTAGTGGCGCGCGGTTTGAAACGGCGGGAAAAGACTGTTTTTGTTGCTTTTTTTTTAGATTTTTCGTGAACGTACGAGACTTCAAGAACCGGGATCGTGGAGAGTAAGGACAACTCTACACGAGCCAGCGGCCGCAATATGGCGGACAGCTCTCTTCGCGGCCCCGCGAGCACGCGAACAGCAGCCCGTTTTGTGTAAATTTCGTGATGCCGCGCGTCACTGCCGCTCACTCAGACGCGTTTTTCACTGACTTCTGATGCTTATTTCGCTGTGATATTTTCAGATGTCAAAATATAATGTATAAAGATGATAAAGCAACAAAAAACAGAAAAGGTGAAATTTGGAAAAAAAACGCGACTTTTCGACCCGCGTCTCCCCTTAACGTCCCAAAACCATCATATGATTATGAGAGACATCGTAGTGGTGGGCTCCAAAAATTTTGAAATGTAAGTATGCAGGCCTCAGGTATTTTCTTTCACCGCCATCAAAAAAGTGGCCCCTGTGACCGGGACTGCAGTTCACGCATGATAACCACTTGTTATACTGGCACAACCAAGTAGATTTGCACAATAATGTTCTGGCACACCTCCATGAACAGCTGCACAGCGTAGAGTGTATGCATTCGTCCTCGTTTCTGAAGGCTGCGGCAGACGGCAAGTAGAGTGGGCCACCACCGATTAAGGCCGGTGTCCATCTGGCGAAGCGATGAAAGCAGCGCGTCCAAGGTGCCCTGCTTCAACGACGGCTGCAGTAGCTCCTCTATGAACAGCTCCACCTCACAGCCCTGCAAAGGAAGATGACACATATCAGCAACACCAACCAGCTAGTGACCACAGCAAGAATAATCAACTAGAACTCTTCCTAGTGTGTAAGTCAAGAACAAGGGAAGCCTCGTACAGAAGATGGTGTTCATATCGTTACACATGAAAGACACTGCTTAGCTGAATGACGTAGAAGCATTTTCTGATAACTGTTTAGCGACTGTGGCAAGTATACATGCAAGCAGCTCACGAAGAGTCAAATTATGATCATTGACCATCTACTAAGAATGAGAGCTAACTACACTAGACTCTCCATAAGCTGAGCGTGGGGGAATCGGAAAAAATATTTTCTGCTAACAGGAGTTCGGTCAACCAAGATATAAACCATTTCATTGGATTCAGGCCATACCTGAATGCAATGGAACCCTCTTGATTGATGAGTGACTACCACACACACTGCTATCATTGTACTGCAAGTGTTACTTGACCGTACTTGGAGTTTTACTTCTTCCATGGTTAAGAAATAACTAGATATTCAAGGGTTCGGTTACTTAGTTCTTCACAGTCAAAACTGTATGACATTATTTTTCCTTTACCTCTCACACTGATGATCTATCAAGGTTAATGCACTTAAGCAAGATATTGCGCTCAATGATGACAACTAACCTTTGGTAGTTTCATTTATCTGTTTTTAATGAATTATCCATTTCCTCAGGGATACGTACAGAAAAAGTTGCAAATGGTACTTCATTGAATTGCCCATACACTCAAACCTCGATATAATGAAACCAGATATAACGAAATATCAGTTATAACAAAGTAAATGAAAAATAGTCTTGCAATAGATATAGTATTAGGAATAATCCTTTATAACGAATTTTCGGATATAACGAAATTATTTTCTTGTAAGGTGCAAATTCGTTATAATGAGATTCGAGTGTATCTCTAGACTTTCAAAACATTTTGTTTTGTTTATTTGGTTTAAGATATCTTTCACACAAGGCCTGTGCAAATGGTTTGGGCTTGTTAAGGAGTGCTGTTGTCTTGTTGAGCAATATTCACCAAAGTCTTTACAATGGCAAAAGTGACTGGAGGGTTTGTTTTTCATTAGGCTCTTATAGTGATGCACTCTTTCTGGGTGTAGTGGAACAGTGATCACAAATATAGCATGGAGACTAAAGCAATAACTGAGTTTCAAATAAATACAGTATGCAGTGTACTACACTGTACACTCTAACGATCACCATTTTCTTGTCTGGGCATTCAGTGCAATTCTGACCTCTTGCACTTCAGATGAGATGATGATGTCTAAATCTATTAGAGTCTGCATAAATCTTCGGCAGTCATAACAAAATATAGGCTTACTGGTGCCATGACCAGTGTTTGAGACTGATGAAGGCAGAACGGGCAAGATGCATGCATGCCTTTGAAAGGTAGTACTCAAGGGCCTGTGTGGTTCGACCATGTCGGTAGAGAAATGCCAACATTGATCGGTGGCTGCCGTACAGTTCCAGGTAGTGCTTGCACTCAGAGTACACCACGCCCTTCAATTCATTGACCGAAACCTTCACCTGCAACAAGAAGAGAAATACACGGAAGCACATAAAAAAGTAGCATGAAGAATTTCCATGAGGCCCTAACAGGACAAACAGATAAACAAGAGCTGGGGAAGCTTTGAGATGCATGGATGTATTTTGGTGCCATAAATGTGCAAATCTTAAAAGAGTACGTTAAGGTATGCTGCTGTCTGCCATGGTGGTATCGTGAGTCTGGTGCTTGGAATCAGACCCGATGGTTGCAGGTTCAGTGCCGGCCACGGTGGTCGCATTTTGACAGAGGTGAAATGCTAGATGCCCGTCTGCTATGTCGGTGCACGATAAAGAACAACAGATGGGTGAAATTTCCAGAAAGTCCTTCACTATGGCGTGCCTCAAACTCATATCGTAATTTTGGCACATGCAACCCCTCACGTTATTATTACAAAGATTTAAAAAAGACAAATGTCATCTTGGGAGACCTTACTCAGAGCAGTTTAGACTACAGTACATATAGTTTTAAGATGACCATGAAGTGGGACATCGATGCATTAAAGCCCTTGCAGCCACATAATACTCAATCTGAACAGAAACTCAAATACAACTACTACACTGATAAAATGCAGGTGCACGAACATGGACATAAGAAACAAACATGACAGCTCAAACACGTGCCTTTCGCGGATTCCCACCAGCTTGCTCAACTTTCAGCCGTTAAAATGGTACACATGTGCAAACCTATTTAAAGGCTCACAAGTAAAGCAAGGTCAGCGAAAAAATAAACAGGAAGGAAATGTGAAAATGCTGACACTCACCTCAAAACTGGGGTCCTTGATACTCTTCAGGCTGCCAATAGCACAGAAGACAGCTGCAGCCTGCAGAAAGTAGTGTGTGTTCAATTTCTTCAATTATGGGCCATTTGAACAAGTATGCACAGTTTCCAATTCAGAAGCAATACAAGGTATGGCAGGTATCAAAAGAAAGATGTACAAAAAATGTTGAGAGTTACAGTAAGCTTTAATGATGTGCTTCATCACCGCTGACACTATTGTAGCTACACGACAGTGCATGATGTGGCACAAAATGCAATTGCAGTGGCACACAAGCTACAGCTGCAACCGGGCGCTACACAACACTAAAGTGACTAGAAAACCATTGTCAGCTTTGCAGTCATCGCACCTCAACAGTGTCAAGATGAGACTAATGGGAAACTGGTTACATGTGACAAACACCCAGCGAAACATCAGTTAACCTTGACATACACGCTATCTTTTGCTTACACCAGCGCATACACACACTGAACCACCAAGAATGCTTGCGTGCTAATAGCACGTATGCAAGCAAAACTCGTGCCAGCAGCAGGCAGTAATTACTTGCCCTTGAAAGCAGTGCTTGAAGCCATTTCCCATCCAGCACAGTGAAGTAAATTCTATTTAGAACTACTTTGTCGTTGTAAACCTCCATCATTCACTGTCTTCAAACAATACTTCTTTGAAATCACCTTCTTTTTTGTGTGTGTACTTCTAATAAACCAGATTCGTGATAAGTAGAACAAGTTTTCAGGGTCCCTACAATCTTGTGAAAAGGAGTCAACCATATGAAACATTTTTTCCATCTTATTGATTTCATAGGCAGGCACACTTTTAGTTATGAAATATTAGCAATGCTGCGACACTGTTATCAGGTATGTTCTGAAAGCCACGAAATAAGCCAGTTCCTCTCAGGTCTGCTCGTCACATTGTTGATGATGTCATTAAAAGAAAGAGAGCAAGCGATTCAAGGCTCCTGTTGATGTGGAGTAGTAAATTTCTTGCTGTACGATGTGACACAATATTTGGCTCACATTTTCACAGGATCCTTAACTCCGTATAGGCAATGTTTTCTGACACTGTTCTCAAAATGTAGCTAGGCCCTTTTAAAGCACTGCAATGTTTCAAAACGCACAACAACCAGAGCAGGCATATGCATTTTGATAATATTCAAGGAGCCCTCGGCTTGAAAGCCGGGAGTAGATATTATCCCATGGATTCCTACCTTGCTTATGCCAGGGTAGCGAGACTTCTCAAGGTTCGCAATGATTTCCTTCAGCAGTGGACTCTCACTGGATGAATTTCCAGAATCCTTGAGTTTCTGCCATCACAAAAACACTTGATGAAAGAGCAGAACACATACCCATGCATCTTGACGAAAGTGGTGCCATTTACTAGAAGCTGCTTCTACTGTCTGCTACAGAATTTGTGAGCTGGCTCTCAGAATAATGTTTTGTCCCAATGACAACTTTGCTTCTCCGATTCAGATTCACACGCAATGTAAAGTGCCTTTATCAGGCCACCACTAAATAAAATTTCACAAGTGAAATTTTTTTAAATAGAAATGTTTTAGACTATAAAGAGAGTTGAAAGAAAATTGCTGGTTAAACCCCGAAATACATTTGAGCAGTGTTGCAAGCGACAGCAAGAAGCAACAAAAATTTGTTTCAAAAATTTGATTGCTTGGTTCTAAATATCTTAGGTTAGATTTTAATTACTCTAGCACAAAGCACAGCAGCTTTTTCACACAAAGAAACATGTAAATTAAGTAAAATATGCTCATTATGACATCCATAGGTGACAAGTAACACAGTGAATTAACTTCCAGCTTACGTACCATAGCATGCACTTCGTTGTGCAGAATATTATTTCACAGTTTAGCGCTGCACTACCTGGGTATTTTGGGTTACTTATCCAATTTTGTCAGCTTTAGATACACAAACAAATGGTTTTCCCAGAATAGCAGCCCATGCTTTTATTCACCAGCTACAGCACAGTAAACACGAGAGAGAGAGAATTGTAGAGAAGGAAAGGTAGGGAGGTTTTCCAGTCCACAATAACAAGATTGCTACCGTATATGTGAGAAAGAGATGAGGGAGATTGCAAGTAGGAGAGGAGAGAGAGGAGAATAGTAAACTCTAATGTTTCATTGTGTAAACATACTACGTACTAAAGAATGCACAGCAGTATAAACAAACAAACTTATGCCCTGCAATTATAAAGTTTGACTTTTCATTTTTAATACAGCACAGCTCATCTCAACAATTCATGGCTTGTCAGTTTCAATGTACTTAGATAAGAGCTGATTAAGAACAGCTGAAGATGATTACCAAGCCGTATGCTGAGCACACTAGCCACCAGATTAATAGCGATACATCGCATGTTTCATCAACACATCTATGACAAAACTACGCAGAGCTTTGTAGCAGAGACGACGCACTATAACTAACGTAAAAGAGGAGTTTTCACCTGTAAACAGTGTGAGAACTTCTCCCTAGCAGACGACCAGTCACCTGCACGCAGAAGTGCCAGCCCCCAAGCAGCGAACACGCCAGACGTCTCGAGGCCACACTTGGTGGAAACTTCGAGAGCCAGGGCCATGCGTTCAGTCTCCATAAGCCGGTCCCTCAGCTTGCGCTCCGATCCTTGATCGGAGTTGAGGCTTCGACCAATCTTGCGCCGGAAGCCAGACTCATCTCCATTACTGGCATTACTGGCAGTTCTGCAAGACATTAGGTTGAGAGTAAGACAGTATCGAATGTTCTGGAGAGAGGCCGTTGTCTAAGCAATGGCCAATGGGCGAAACACTGGTATGTGCAAGCAAGGTGCTGCCTTGAAAGGCACAGTGTCCGCTATTTCGTTTGCACTGCTGCACAACAAATGCTAACCGCAAAATCAAACATCTCCAGCATTTCATTAAAACACTTCTTTTCTCTAAAAGTAGTCGTCAAGTATAAGATTTTACTAATTTCTTGTGTACATTATAAAATAGTGTCAACTCCCGATAATTCAAACTTCCATAGTTTAAACTTTTTTTTTTAATTCAAACAAATCTTAAAATTTTTGGTTGGCCCGCTATGTTTTTAATGTATTTTAAAGCCACTTAATTCAAACTGCTTCATTGTACAAACCAGCTGGTGTTCCAATCGATATGTGGGGTTTAACGTCCCAAAACCACTATATGATTATGAGAGACGCCTTAGTGGAGGGCTCCGGAAATTTCGACCAGCTGGGGTTCTTTAACGTGACCCAAATCTGAGCACACGGGCCTACAACATTTCCGCCTCATTCGGAAATGCAGCCGCCGCAGCCGGGATTCGAACCCGCACCCTGCGGGTCAGCAGCCGAGTACCTTAGCCACTAGACCACCGCGGCGGGGCAGCTGGTGTTCCAATGGGACACGGGATACACGTCGTATGTCTGCCCTCCTCTAAGAATAGTCAGCTCGAACTCTTCTCGCCACGTGTAATGAATGAGCTCAGGCAAGCACAGTTCTCAAATACCATGATTCAAACTTCCTGCTTGCTCATGGCTGCAAATATCTGCTGACTTCATCGCTTCTAGCTAAATATTTTTGTTTTTATGTCACTAACAGACACAAATGAAGTCTGTCGTTTTCTGACAAAATGTTAACGTTCAAGTCAAAGAAAGTTAATTTTGCTTGCCTACAAAAGGGTCCAACAAGGCAAACTATGCGCACCAACGTTTGCATGCTGAATGAAGAAGAAAATAAAAAGAAAACAAAGAAAATGTGATGGCCTGGCGTCAAAAGTTTATTGGCAACCATGCACAGCTGTCCATCATGTTGCTGTGCCACTGAGAAACAATAGATGTAACAGTGGTTGGTATGTTGCCTCAAGTTGTATTTGTGAGAACGTCTGATGATTCCAACTTCTAATATTTCTAACAAGATATAGAGCAGAGTGACTTGTGCACTTGTCCTTTTTTCGTGTTTCTTTTTTTTTACGTGCCATAAGCTCGTTAAGATATAGAGGTACCCTCAAGTTTGATTTATTGAGAGTATTCCTGTACAGTGAGTCTGAAGTAACTTGGATCGAGTTAATTATGAATGGGAAGAGAGATGCAGTGCTAGGGCCAATAGTGTTTTTGTAACATCCAGCCTGCATAAACCAGTGAATTTTTCAGTAACCATTGGATACTTAATTAGTAAATGAGCTGAGGAAGTGATGCGACACACATACACAGCATAAAAAGCGTTACCATCTACACAAAATGGCACTGTTAGAAATTGGAATGCAGAAGTGAGTTGCTGGATTTATAATGAGCTTGTACACACTTCATGGTAGGGTATTGCTCACCGAATAAGCATTTCCTCAGGGAGAAGGTGTTGACAGTTTGCATTGACCATGAGACGCACAATGTCCAGCCTCCTGAGGTAAGTGTCGCTACACGCCACGCCACTCGTTACACCTGCACTCAGAAACTTCACCTTGGCTCTCAAGATCAACGACTTGAGCATGCTGAAAAGCAACAGAGAAGAAGGTGCACGAACAAATGGTGAGATTTAGAAGGAAAGAAATCAGGGCGAGATTGTACTGATCCATAGTGGCATTAAGAGCGCGTAACAGACAAGGTACAAGAGAGAAATTGCACAAATTAGCGCTTGTTTGTGTAATCTGTCTTTTGTAACTTGTCTGTTACGCACTCTTAATACCACAAATGATGAGATTTGAATAGAACGTCACTGCTGAGCTTTTCTATGAAACTAATCTGGTCATATGAGCCCGTTACTCCCCTTCTATGTACAGCTCGACTAAACCACACAAATGCAGTCAAGCTTCTATATATAACAAATAATCAGCTTCTAAAAAAAGTTCTAGCTAATCTTAACAAACAACTATAACTAGTCTTCAGAAGTACACTTAAGAAAGTTCTCTCTTTTTCGCTTTTTCTTTTAATGTAGCATGTGTTTGTTTTAATCTCAGAGCTACATTATATCAGAGCTATGTTCTCACAAGTTAATCACTCATAATCCACAGAATAAGAAGATGGGTAGGAAAAATAAACACTTACGTGATTATGAGCCCATAGTCAACAAAACTCTCAGAAGTGCTCTTTGGGGCCAAAATAGCAAAGAGACTATCAGAGAGAGATAAGATATAAGTGGCACAGTCTGCCTGGTTGGAATGTTTTTCCAGAATGGCGAGTGAGAGAGAAACACTTGGAGCCTAAAAGAAAATCAAGAGAAGTTGTAATGTAACTAACAATTAAGTGCACTGCCAACACAATTAGAAGGCAGCATACTCGATTATAGCAGAACTGCTCCCTGACAGCTGCAGTTCTCCTCAGCACTGGTTGTCAATTGCCAGAAAATGTGTTTCGACACAGAAGAACTCCGCGGTGTCTTGATAGAGTCAGAACGGCCCCTTGCTGCATCATCTGTGCAGAACAGAACGTGTCGTCCAGGTCGGTAACTCTAGTGTACTGTGCCACCAGAAGCAATGTTTAAAAAGGGAAGACGTTCAGGGGAAGATTGAAGTTTGAACTGATTAAAAATTTGCGAACATGAGGTGTCACTGGAGCCGATGTTTCGAGAAGTGTACTCGTTTTCTTCAAGGCTGCAACTTGAAGAAGACAAGTCTACTTGTCGAAACATCGTCTCCAGCAATAACTCACGTTCAAAAATTTTACATCTCCAAAGCAATGTTACGGTGATGGTGAACAAAAATAAAATGTAAAAAAAAAAGAAAAAGAAATGGAGTGTCCTTGCATTATCGGTTCTAATGTGAGAACGCTATAAGTGTCAGTGCTACAGAAATAAATAACTACACACCAATTATTTCAACAGGATGAACGTGCTCCTCTGAGGACTCGGATGCAGTTTCCTCTGCATTTTTGAGCCTGCAATGTATATGGAAGCAAGAGAGCACGTGTAAGACAAGTAGGAACAATTTTTAAGCACTTCGCAAAACAGGATACCTGGAAATCTGAGCTTACTTTGCAGTCTGGTTGAAGCAATCATCGCAGACCCGAACTTTGTATTGGCCAAAGCCCTCCACAACCATAGTCTGCTGAGAACACGTGTAGCACACAACACGGCCGCAGCGCCGACAGTGGTGTCTTCGGCTGAACTGGAAACAAAGAAAACCTTGAAAGTGAGCATATCTCTCAACCGAGAGGCTAGAGTTATTTGTGTAACGTTACCAATGAAATAACTCGAAGCAGTAAGGTCGTGTCTGTTTTGTAGATGGCACTGCTGCCGTCTATACTTTCACTTATCAAATTCCTCGTCAAATGCACATAGATTATTGTGCCCAAGTAACACACAGATTACTATGCGGAGTACACACGGATTGAAACAGGAGCAATTTGCGACTACATAACGCATATACTTTTCTTTCCACCATATACAGCTCGAATTATATCAATGCAATTTCAACTCGAAAAGGTAGATCAGAGCCAACATTATATTTAGAGGCCAGATTTTTTCGCGACATCACGTAGTTATCTAAGTAATTGCACATACCACTCGTTACACCAAGAAATATGATGTTTTAATACATTACTGTCATCAGTAATCATCAGCGTGACTAAGCCCACTAGCAGGACAAAGGCCTCTCCCATGATCCGCCAGTCAACTCAGTCCTGCGCTTGCTACTGCCACTTTATACCCGCGAAGCTTTGTCTCCCCCTTATTCCACTTGCCTTCTCTGCCAATCCAGTCAGTTACCCTTAATGGCCAGAAATTATCCTACTTACGCGCTACGTGCCCCGCGCATGCCCTGATGTCAGTACTGTACCTCAGTGTAACCTGTGTGACAGGATAGCTATAGAGCAGTAGCATGGTGCTACGTAGCATACGCTTTGCAAATGAGAGCTGCTATCTACAAGATTTCGGCCGCAAATCTTTTAAGCACAGAAAAACGTAGCAGCCACGAATAACATTCCCAAGTTTCTTTAGGTACATAAAAAGTGATTCAAGGCGTGATTTAGATAGGAAGCAGCAAACAAGGAGTGTTTACCATACTAAAGTATTCAATGTGGCAAGCCATGCAACATGACACAGCCGCGTCAGGCGTCCATTCCGACTGTGGAGGCGGCTTCAATGGCATCGTAAACATGGCACCCTCAGAGTCCTTCGCCGAGATGCTTCCAGCAGACTGTGAGGCTGTGTCAGTCTCGGCTGAATGAAAAGAAGGTGCAACGGCTACTTTATCATTCAAAGTCGATTTTCTCTTTAGTAAAGGCACAGGCACTCACAAGGAAATTTGAACACAACACAAACTATGCAAAGTGCACAAGCCATTTGTTTTGTACAAATTTTGCTAAAGCCAGCATAATCCTTTATGATATATTTTTCACTGATATTGGCAGACTTTGCAAATTTTTTCAGTAACAAGCTTGTGCAGCACAAATAAATGGACGTAAGAAGGAACACAGAAGTTATATAGAACATGTTTCCTTGACTCTGTTTATGCTGTACAAACTTACTGCCCGGGAATGTGTGCCAGGTACTTATGTGAGCAAATTCTTTAAGAGATATTCATTAATATTTATTATGCCCTTACCTTAATATAACTTAAATGCCACTAGATAGGACTGAGGGCATGTCGCTTAGATGACAAGCTTATAACTGCCCATAAAGTTAACAGAGTTAATATGTATGAACAACAAGACCTGCTAGCCAAATTACCTCCCAAAATAAGTAATAATGTCATCATGACCTTAAGCTTTGTTTTGAAATGTTTTTAATTGCACTCAATTCTTTATTCTAACAGATCAGAATTGTAGTAAGTAAAGCAACATTATGAAACGACAAATTACCGGAACATATAATAAAGGTAAATTTGTTTCAAATAATGTATTGCAGGCTTCACCATGTAACAAACTAATGTCTTTAATAAACAGGAGATATACCGAGGTATCTTGAACTTAGCTGATACCACATAGTAACAATGGTCGAACGTATTAGCTTTTTCTTTGTGTCCATACCTGCTCATAATGAACCCTACCTAAGGGTCAGGGGCAAGATAAGTAAACACAGTAGAACTGTAACGTTAAATATTTTAGCTTTTACACAACACATAAGCATACACACACATACACACAAGTGCACACATGTGTGGGCCTCACAGCGTGGAGTTGGCATCAGAAGAAGCTCCAGGGCTTTAGAAGCATACTTCTTCAGCAAATCATTGGCAGCCTCCCTGGTGAAGGGAGAGTGATTGCTGTCAAGGAAACTCGCTGTTGCTTCGAGAGACTTTCCCACAGAATCCACCTGGTAGGATGTGAATAAATAAGATTACTGAGTGCATAATGGTGCCAGAAAGATAGCCAAGCAATAAAAGCAATCTTAGGCACAGCATGTGAAGGGGCCTTGAAACACAAATCAAGCACATCGTTTTATTCTCAGCAAACCTCGTAATGCCAAGAACAGGGTAGTTGTAAATTTACTTGAACGGAAGAAGTCACCTTCTGCTATGATTACTGTGGCGCACAACAGCAATTTCCAGCATAATGATGAACTACGAGCAGGATTGGTTCATACACAGAATTTAGAATTCACATAGGAATATGCACCAGCACAGCTCTTAAACATAAACAACAAGCAACAAGGGTTTTCAAAAAAAAAAAAAAAGTGAATATAGACATCCCCAGTTGCTTAACAAAATCATTCGTTTCATACATGTTTAGAAAAATAAAATCCACAAAATCAAGAGACTTACCTCTGCATTCATCAGCAGCATTTCAAGAAGCAGGGCTGGATCATTCACAAGACATGCGTAGCTCTGTTGTTTTTCTGAGTTGATGCACATGTACATCTGGAAATGAACATTAGCCATACTGTTAGACAGCACCTAAGAACACGATAGAAGCATATAATATAGAGTTTCCACCACTAAAATAAACTCAAACTGTCAAACCCAAATTTATATTGAGCTAAAGTGACCACAAAGTAGTTAAACTAGATTATCGCTGCATGTCTTGGGCTGTCTATTGAGATTGCAACCAGTAAAATAAACTCACACTGTCAAGCCCAGATTTGCGAATTGATAGATTCAGTTAATTGAAGGCCACACAAAAGGCATAAAATGTTTACTTGTTACTGCTAAATTTTTATATATACTTCTTGTGGAATGCACAGATTGCGACAGAAGCACATGATATTCAAGCTTAGGTGTTGTGGTGTCTTTATTCGAGCTTAGGTGTTGTGGTGTCTTCAACTCAGCGGCCTTGGGTTGCTGAGTTGAAGTACAGAGGTATTTTGGACACAGGCATTATTCAATCAGTCAAGGCACCTGCGTTGCATAGAAGCAGCAACCCTATATGGTTCCAATGGCTTCTTTATCTGTCATCTTCATATGAACATGCTTGATGTCCCAAAACAGCATTCCAAATAATGTCCCAAGAGAATATAAATTTGTTTAGTCGGCACATTATGCAATCCGCCCAAATCGGAATGTAGCCACAGTGGCATAAATCAAGCCTGTGACCTCTTGCTCAGTTGCAATATGTGGCCACTCGAATGCTTAGCAAGCAATTAACAAAAAAAAAATGTGCAGTACCCCCACTGCACCCAATTTAAAATACAGAATTTAAAGGAAACATCCCAGCTGGTGCGGACTGAAGCGTATTACCCGGAGACCGATGCCTGTGCGCTGATACGAGATCAGTTCGACATCCATGAGGCAGTCTCTGTAGCTCTCTGTCAAATAATTGAGCAGCAGTATCTTCCCCTCTGCATTGGGCAGTCGATCAAGCACCCTCTGCCAAAGTGGAAACGCTTCGCCATCTCTGTTCAGTCCATCAGTGAGCTGGCAAACAAATATACAGAAACATGAAATATTAGGTGCTTGTTTAGTGCCAATGGAATCATATAAATTCTAATTTTCTAGTTGAAGTGCTAGAAGGAAGCAGACATTACTAGCACAAAAAGTCGTGGAGACACTTTCATGAATTTGCTTGGCCCAGAAGTGTGCCTTTTTTTTCTATAATTGTATTTCGCAATTGTTAAAAAATAAACTCCAAAGCTTGATAAAAAATGTACATTTGACAAACGAATTTACCTAATGAATAATTTAAGTTCTATATACATTGCAATAAATTTTAGAAGTGGCAACACTAATGGAGTACACTGCCATCAAACTTCGCACTAAAAATTCACTGTAGCTTCCAATGTTCTCACAAGACACCTTTTTAAGCACTGCTGAGGAAAATTTCCTGGAGCACCAGTGAATTCAGTCAAAAATTTTACATGGCATATAAATCCAAACTATGCAGTTTTACACTGATTCTGATGTAGTATAAATGTCTGGTGCTTTGAAGGATGCCTCGACAAAAACTAAAGCATGATAATTAGTGGTTTGTGAATATTTGAAGTTTAAAATATTTTTTGAATAGTGTTTGCTCTTTCGATTCGATTCCCACTGCACTCTTCGAACTTCCCAAAGACAAATGCACTCAACGGCCGATTGAAAGCGGCCCCATTAGATCTGTAATATGCTTCACCTCATCAATTCTCGTAGTACTGCAAGGGAGCCTTCCAGGCTCCGCTGCAGTCCAACTTTCGAAAAGACAAATATAGTCATCTGATTAAAGTGGCCCCTTCAGATTTTTCAAATGGTTCACCTCATCACACTACGGTACTGCAGCAAGATGCCCTTCAAGCTACACTATGTTTGCAAATGTACTGACTCAAGGAAACACTGGTTTCACCATGGAAATGATAAATGTGGCAGAGTTGGGGGCTCAATTAATGCCGTTATGGACCAGAAAGTTGGGCAGTCAGTCCTAAAAATTGAAGCGAAGTTTTTTAGCATCCGAAATTTCAAATGTTCATGCCTGTTGACGTCTATGAGGCAGATTTCGGAACTACAAAGCTTGAAGGGAGCACATCAGTTGTGCTTCCAGAGAAGTTGAAAGCGGAGTAGAGACAGAGGAAAGTAGCGTCCTTGCCTTTCGCGTGTAAAATGTTGTTGGCAACACTTTGGTTGCACCAAATCATGTACTAATAGAATTCGGCCTCTACACTGGCTCATTCCTTGATAAGACAACTATGAAATACCACCCCGCCAGTGCTTCATCAACCTAGCAAAAAGAAACACTTTCGTGTGGCTATATCTCGTAAGAATATGCTTAGAAATCTCCTCTAACTCCCCCCCCCCCCTAATTTCACTTCGAACTATGTATTTGAATAATATTCTAGAAATATTCAAGAAATTTTCAAAAAATATCCTATATCCTATTCAATTTGCACTCACACTTCAACATTCAAATTCGCTTTGCAACCAAATTTGTGCTGTTCGCACAGCTCTAATAATAATTGTTGGGGTTTCACATCTCAAAAACACGATATGGTTATGACAGACGCCATAACTTAACTGGAAGGCTCCGGAAATTTTCGACCACCTGGGGTTTTTAAACGTGTATCTAAATCTAAGTACCGGAAATTTTCGGCTGAAGCATTTTTGCTTCCATTGAATATGCCACTGCCGCCAGGATTCAATCCCGTGACCTGCGACTCAGATGTTGAACACCATAACCACTAGACCACTGTGGCAGGGCAGTAGCTAAAACAAGACACTGATAACAGGAAAGAGAAAAAAAAAGTCACACAGAACATTCCTGTTAAGTGTAAAAATATAAAATTAATAGTACATGCAATATGACATGGTACATGCAAGTACGTAGCATTAAAGGCCTATGTACTTGCTAATAATTAGAGTCAATTTTGATGTAAATAACTTCTGATGCAGTATGTACCCTGAAATCACAAAAAATGCTCACTCTGAATGCTTCATTTGATTGGGGTGGAGATTGCATAAGTAGGTGGAGTGCCTTCAGTTCAGTGACAATCTGAAAATATGAAAATTTGTCACAATGTTTCAGTCAGCAGAACAGGACTTCACTTCAGAAAACATATCAAGGTATGGATCATTGCAATATAACATTATATTGTGCACAACACGGCAAAGTTATGTTTAATGCAGTATCACTATACGAATGTTCATGGCATACAGTCGTATGCACACTGCGCCGAAATTATGTCAATGTTATAATTTATGTTGAGTAATCGGGCACTTGAAGGTCCACATTACACATGTACACCTCTTTTGGAGCCCTGTCTTTCACCGGAGTATCAGCAGATCAAGTTTGGTTTCATTTGTTCTGCTATTCAGCAATGTGGGTGGGCAACTTCTGTGCACAGAAAACTGCATCTTATGTAAAGCACTCACCTCCCCAATGTTCATTTTTTCAAGTTGGCAGTTATAAAATGTTAGTGGTCAGACTACCTTCGACTTGATCACATCATTCAAGTGAAACTGCTTTCATCACCTCCTATTTACGGCAATAGACATTTATATATTTTTCAGCTGCATTCACTGAATCACCACAGGCTACAATCAGTATTGTCAGTAGTACTTGTTTGGCTAGTTGGCGCATCTTCTGTATCAATAACAGACATAGCCCTCTTGGTTTGCAGAATTTTTCAAAACCGATTCTTCTACAGGAGTCACAAACTGTACTCACGGACATCCATAAAAAGTGCTCGAAGAATGTGGCCATCGCTAGTTGGCAAATCGCACAAATTTCAATGAGCACACAATGACGGTGAGACTTAATGCCACTGTCAAATGGGTCTCACTGGGCACAGACTTCTGACACACAGACATGGCACATGACAACTTAGTTAACTAATCTGAAGACGTAGTGCAAATATGTTTCTTTATTTCAATTAAATGTGTTCTAATGAGAGGATACCACGGTCACCAGTGATATGACGACATGAGTGTAGCTTTGAACGTGACGTATTATGAAGTGACAAATACATCTCATGTCTGGACAACAGAAAAGTTTAGACATTGCAGTGACGCTACATGTGTGCTAGTTGTGTGCACTTGCTTCAAATCCCTTGCATAACAAAAACGCCCAGTGGTAAGGCCTCTCACCATAAGGTTAATTTCCAAGCTTTAAAGTGTTAATTTATGTCAAAATGCCTAAGTTCACCAACATTGACCTCCTCATTCAATTAACAATAACAATTCGAACCTAGTGTTAGTCAGTGTTATGTGTCAAGTGTTTCCTGATACTACCCACAAACATCATTAAACAACCAAATAAACCAACGGCTCGTGATACTAGATGACTTCAAAAGTGACACATTATAAGAGAAAGACATACTATGTGCAAACATTACCTTGAAGCATTCTGTGCTAACAGTATGGAGGTCAGACCACCGGCTAGCTATGTCACATAATGAAAACTTGTACAGCTTCTGCAGAACAAGGAGTGGGTCAGATGCTGACTTCAAGGCTATGTCCTTCCAGGTGCAATGCTCTTCATCACCACACTTTCTCAAGTTCTCGGCAATCTGTGAATAAGTAAAATAATTAGTAACGCCGAAAGCTATGTGCACTGTACACAATACACATACAAGAAAACATTCCTAAAAATTCTGAAAAAAAAAAAAAAGAGAGCTAGAATATTTTACTGTCCGTTATTAAAAATAAACCAAAAAGGGTATTTGCAATGCTACCTGCTAAGAGTGTGTCAATATACAAACTCTAATAATAAGAACGATACGAACAAAGTCCCACAAAGCAGATGTCTCTTAATTTAATGCACACATAAAATTATTTGTGTACCTACAGATGCATTTTGTGATTTCAACTTGGGCTACTATTTGCGTGCTTTCCAATTCAACTTTGCTCCAACAACCTAAATGAAACTCGTTTTATACTTTCAAGTTGCTTGGAATGCAGAAAAAAACTATTACTTTTCCATGATTGTAGGAAGAACAAAAAAAGAGAAGAGCCCTGCCAGCTGTTCTGGCTGGCATCTTAACAAAGATGACTCACACATGAACAGAGAAAAAGTAACAAGAGTGAGACTTCAACGTAAAGGAAAGCAGATACAGTCGACTCTCGTTAATTCAAACTCAAGGAGACCTCTGAATTTTCTTTGAATTATCAAGAAGTTTGAATTATCAGAAGTTCTCAGATATATGAATCTGGGCTAGGTGACACCACAAATTATAATCGGGCATTGATTTTATCACATTTAAGAACTTTGTAAGCATTTTTAAACCCTAGCTGCACCCAATGAACAAAAAGCAGAGGTGTAAGGTCCACAAGTTTATTGGCCACTTACTGCTGATCAGACCTTTTAAAGAAATCGTGAATCGTGAATTTCGTGGTCTTACCATCAGCTATTGGATTCTAACTTTTCTGATGTCATTCCCTGTCTACGATGAACCAAAGCATGCCTCGAAATGCAAAAAGCCCTAAATGCAAGAAGCGATAGCCACAATAACTTTTCGTCGCATAGAAAATCACCACGTCCCTCAACTCGTTAAAGCCTACAATGTGTTGCAAAAGGACCTTCCGTCTTTTCAGCAACGGCGAAGACCAGTCGATCAATTCATGACCTTCGTGTGACTGTGGCGATGGCTTCACAGCTAAGCATAAAAAAGAGCAAAGACGAGGCAGCGGCCGATGATGAATGAGTCATCACCACCGACAACCTGGAGCTATATATCTGCTCACTTGCACATGTGGCGGTGTGGATTGACAGCGAGACCAGCGTGTTATAACGCAATTCGCAAGTTTGCCTTCCACCGGGCCATGCGAGCCAGCTTAAAGTGCGTGTTGCGTTGCATAGAAGTGAAAAGAACTATCTGGATTACAGCGCCACAGTCACCGAGAAGCGTCATTGCACTGACAACAAGCGTATACTGCTTGTATTATTAGGCGACATAATAAAGCACGTCGCAAATTGTCATGCAGGACCATCAAGCTTTGCAGAGAAGTGTGCATTGCTTGCAAAATGCTTGTCTTCACTGCGTTGAACGAACGGTACAGCCGCCGCCCTCGTGCATGGTTCGGAGTGAAGCAGGCGTAAAGAACATGCAAACTCGTGCAAGATGGTGTATAGCCATGTCAGAAAACAGCCCAACAGTGACAGCGCCAGGCAAGTAGGTGATGTACTGCACGCAACTAGCCAGGAATGATCGGCTGCATGCGGCAGCATTGCACATGATATAGTGTCGGTTCATCGTGAAGGTGATACAATTGCCTCATGAGCACTCAGCAGGCTTCGCTTCAAGACGCGAGTAGCCTTAATAATTGTTACTGGAGTGGTTCTTAGCACTTTCATAAATATGCGCCGAAGAAAAAAATGACTTGGTCGCTGAATGCATGTTTAGTTCGGTACAAAGCTGCTTCAGTGTCATCTTGTAGCTGATTTCCTATTTAGAACAGACAAAATGTGGGTGCATGCTCAAATCAGGTTGCAATCCCACCAATAACTATCAAATGAACAAGTATTTTGCTGCATTGCCTGCCTCTAGCTTAACTTGACCCATTGGATAAATTACACTGATTTTGTCTCTCCCATCTTGGTCAAATCAAAAGAAGTCGAGTGTTACTATTTACAGTATTTTCAGATGCAACAATGAGCACAAATTTCATCATGAGAGCAACTAGCTGGTGGACATGATAGGTCATTGTACAAGCTCGTCATTGTGAACAGAGTTAAGATTTCAGAAATTTGCTAAATGGCCAACTTTGTTCAGGCAACAGTAAAAGTGCATTTGCATCTCACAAAGAAAGATGTACAAGTGGAGGCTGGATCGGTCTGTGCCATGAACTGGATTTTCTCACGTATAACCTAAACTAAGTATACAGAAAATTCAGAGCTGAACTGGGGGTGCTGGATACACGTGCATTGTGGTGTGCAAGCTGGCTTCACAGCAAAACAAGAAAGACGGCTTCATAGCAATACTCTTTATTTTACTTTGGTTCCTAGTTTGGGATGTGGGTTATATGAATAAGAGAAGTACAGTATCAGCATAGACATCTGTGGGGTTGGCTGAAGTGGGGCAAGTTGTACAATCACTTTGCAAGTGGTCTGCTGTGGTGTGCAAAAACTCTGAGCACTTGTCAGAAGTTCACACCTAACAAGCCTCAAACTTATAATCAGATGAGCATGAAATTTCTGGCACATTACTATCCCTTGTATTTAGGCTTGTGCGAATAGAAAATTTTAGATTCGAAGCGAATAGTCATTCTGGTGAAATAACTTCAAATCGAATTCAGACAGTATATATTACCTATTATAAAAAAAATGGGCTTATTTGTCATGACCTGACCAACCTTCTCAATATTTATTTAAGAATTGAAACAAGGCCTGTGCAAGTGCCATTTTTTTGGTTTTAAAAAAGTGGAAACAACTTCGAAAATAGTGGTAGGATTGACTTCCGGTAGAGTGCAAGTTATTACCCATAAAGCATGCTAAGTTATCAAATTTACTACACTTAAAACGTATAAGCTGGTATTAAGCTGGTATAACATGCGTTTAAACTTAAATAATTATGAATCAGTGTGAATCAATATGTTCATTTAACTTTGAAATAGGAACTCGTTGCAGTGTGAATTTCCCCTGAATAATTGTTCTCACAGTTTAGCAACCCTTCACTGCAGTGAAACCACCTTTACATAAACTTGCATGTGGATTAATCACATCTATTTGTTCATTTGAAATACTTTAATGTTTTTACTAATTTAAATTCAAATAACAGCAAATTCAAATACTGTAATATTTGTTCGAATATTTGCCTCGAATATTCACACAAGCCCACTGGTATTACATTTGAAGGAAGCGCAGCAAGAAAACAAAAACACAAACAAAAGAAGTGGTAGGTATACATAAAGCACTCACCTCCCGATACAAATTGAACCTGTCGAGCTCTTCAGAAACTTCTTTGTGCAGCTCCATGTCTCCAGCATACAGGCATTCCGACTTCAGCACCTCTAGAGCTTCAAGCGCATATGTGTCGGGCCAGTGTACATAATTTGCCAGCATGCAGTCAAACCGCAAGCGAAGATCTCTGATCCTCATAGCATACATCCAAGGTCCAGTGTCACTAAATGAGAAAAAAAAAAGACAAAAACCAGCAAATTAGCAAGAAAAATTGCTCGAGTAAAGATTTTAGCCATACATAATTAAAACGGCAAGAACTATTCACCAACGACTACGATACTGCCTAATCAAACTCTGAACACAGCTGTTTAGGTGTTCTGATTTAGCAATAACTTGAGGCAAATGATGCCTCTGCTTCAGCAGCACACACTTCTGGATTCTGGCGTCAACGACGCTGGTCCTCTGTTTGGGCATTTCGTTTAGCAGCAGTGACAGACGACACATTTCTACCAGTTGCATCACTCATTGCTCAGAAAGAGCTGGCCGAGACTATTTTGTGTATAGGTACTGATTACATTTAGAAAATAACACCATGAGTTGCGTGACTGGTGCAGACCGTTTCGTGCATCTCATTTCACATTTACCGCCGTAGATGGAGTGCAGCGCAACTGCCTCACTAAGTGGGAGACGGCGAAAGGGTGCCCCGAAGCGCATTCCACAACAGCCGATGCACAATGAAGTGCCCTACTGTGGCGCCGTAGATGACCACCGCAAGACCTGTCATCTTGGCACTGTCGGTTCCTCCTCCTCGCTCTCTCCTTGCTATCGCTCTCTTTCGACATCTTTCGTTCTATTAGTTATGCCAACGGCAACACCGCTCAGAAACTGGCACCTCAGAGCTCCACTATAAAAGAGACAAGTGTGGCTCCAACAAACATATATTAAAGCTCTTGTTTTGTGAAGCAAGTATTAAATGCAGTTGACAAAGCAAGAATGGCAAAAATGGTTCGTAACTGGGGATACTTCTGGCACAAAGTGAACGAGGACACACAACACAAACAAAGAGGATGGGCGCTGAACTTACAAATAATTTTATTCCACAGCAGAAAGAAGATTTTGTCCCACAAGCCAACCACTTTATGAAAAGATCTATAAAAATCTACTTTCCACTGTGGAATAATATAGCAGTGGAACCCCGATTATACAAAACTTTCGGGGAACCACGAATAACTATCGTATAATCCGAGCAGTCGTATAATAAAAAAAACTATGATTAGAGTAGCGGCACTCAGCCTTGCCCAAATAGCAGGTACAGACTGCCTGAGTAAGCCAACGGCACGACCTCATGCCTCTGCAAAGAAGGTAGATTCAGTTATTTTTTCCAGTGGCAGTTAATGACAGGGTTAGTCAGTTGGAGGAGGTGCAAGCAAAAATTTATTCTCAAGTTTGAAAAATCTAATGCAATGTGCACCTTTCTACCAATCACCAAAGTCTGAAAATTACCTGCATGTGAGAATGAAACCAAGACCCCATTGCCAACAGCCTTCTGTCAGAAGAGTCAGGCACAGTGTCATTGCTATCACATAATGGTGAGAGACCGCCGAGTTTTTATAGAACGCCTTCGTGCGCAACTGAGCTGTGCACGTTGTAATTTGTTGCCTTGTGAAGTGCAACTAGTGGTGTCCAGCTCTTATTATTTATGTATTTATTTATTTGGAATTACCCTCAGGACCAGAGGCATTATAGAGGGGAGTGGTACATTTAAACGAAACACAATACAAGCTTTCTTCTGTAAATACAATGTTAGCTAAAAAATAACAGTACAAGTTATAACTATACAAGCAAGAATCAGACTGTTCGTGAGAAAGCACATAGTAAAAACAAGTTACAGTAGCAGTTTTAACTCACCAAACAAGAATCAGACAGTTCGCCAAGAGAAGAATCACATAATTGGTTAGTTGCATAGCAGTACACTTGAGTTTAAAACGTCATAAACGATCCATCTAGATCATATGAAATATTTGTGTCAAAATTACAGCACAGTTATAATACTGCTTTTCCTTTAACAACAGTAGTGAAGCACAGAAAGGCCCGGAAGGCATGGATCACGAGCGACCTTTATTATCGTATTAAACAAAAAGAAAAACTATTTGCTCATTTTCTAAAAACACGCGATCTTCAAATATTACAAGAATTTAAGAAGTTTAGAAATAGGTTAAATGTCGACCTAAAAAAGGCCAAACTTGCCTTTTTTGAACGCAAGTTTGAAAGCGTCGCCCAAAACAGTCATAAGACATGGAAGGTCTTTCGTGAATTGACAAGTACCCCTTCATCAGGAGTACCAGCGGAATTAGAAGTCGATGGCGTGAGGTATTCTGGGGATTCTTTAGCAAACTTGTTAAACAATTATTTTATCAATGTTGGAGCCGCTGAACCCCTCCATACTGTGCACCCAGAACGAAGTTATATGACGTACGTGCATTGTGCTGTGAAAGACACTTTATTTATTTGTCCTACTTCAGAAGATGAAATCATGTCTATTCTAGGTTCTCTTGATAACAAATCAGCTGCCGGAGAAGACGGCATAAAAGCTTCACCAGTTAAGGCCGTGGCACATGACATTGCAAAGCCATTAACGCACATTTTTAATGAAATGATATCATCTGGTATCTATCCTGATAGGCTAAAAATTGCTCGTGTGACTTTACTTCATAAAGGCGGCAAGTGTAATGAGTTGGGTAATTATAGACCCATATCTGTACTATCAATATTTGCTAAAGTTGCAGAGAAAGTCTTATGCACGCGATTTAATAAATTTTTGTCAGCGAAAAATGTTATTGTAGAGCAACAGTTCGGATTTCAAAAGGGAAAGTCTACAGAAAAGGCACTTGTTCGAATAAAAGATGAAATCATCCAAAATATTGAAAACAGGTTATTTACAGTCGCTATATATCTAGATTTCCAAAAAGCATTCGACTCCATCAAACACGAAATTTTATTCCGTAAACTTGAAGCATACGGCTTTAGAGGTAAAGCACAAAATCTTATCCGTAGTTATTTGCACAATCGACTACAGTACATTTGTCTCCAGGATGCTCAATCTGAAGAAACTGTAATCAAATATGGTGTGCCCCAAGGCTCTGTACTGGGCCCTCTACTATTTATAACATATGTGAATGATATTGTTAATATCCCTTTTACTGGGGAGGTATTAATGTATGCTGACGATACGAGTGTTTTCTTTTCTGGGAATGATTTGAAGGAGCTAGAGGCGATGTAAAACAACTGGTTGAAAGAGCTTAATCTTTGGGTATCTTCTAATAAACTAAAAATAAATGTTAAAAAGACAAAGTTCATGCTTTTCTATCCTAAAAATAAAGAAGTAGATTACATTATGAAACTATACTACGGCGATTCGCAACTAGATCTAGTACACAATCATTCGTTTCTAGGCGTTTCTTTTCAATCAAATTTAAGTTGGTCAATACACGTGAACAATGTAAGGATGAAGGTAGCGAAGTCTATAGGCATGTTGAACCGTTTACGTAACTTTTTAACAACTAACTTAAAGAAGGAATTGTATTTTTTCATAGTACATTCTCATTTTAGTTACTGCTCGTTAGTGTGGGGAACAGGAATCACGACTGATAATGAAGAGCTTTCTTCTTTACAGAGGAAAGCAGTTAAGACTACTTAATTTGGGGTATAATGTAGATGCGTCAGCTCTCATGTTAAAGTACAGAATTCCACAATACTGCCTTCTTTACAAAATAAAATTGTCGATGTACATATATTGCGAAGTATCGGGAGACTGGGGTTCATTTAGCCGTCGCTATTTAAGCAGGAACACCGGCCACGACCTTCGTAAAACACACAAAGTTGTGGAAAGAACACGCACAAACTATGGAATGCAAACAATAGACTTCCAAATTATGAAGTTATGTAATGAGCATCCTGCAATAATTGAACTAGCACAATCGTGCACCAACTCAAAAAAATTCAAAATGAAAATTCGGTCCCTCTTTAACACTTAGGATAAATGCACTCTCAGCACGGTAGGGTGAGCTACAGTCTTTCATACTATTTGTATGTATATATATATATATATATATATATATATATATATATATATATATATATATATATATGTTTATGTGTGCTCAGCAATGAATACTATTGTTATAATGGTTATTTCTATAGCTCTTTATTTGTATGTATATATTTTTGTGTATGTCTATATGTTATGTGTGCTCAGCAATGATTTCTATTGTTACAATAGTGATTTCTTTTGTTCCTTTTTTTATTTGTATGTATATATTTTATGTATATATGTTTATGTGTGCGCATTGCAATAATTTATATTGTTTCTATTGCTACTGTTACGCCCAGCGCGAGCAGGACCATGTCAGGGGGCTAACCACCTCCTTTTGTCCTGACCGCGGGCAATGCTTTTTGTACTGTCCGAAAAATGAATAAATGAATGAATAAAAATGAGAATGATGAACAATTGACGTGATTGATCCTAGAAGATTCTTCCAGTCTTGTGAGGTTCGGAGAATGAATGAATCATAACATGTGCGAGTTGAACATCGCAAGATTTCCACCTTTTGTGGATGGCCAGAACGAGAGGCATAAGCGTTATTGTCGAGGGATAATAATTTTGCATGGTGAAAACAGCTACGCCGTGCCCTTATGCGTGTACAAGCCTGTGACTGAGAGCACGACAAAGGCAGAAGAAGATCAGCTGTATGTCGACCAGGAAGTTTCCATGGACCGAAAAAGTGAAAATATCAGCTTTTCGGAAGCTACCCTGGGTGAATAAATCTTGACGAGGTAACGACCCTGTATACGTACATATGCAATCAAGGCGTATGTAGAAGCACATGAACTTCCAGGAGAATAAGTTTTTCATTGTATGAAAATATCTTGTCTCATTGTCTGCTTTTCCAGTCGTCAACCTAGGGGAACGCAAGTTCATATTTTGAACTTGTGAATATTTGGTCAACGTTTGATTCAAGTAAAGGTATTTTTTTCTTTCGGACGGAATCTGAAAGTTGTTGTAAGATGCAAGGTTGGCGTAAAACTTCGTTGTATAAACAAGGTTTTCAATACATTATTTCTATGGGTATTTTGCTGAGACCAAACCGATTCTTCGTAAATTGTTGGTCACTGCGAAACCGGGGGATGTATAATCGAAGTTCTACTGTAGTTAAAAGTCTGGCGCCCGTCCTGTTCTTTTGCATTATGTGCCCTCGTTCAACTTGGGCGAAAAGTATCCCGAGTTAGGAACCACCACCAACTAGCTCAAACCAGAATTCTAGTAAAAATGGCATGCACAAATTATACATGGCGAAGTAAGAAAAGCAAAGGCAAGCACACTCGTCTGCGTTTTTCTTACTGAAAGAGCTATAGTTTGTGAAAGACAACAGATAAACAGAGTTTGTGTTACTAGATCAGAGAACAAAGAGCGGAAACAGGTATCCCAAGTGATATTAAGAGAAAAATCAGGTTTTGTTATAAGAAGGACTGATAAGTGATAGTTAGAGTGATGGAATGTATGCCAAGAGAAAAGCAATGCATCAAAAGAGGGCAAAGAATTAGATGGTGTGACAAAATTAAGAAATTTGGAGGCATAAAATGAAATGAGCTAATGCATGATAGGTTGGTTCGAGGCTCCGGCAATCTTACTCCTACAGGGGACATGACATAAGGCTGATAAAGACTATAATGATGATGTAATTTATATTTTTTTACCTATCCATAGCACCTTGCTCCGTGTCAAGCCAGGAGCCAGCCAAGAGGCTGAGAATGCAGCGCCTGTAGAAGACCAAATCCTCCCCGGTCGCACCGTCCAAGGCATCCACAAACTCCATGATGAGCAAGACACTGATCCAGTCTCGCTGGCCTGCTGCCCCACTCAGGGCCTCCCAGACCACATTAGGGCTCGAGGAGCCACGAAGAGCCATGGCAGTCCACGCAGCATGGCTCTGTGGAGTTGACAGCTGCATCCAGAGTCCATAGACGTGCGCTAATAAATTGTCCAGGGGCAGACCTCGATACTTGACGCCATCTTCCAGCTGTGGACTCCTGGGAGCCTGCAAGTACACGTGATACTCAACACAACAATACAGCAAAAGCAGTCTAAAATTTGTTGCAGTATGTACCATCCTAATGAATATTCTGCAGTCGCAATGAAGCCATGAATATCAAGGGATTATTGTGACAGTAATGTGATAGCTTTCCCAGAGATCGTCTGAGATATGCTGCAAGCACCCCAAGCCAAATGGATGAACACTGTTGTACATTGTCCGGCTTTACTTAAAGAGGCCCTGAAACACTTTTTCAAGTAACCATAAAATGAATTCACTGGAAGAGCTTATTGCTTCACGAATTCACACCACAAAAATTTTAAGAATCAGTCCAGGGGAACTGGAGTTCCAAAGGTTTGTCGCATGCTGAAATTGCATTCTCTCTTCTGTCATCCCGACGAAAGTGCTGGAAGCTAAGCAGGGACAGATGGCAGGGCCACAGAAAAACGTCACATGCGCTTAGCAACCTTGAACACTATTTTCTTTTCCTTTTTCTTCGAATGTGCGGCTTTTTCAGTGTGATCGCACGTGCACGTGTGAACAAGTATCGGCCTCTTGCGGCGATCTCTGTAACGAGCGAGCGCGCCATGTTCAAATCAGCCAATGGCTGATAGATGGGTCGTTGACGTGTGATTTTTGGGCATATAACATGATTTGTCAAGAGAAGAGAAAGCAATTTTTAGCTGACTTTGATAATTTATTGTGAATTTGGCGCGTGCTGTGCTATAATATTCAGGTCGCGTGTTGTCGGGAGTCTCTACTGCCGATCGGCAGCGTTTTCTGACCATGTTCAAGAAATGTTGCGGGGCCCCTTCATGATAAATACATGACAAGTGCGCACAAGATAAGTGACAGAACGTATAATAAAATTAAGTTTTCTCCCGCTGAGTTTAGAATAGGATCTTCCCAATCTCCATTCCACTCTTTTAGAATGGATGCTTTTTCTCTCAGTGAAAGTGGCAATGGCAGTAAGATTCAACCTGATGCTCGAACACAGCACATCACAGCCATTGCAGTATTGTAGCAGGTAGGCTTGGAATAAAAAATTAACAGCATATCCCCGAAGTGAACGACGATGAGTGGGCGAAGGTCTGGGGGATCATTCATGTAAAGATGAATCCACCATACATTAACCACTTTAACATGCAAATGAGTGAGAACATGTATGTACATTACTATATACAATGTTGTTTTATTAGTCGTATACTGTATCGAAGTGCGAACTTCATTTTCCCTTTATCAGGACTGCCTTATGATCAGTGAAATGAAGAGCCAAGGGTTCTTTGATAAGATGTAATCTGAAGTTCACAAAGACGGGGTCCATACACGTCCCTCTGATTGTTTATAGTCATATGAATTGCATCTCGGAGCATATTGCGATTTCATATGCTGCACAAGCAAGTCATCATTTGTGATATCTATATATGTTGTCAGGAATGTGTTTATTCTTCATCGCCATCAGCCACAGCATAAAGTACACATTATGCCTTACGGATGTGTAGTGCGTACCTCGCTTAACAGCAGGATGATAAATGGCATAGTGGCATAGTAGGTGCTTCATTATCGCAGTTATCGTCATGACATATATTGGGTAGGTTGCGGGTGCTGTGTCGTGATGGTAGAAAGAGAATGTTTGATATGTTGACAACTATGCGGAGTTTAAGTCCCAAAACCACCATATGATTATGTGAGACGCCGTAGTGGAGGGCTCCAGCAATTTCGATTACCTGGGAAAAGAGAATGTGTGGTCTGCAGCATGCCTGTTCTTCATTGTCATGAGCGTCATCGCCATCGAGGGACTATGGCGGACATGGCTCGACCCTAAGGAGCTTCACCTCTAAAAAGAGGATCTAAGGATCAATTGCACGAGCATTAACTGCTTACCTTTGGAAGCATAAACTTGAGCAGCCGGACAAGCAGAGGACAATGGTTCTCGAGGTAGCTGAGCACGTGAGATGGAACCTTGGCACCAATGGTTACAGACTCGTCCCCAGATTCCAATGAGGATACCAGCGGCAGTGAACCATCCAAAACCACACCAAACAAGCCGTCTTCCTTCTGATACTCAACGACAAATTCTTCGGGAATGACTGTAGGAAAGAACCAGAATGAGGTCAGTGCCCTTTTCAGCATGTGCAATTTCAGCAAAACACTAGCGCACGGTGTTCCAGCTAAATTCTGTTCACAACATCAATCATAATCAACACTGTTCAAGTATGGCACAAAACAAAATATCATCAGCTGTAGCCATATCATTAGCTAGCCACAGATTTACCACTTTGATCACATCACCCGAGTAACGATCAGCCATACATGGCGCTTCACCACCTAGACAACTAGATCATGTGGTTTACACATTACATGGCCAGTGCAGCTCTATTTCTGCCTCTCAGTCTAAACTAGAAAATTGAATAGACCCACCTGAAAAACTTCACACCAGTCAACCCAGAGCATTGTATGGCTAGTATATATGTACTAAAATGATATTCAACAAGGGATCATATTTATGCCACGAGTCAGGTGAGCGAGAAGTGGACAAGACATGCAATAAATTTCTACAGTCAACATGATTTAACTTTTGTAAAACACAAAAGTTTTTAAACAGTCCGTGTTTAGCAGCTACCTAACTTTCGCTATTGCCCCAGCTGACTAGAATGGTAGTATGGTCAGGGTATGAAATCCCTAAATACTCCAGTTGAAAAATTTAAGGGTACCATACACAAATAAGTAAATAAAAAATTTAACAGACAAAGAGTACAACTCAGTTGATGTGGCTGATATACAATTAAACTTCAATATAATGAACATGAATATAACAAAGTATCGGTTATAACAAAGTAAATGAAAAAAAGTCTTGTAATAGAGTGTGTTAGAAATAAAGCTTTATACGTAACAGACTTTTGGATATAACAAACTTATTTTCTTGTAAGGAGCAACTTTGTTATAATGAGGTTTGATGGTAAGACGATTGGGTTGTGGCTCCATACATTGTCTGTTTCTAACAGCACAATATTCCACTCCCCAAAAGAAGAATGCTTACTTTGTTGTAAGGAGCTCCTCAGTTCTTCACAGCTTTCATCGAGTTGCATGTCAGTAGTCAAGAAAAAGTGCATTTGCCATGGGAAAATTATCTAAAATAGGATGAGGGGAAAGGGTCAATTTCACTACAATGTTAACATAATGAATGTGATATAAGCACATTGGAATGTCATACAAAGTAAATCTGGCCGCCTTAAGTAATACAAATTGCAGTCAACATCCATTTGCTAAGTAAGCAGCTGTGCATCGGCAGACTCATATGAAGAGATATCTGATGAACATGAAAAGCTGTGTTTTGATGACAAGTGGCTCCTGTGAAGGTTCAAATGCATGAAATGGCTTGAACATGATGTAAGCTCTGCGCCAACTCGTCCAAAATTACATCCTGCTGAGAAACACAGCGCCCTGTTGTACTGGTGCTCTAGATGGTGACTGTAAAATGATGTCAGTGTATCATATCCAGCGCCAAAACATTGCCGGTGAGTGTACTACAACATGCAGCAGATGTGTCGCATGATTCAATATCACTGACATGCAACTGAAACGCTGCTGACATGAGTATGACAACTTAACAGCAGGACAAGAGCGCTCACAAAGAATATGTGCTGCCAAATGCTGCACACAACGACAACAAACAGAAAAGCTGAAAATTTACCATTCTGACTCCCTGCCTAGTCATGGCTTTGATGCGTGCCATACATCTGTCCACAGCCGACTGGAGCTGGCTTTCTATGGTCTCTGGATAGATTACCTGAAAAACAACATGCCAATAGTCAGCAAGATAAGCTCCTTTTCCTCCCTTCAATACTTTGTCAGGCATCTAATAATCTTAGGAACAAAATGTACAAGATTGATTGATTAATATGTGGGGTTTAACGTCCCAAAACCACCATATGATTATGAGAGACGCCGTAGTGGAGGGCTCCGGAAATTTCGACCACCTGGGGTTCTTTTAACAAGCACCCAAATCTGAGTACACGGGCCTACAACATTTCCGCCTAAAATCCACAAGAGCCATGAAACTGTGTTAAAGAGGCAAATTTCTATGGGAAATAAGAAGTATACCTCTCCAAGTTTTTAACAACAATTAAGAAGTGTTGACTATACAACGGTGAACAATAAATCATGTAGTCCCTGTCCACTGTCCAGACTTTTCCTGGTTCCTGTATTCCTAAATGCACAGGTGCCACATGAGGTGAAGGAGCACCTGTGTAGCATCTATGTTATACCACGAATGTTAGTGTATACAGTGCAGTCCACTTATAACGATACCACATATAACGATATATCGGTTATAACGATGGGTCGACTTAACAGTTTCATTTTATGCATTGGGGCTATGGGGAAAAAAACCATATATAACGATATGTTATCCACCGCATATCGGATACAACGATGAAAAGTTTGCCGTGGACGGCATGTTTCATTCAGAATAATCATAACATTTAGATTGATAAGTTCTTCTGAAACGAACTATGCCGAGACAAGACGAAAAGTTAGCGTAGGCGAGTACGTATCTGCCGCCACTGCAGGACAGCGCCGGCAGCGCGTCCCGGCCGTTCAAAAAGCCGAGGAAAGCATCGCGAGTTGGCGCGACGCGCTACAGATGGCGCCAGCTGTGTCACGTTTTGCGCCTCGCCGCGCGTCGACCGCGGAGAGGCTGAGAAAATTTAAAAAAAAAATGCGAAAAGCAAAGCGCCGCGCTCCGCGGCTCCCCGCTATGGTGGCTAGAATTCTAGCCACCATATCCCCGCCTTCTACAACGGCAAGCCGGCAAGCTACTCGTAGCTTGCCGAACCAAAGCGGGAAAGAGAGAGAAAATAAAAAAAACGAAAAGCAAAGCGGCGCGGCGGCATCGGGGCGGGGCCTCGTTGGCATTCCGGCTGTGTACCTCTGGCTGTGCTTTCTTCCTCCCACTGCTCCCACCCCGCCGTCGGTCAGTCTCTCTTCCTCAGCGAACCCGTGATGCGTTCTTCGGAGTAAGAAATAAAGTCTTGTTTTTGACATCCTACTATCTACAATATTTATTAATTGGTGAAAATAGCGAAATGAAGCCTGGAGCTACAAAAGGTACGTCCGGCGACGATTTTTTGGCGGCAGTCCAGATATAACGATCACCGGTTATAACGATCATATTTTTAGGTTTTCTCGATATCGTTATAAGTGGACTGCACTGTAATACTGCTGATGTATTTTAATAAAACATGTTTGTTGTATCAACAAACTTGATTGATAATGCTTATTTCCATATTTGCATTTCACTATCCTAAACAGGAATTTTGGGAGTGCTAGAGAGGCTTTGCAGTTGGCCAGTCAATTTCTGCACTATGTACAACCGAAACGTGAAATTGCCGACTAACCTCAATCTTGGGGTCAGAAATGTGACCTTGCACCAGAGCAAAAACAGCCTTGGGGTGGAAGTGGGGCGCAAACTCCTTTTTCACAGGTGGCTCCTGAGAAGCTGGAAGAACAAGAGGGAGAGAGAAGAACGCCTGAATCCTAAAAGACTGAAGGTTGCAGAACAAATTTTGAACAGTTGTGACAAGCGAGGCCACTATCCTTGTTTTTAACCTTTCTATAGTGCTGCACATGCGTGTCTTTGGTAATGGTAACTGCCAACTTGTCATAATTTTTTGGCCTAGTTGCAAGTTTGAACTGAATTGTGGGCAACTATACTACCAACCCTGTAATGCCCACTTGTATCATATTTGTGGCACTGAATGAAATGTCTCAGGAAAAAGATTACTAATGCGAGTAAGTAAAGCTTCGCAACAAAATTAACTGCTGCATTTTTAATAAGATACTCTCACGGCTAAAGGCCGGGCAAGCAGACAGAGGACGATGAAGTGATGAGCGTGGACAGCACCCACGGTATTTTCTTGCAGAGTCACAAGGAGGTTTCGGATCTCCTCACGAACGACCTCACGAATGAGCTCACGCAGAGAACACTCACTGCTAGCAGTCAAAGCAAAGAGGCTGAAAGATGTGTTGTTTGGTTGGTTGTGGTACCGGCGCCGTTGCTGCACTGCTCGCTCGATTGTCGTAGCCTCTTTGATAAATTCCGCTACGCTTGTTGGTGGGTTGTATAGGAGACCGGCAAACAGCTCTTCTTTCACGCCCCTCATCAGATGTCCGAAGTTTTTTACCTTCAGGCATCTCGGGGTCAGCCCGCCCAAATAGACGGGTCATGTCCTCCACAAACTTGGCGACACTCTCGTTCGGTTTTTGTATGCGTGCCTCGATGAGCTGCAGAGCAGAATCTCGGCGATCGATGTTTGCGAATGTCCCGAGAATTTGCTGCCGAAATTCATCCCATGAAGACAGCGTTGACTCGTGGTTCTCGTACCACGTACAAGCGCTGTCTGCCAAAGCAAAGTAAATGCGTGATTCAGTGGGCCAGCGGTTGGCCCTCGCGACTCGCTCATACTGGGCTAACCAGTCCTCAACGTCTTCATAGACCTCACCGTGAAAGGTCTCGGGAATTCGAGGCCTGCTCAACAGTAAGCTGTGAAGGCCCTCCAGTAGCCATTTCTTCAGGCACGGTGCGTTGCTGAGAAGTTCGAGGGGAATTGCCTCAGGACTGAGGCCTCGCTGTCGGCGACTGTAGCGGTGGACAGGAGTATCCACTGCAGGAACGGGTTGCGGTAACGGACTCGAAGTGCCAGGGCACGGAGGTGTCCCAAGCATCAGTTGAAGAAGTCCAGCACCTCCACGAATGTCACGACGTGAAAATAACAGGATACAGGACAACGGTGCGACCAGGAAAAACAAGGTCTGTATTAACAGAACAAAAGAGCAGCCGCTTCGACGTCGTCTTCCTCGGAGCAATCGTGGGTGCTGTCCACGTTCATCACTTCATCGTCCTCTGTCTGCATGCCCTGGCCTTTAGCCGGGACAATATAATAATGTATCAGCGATAGTTACATATTTCATCAAACTAGTGACTAAATAAATCATTTCCATACTGACTATATTATATTTCAAATGGTATCTATTTTTAATTTAAATGCACTTCTGAATAAAAGGAACAAAATTATGAGCATTTTGTAACAATTTTTCTACAGGCAAAACTGCTTGTGGTGCTAGATAGGTAAAAAGTTCAGAATTAGCTTTAAATGTTTAAAAAGTTATTGAAAGGGTGTTGGGCCATCGCCTATAATTCACAAACTTTCTAAAAACAAGAAGGTTCGACAACAATGAATAGTTTCCCTGCACTGCCACCAACAGCTTGATCGATTGATTGTGTTTAACACCACGCAGCAACACAAGGGATGCAAACATCGCCATAAAAGAAGCCCCCAAATTAATTTTCACATTCAGCATCTGCAATTGTTTATGCTCGCCCAAAATTAAATGCACAACCATTTCTACAACATGCTCTATTTAGAATGCATCTAAGTATCGAACAGATGGCCTTACGCTTCAGCTTCAGAATGACATAGTCACTAGAAAGCTGAAGTAGGTCGGTCAACTGGGAGATATGCTAGATGTAACTTCCAGTACCTTTTTTTTTTATTGTTGTTACTAAAACAACATCAAAAGTCTCGTGTACGCTTCGTAGTTCAGCACAATGTGAATGTTAGCAAGAAAAGAAAACTATATTGAAGTAGAAGATGTATTATAATTACAAAACTAACTCAGCATTTCCAAAACTGGATCACGGCCATTTTCTGAGACAACATCCATTTGATGGTCACAGAAGAGAACCTTCCTTTTAATGTAAAACAACCTGCAAAATAGAATTGAAAAACAACACAGAAAAACACATATTAAAACTCTCAATGCCAAATAACATACAGCCTCCAAAATATTTCACGTATGTGGAGTTCTACGAGATACTACTGCAGTATATGAAACAGCACCGAATGACTCAAGTGTTTTGAAAGCCCTAAGGAGCAGTGCGTGGCTCTAAATATATATATATTTTTTTAGATGGCGAAGCTCCTTGTGGCGTAGACAAATTCGGCATTGTACTAGCCACCACTAGTACTCAGAGTGCTCACTAGATAGCGCTGTGGCACTCGCTCCACTCCTCTGCATGCTCTCATGTGATAGGAGACCACATTCGCTCTTGCGCTAAAATGCGTTCGCTCTTGGCACGCTCCCTCTTTTGCCGGCAGTCTGTGTGCTTCGAGTATGAACGATGAAGACAAGGCGGTGGAGCGGAGGGCTCCGAAAACGGCTGGAGTCCGTGCTAGCCGTCTTTACATGATGACCAACTGGGGACTATTTACGGGGGATTCATGGTTTACCGATGTACCTCTGGAGCTTCGTCCACTCACCATCACTCACTCCTGTGAATATGCTGTATTTTTTTTCCTTATACTTGGTCGATTATCCACGAGCCCATAGGAAAAAAAATATAAAGTGTAACATGAAAGCATGCAGTCCTCTCTAATGCAGACACAGCACTGTAATGCAAGCATCGCTACATGCTAGGCCTACGTTTAGTGTCACCTTTTATCATGTCAACAAGGTTCAGAAAAGCTTTCATACTAAATGGGCTGCCATTCCTGCTCCGGTCGCATGCCAGTCATGTTCACGAAGTCCATCATAAAAAGAAGTAAAGAAAAAAGGTTGCCATTAGAGGCACTTACGAGACAATGCCCAGCTGCCCAACATGGTAGGCCACCAGCCTTTCCTGCAGTGCCCTCTGGTGTAAGTGAGGCGAGGTGATGGGCACAAACCGAATCTCTGCGAGTTCCTTCAAGACATGGCAACAAACAGCAAGTAAATAACATTTCCCAGGAACAACTTCAAAAAGATAATAATAGCTAAAGTTAGAGTTGGCTGGAAGTCCAAATGAAAGCTTTTGTAGTCAAAAAAAAAATAGGAAGGAGAAGACTGGAAGCTTGCGATGAAAAATCCGTAAACAGGGGTTGTATCGAGTCGACGTTTTAGAGAAGTGGACTTGTCTTCCTCAAGGCTAGAACTGATTTCTTTAGCGTTAGCGTGTCTACACTTCATACTCTCTCCTTCATCTTAACAAAGGAAGGGGAGCGGAATCATTGTAACGTGAGATATCAGTGTCATACTTGGGCCCAGTGCTTTATAGTGTTGTGGTATGAAGCCACACAAAGAGACAGCCACAATGAAACAGCAGTTATTAGCTCTTAATTGTCATAATATAATGATGCTTACTTATTATAGCACACTATATCTACTTTTTCATAAATATTGCAGGACGTACTCATAAATGTGGATTCACACCAATTACATGCAGTGCAACACGCAGGTTCTTCACTCTATAATGACTACTAGCAGTACTACATGGTGGAAGTGAAAATACAAACACTGTCATACTAGTGAGTTAGCCCTTGCAACTAACAAGCCCAAGCTGTACTTCACATAACTGTACTATAATATAGCCAGAGAAGAAAACACACTCATCCACAAAAGAAAGATTTGGACAGGAGTTTGTTCGCACGGCAACATTTTAAGCGCACCAAAGAAAACAACATGGACAGTGAAAAAAAGACACAGAGCGTTCTGAACATCTTCTCTTAACGGTCGATGTTTTCTTGTGCTCTTGACTTGCCTTAAAAAATGATCATTCGCATGTACTTTAGTTACAGAAGGCTTGATGACAACAAAAATTTTTTGATACATAAATATTTACAGTGACAACCAATTCAATCTAGAAGAATATGGTTGCCAGTGAAATGTAAAATAATTTTGCACATGAAAACGCTATTAGGCTTGCGATAAAGTTAACTACAGGTAAAGTGTCTGCTCACTGCATGTAACTTAATTACAAGTACAGCCACGTCTGGAGCAGATAGCTTTAAGTGATTGAGATGAATCCATTTCTGTGACAAAAGCTTGCCGTACTCACATCTTCCGAAATGTTTGCAGCCTGGAGAATGGCGGCATGAAGAGTCAACAAATTGGCGAGATTGATGAAAAATGCAAGCTGACCGACACCCCTGTGCAGCTGAGAGAGGTCAACGTGTGCGAGCGAAGCACAACCTTTGGCCCACGAGGTAAAAGCTTCACTATGGCCAAGGGCTCTGGCACCATTTAATGTGACCACAGCATCACTTCGTTCCATGTGCTCTGTTCATGAAAAAAAGAGAAAAAAAGTCAGACTCTGAAAGGTAACTCCCACGGGGCATCACGTTAGACATTAACTAACCGAACACTGATGGGAAGCACAGTAATCCTAGATTAAAATACGACCAATCAGGGCTAAGCAATGCACACGGCATTTTCTCACATACAACTTGCATCAAATAACGAAAAACATGTGCTCATGAACTGGAAATGTGGGTTATATAAAGGAGTTATATTAACAATTCTTTTTTTTTTGTCCTTTTGTAGAGTTAAAGTTAGGTGTGCACGTAACACGCAGAAGTGGGTGATATGAGAAAAAATGATGGTACATTTGTTTCCCTGTCTTCGATTCAAGCTTTTATCAGCATAATTTCAAGTTGAACGTTCATATCAGAGCAAACATCCCATTTAGCAGAGAGATTCCTAGCAATGTGTGGTTATCCTGAATGATCGCACATACCTGCCAAGATATTAAGTATTTTAACGTAGCACTTCAATCTGTGACTACAATACAACATCTGTTCATTATTTTCTTATGGTCGAACACAGCATTTGCAGCGTTCGAGAACTTCAGAATTAGAACTTCAGAATTCAAAACTAAGTCTTTGCATGAGGCTTTAGAAAATTCAAGACTTTCAGGCCCGATTTGATGAGCCAGACAGTGTTTATTAGGTCAGCGTCAACTGAAGCAGCCACAGTATGAAAATTCTGAAACTGAGCTGAAAGCCACTACAGGAGGCCATAGAGAAAAAACAACAGAAAAGACAGTACCGCAAGACATTCAGCATCCTTGAAACACTTCAGACAAAACTAAGAACAAAAAAAAAGAAACTAGTGAGGCCGACCTTCCATCAACTTGATGAGGCCCTTCAAGAGGCACTTGACGACATAATTTGGATGCCTGGAGGAATCTGTTGCAGAACTTTCACCACAGTCATTGAGCACTCCGGGTGAATCTAAAAAAAAAAACGGCATCAACATAATCAATTGTGCAAATGTGGGCTGACGGAGCACAGGGTATAATGAAGTTCTCTATATCATACATACCATACAAGGTAAGTAGTAATAAGTGTGAGAAAATGACGAGGATGTGCAATCTGAACAAAAGTTCTGTAGTTTGTGACAGTTGGAAACACGTAGGCCACGACACATGACATCATAAATTTCTGACAACCTTGCACCCTCAGTTCCCCCACCCCCCTCCTCTAACAACAAAAGGCTGAGCTACTTGGCAAGTATTCATGTTAAAGAAGATGGGGCGTGCCAACACAGACACAAGAGAAAAATCAGGACACCCTCTCTTGTATGAAGACTTCCCTCTTGCGTCGGTATTTGCATGTCCTGTCTTCTTAACAAAAAAACCAACCCTCCCTTGGTGAAAAATTATTTACTTTGTGCGATAGCTTCACTTATACTATTCAAGAGAATTTTTAGATTTGAAAAGCTTTTAAGGCAGGAACTTTGTGAAGAAATGAAGCCACTAAAACAGGTAATTTTAGATTAACTTGTAAATGTATTGCCCCGCCCCTTTATCAAGCTTCAAACTGCTGTCGCTGTAAAATAAACAGTACCCATTGAAAACTGTGTTTCCGGCTTGTGTGCACTTTTGAGCAGGACTTGGGGACAGCACTCGCGGGCGAGAACATTGGCCAGGCTCAGCTTCATCTGGTGTGCCAGGCTTTCCAGCCGTGAGGGAGCAACTTCCTCGCGAAGGACTAGCCGCGCTAGCAGCTTCGACGGACTCTGGCTGAGCACCCAGAAGTAGCTGTCCTCAGACATCCGTGCCACTGGGAATCACAAAACATGAAGCCTTGTGTATTATTATTATTATTATTATTATTATTATTATTATTATTATTATTATTATTATTATTATTATTATTATTATTATTATTATTCAAAATAAACTCAAGGATACATATTACATTGGGAGTGGCACATCTGCATTTGTTGCTCATTATGCATCATAACAAAATGAAGGACACGTTGTAAAGTGAATTGTGCGTAATATACCCAGTGAGCTTATGAACAAAAATTACAAAATAAACATCTTAAAAAATTTGAGATACACATAAATTCATAAAAACAAAACAGCATCAAAAATAACCGAGAATCTGCCAATTCTAAGAAAATAATACTAACAACAATAACACTCTGACTAGAGATAACTGAACTAGATCTCAAAACTTGGTTAGGCTGCATTCAATGGCAATATTGCATGTGAAGGCATTGCATTAAATTATTGCGCATGATAAGAAAGAAAATGCACTGATGGGAAAACTGAGAGTTCGCACGTTTGACTTTATATGGATGGTCACGACAAGGAAAAATAACTGTTGATGACTGAGGAAAAGTCATCATCAAGATAAAAAAGGTGTTAAATCTTATGTAAATAAGATCGGCAGGAAACTTTAAGAGAAGGGCTAGGTTATCAAAGTCAGATTTACTTTTTAACAAGTTAGTGATAAGATATGGCCATTATCGGACATCTGTACAACTGTAAATTATACAAGTTACAGGCCAGATGTTCAAGTTGTACGAGAGAACTCTCAAGTTTAGCTATCCTTGGATTTTAGCAAGCCTTGGATTTGAAGATACCTTATACAAACCAAATGACAAAAGCTGCCAGGTCCTATGTAAAATCCATACCATGAAAGCAGGATCATGACACAAAGTGCGAAGCGTTGAGTGGCAGCTACTTGCTAGCTAGTTGGTATATTTGCACTAAAACTTCATCCCCTTTATGAGGTATCAGTCATAAAGAAAGAAAAAAGAGAGAGAGAGAGAACATTCCCAGCATCACAATTAACAGTGCCCTGCAATTTGATAAATTAGAGCAGTTCACCATACCAACAAAAGTTATCAGCTTGACTCACTGAAAATACAAAAACATGTCGATAAACACATTAAACCATTATAGTGACTGATCATGTAAGTAATACGTTTAACATACACAGCCACTGCGTGACTTACAACAAATGCTCAATAATTAGTGTCCCTATGAAAGAAAAGACAAAGAGATAGAAAAAAGAAGTGAAAACTGCTCCATCAATTTGAATTATACCGAATGCTTGTTTACGTTTCCTTTATGGGACATTTCTACCCTAGGCTACTATGAAGGACATTTTTCTGTGAAAGCCATTGCAGCCAAGAAGTGTGATTTTTCACGAACATGGTTACCTTTGACAGACTAAATTCTCAATATGGATATGAGTGTTTGAGCACTGGTTATATAGAACCAATAATTGAGGCTGTAGGCTTGTAGAGGCTTCCCCATCAGCAAGGGGGGGGTGAAGTTATAAGTAAGCCCCTCCCTCACTTTCTTCCGACATTAATCTGGTTGGCTGACCAACACTCAAACATTCAAGTTCGATTGATCGATTGATATGTGGGCTTTAACGTCACAAAGCCACCATATGATTATGAGAGACACCGTAGTGGAGGGTTCTGGAAATTTCGACGAACTAGGGTTCTTTAACGTCCACCCAAATCCGAGCACACGGGCCTACAGCGTTTCGCTTCTATCGAAAATGCAGTGGCTGCAGCCGGGATCGCGGGTCAGCAGCCAAGTACCTTAGCCACTAGACCATCGCGGTGGGGCAACCTTCAAGTTCGTTGAGTCTGTAAGACCAACATGCTTTGCAAGGAATCAAAAAATTAAAATGAAGCATCACCGTACTCCTCCTAAAGGCCCGAGCTTGGGCCTTAACTTTCCAGTAGTAAAGTTGAGAAGCAAGCAGTTCTTAACAATATTCAGCTGCCAATATCATCAAAAAGCTATGCAGCCATAAAAGTGCTCTTAGTTACAGGACAAATCCTGCGAAGTAAAAGTCTTCACCAGACTTTGTGCCGCCCTCATCATTCCACACTCATATGATTAAGGGGGCATGCTACCCCCCACTCCTCTTGAATGCACACCTGTGATTAAGGCTAAAACATAATGCTCTGCACAGCAGCAGTGCCAATGAGCTAGTATGTACTAGTACAATGAGTTGTAGAAAGGCATGTTGTGCGGCTCACTTTTAGTCTTTGACTGCTGCGAGGCTTCACGAATGGCCTTGTGGAGTTGTCGAGCGTGGGCATAGACAGAACGGAGGAAGTCGAACTTCACGGCGGGCAGGAACGTCAGGTCGGCTCTCTGCTCCGAAACTGTGGCCTTGCTCAGTTGGAGGAAGGAGCGATGGAGCTCCACCCGAGACTCCTCATCGCCAGAGGAAGAGGAATTCGACTGACAGCAAGCCAGGCATGTGAAGATCTAAGAGGCTGCGCACCTATGAGAGAAGGCATTTTTACTTGACAGATGATGTCAAAGAGCATATATACACTGATTAATAAAATCTTGCGGGTCGTCTCCATGCAAAAGCTGAGAGGTTGTGGACACATTATGACATCCCATTATCTCACAGTGACTTATAGACGTCCATATCAACTTCCTTCAGCCTACCAGGCCTGCTGGACTTGTTATGGGCTCAACTTAGATGACGGAAGCTAAATTACAATGAGGGACAGTATACAAAAGTTTTCACGCATAATAAAGAACCACAATAGGTCAAAATAAGTCTACTGTGCTCTACTGCTGAATTCTTCACAAGATAGTGGTTACGGCAAGTGAAGCATCAGAATTAAATTTTAGACGCTTAAAGGCCTTGATCTGATACTTTCTTCATCATGTCTTGTTTTATGCATTATAATACCTCAATCAAGGCAGTTATACCTTTCTTTTATAGCAGCAAATACTTGCCATTAAGTGCAAGGTTTCATGATTAACATATGTGTGCTGCAAGACCTGCCTTGCATTTACATTGAGGCAGTTAATATCCCATGCCACTGTCAATACAAACAAGACAACTAAAGTCCTACACATATGATTGAGCACCCCAGCTAATTTTCCCTTCTTAGTGTGTCTATCACAATACAACCCCTGCATAAAAATATGTTATGTAATGCTACTAGAATCAAACATCTGCATCTCTGATCACACCGCTTCAAGATTAGCCAGGGTATGCTTGGTATCTTTGGCAAGCAAGGTACTTTACTAGTGAGCATATGACCCACACGTTTGTTACAACTTCAAGCCATATCACACTCAAGTTTGTCATGAAAAATGGTCTCCAGAACTGTGCTGGTTTACAAGCAAGCTACCTCTCTGCAATTGCAGTTCTGCTTTAGTTATATATTAAAAATAACAGAAAAAAAGCATTGTTAGGAATATACCGTATTTACTAGCGTAGTGAACGCACTCGCACAATAATGCACCCCCAAGCTTGGTCGTTCAAATTTCGAATTTTTCTTTTCCACATATAATAAATGCACCCCCTACATTCATCCGCTGCAGTACCGCTAACCAACACCTAGCGCCTCCTTGCTCGTTGGATCCCTCCCGTTTTTTATTAATATGCCAACCCCCCCCCCCCCTCGACCACCTCTGGTCACTCCCCCCTCTCTCCTTCCTTCGCGCGCCACTTAGTTTATCTTTCTAAATGTGCACGGCACGTACCCTAGTCTCTTTCAAATATTTATGTGCCACAGTGGGGTTCGCGAATGATGCGAGTGTAGAGACATTGCAACTGACAAGCACACAGCGAGCGAATGTCCCAAAACTTCCTGCACCAACCAACGGTCACTTCCTGCAAATACGAAACTTTAAGGCTCAATCACACACACGCAATTTTCGAGCGACGACGACAGGATTTGCTGACTCTATGGCTGTCGCGAAGGGTCATTTGTCGCCATCGCGTCACGGGATTCTGGAAAACCAGAAAGAACTCGCTTGCCGCCCAGAAAAGGTCGTTACTATTTTCGCAACATGTTCCCCCAATGCTCACTTCGCTTGCAAGCGAGGCGGCTGCCATATTTTGTCCTTATCTAGTTATCGACGGTTTGTTTTGATGCTTCAGGTGGTAGCTTGCTGCAATGTTAGTTGCTTGCTACAATGTCAACGTCGTCATCAAGCGAGGTTGCCACGAAGTTGGCAAAGTGCGTCGTGGCGTCATAGGCGCACGCTTCTAGGCGCCGCTCAATATTAGAGCAGATACCAGCTGTTGCGGTTAAATAATTGCAAGAAAAGATAACCATGAAACACCTTAATGGCGTGCACTTGCCGCACGGGAACAGCTTGCAGAAGATAGCGCCTTCACCACCGAAGATGAGTGATGTGCAACAAAGAAGCTGAGTGACCTAATTTTTGTTTTTGCATTGCCGCATTTTTTTGCTCATACCAAAAAAGTTTTTATAAAATGTGCACCACATAATAAACGCACCCCAAACTTTGCTCCAATTTTTCGAGAAAAAAGTGTGTTCATTACGCTACCTAGATAGGATAATCTTTCATTACTTGAAATTAGGTGCCACAGAAGTTCAAGATTTCTGGGGGTGTTACTCTGTGGTGTTTCAAGCTTATAAAGAACCCAACTGCAAAAAGCCCTAAGAGAACAAGAATATGAAAGGCACTAGTACCTTGCTGTAGAGGGATTCTATCTGACGCCATGCTGCTCGCTGCCTGTGCAGTTTCTCTGCATCAAACTCATCCACAAATCCGACAAGCAACGTCTTGAGCGATGTCTCTTCATTTTTTGAGCAGCACCCGACAGCACCGACGATGCCATCATCTTCATTGGCCTCCTGGAGAAACCGTCGCAGTGCTTCCAACGTAGTCGTCAGTCGAGGGACTCGACCGTGCAAGTTTCCTGACACTTCGGTCTCACGCTTGCTGACTGCAAGTGCCAGCAAGCGCTCCGCGACATCCCGTGGAACATCGGCAGTGAGCGCCAGATCTGCCACGGCAGCAACATGAGGTCCACCGCTGCCATATTCCTCCACGAAGTTACGTGCAGCCGTGTTTCCGCTCGCGATGTTTAAATGGCCATTTTCAATGGTCAATCCCTCGGAGCTAGTGCTGAATGAGCTGGACCTAGGGAATGAAAGAAGAGGAATGCCGGGGCCCATTTTACTTCGTTAGACACAACCTTAATGAGAACCAACAAGCAATTAAACCAAGAAAGGTGTAGGAGGCTTTTTTTGTAGCATTTTAACTTTATTGTGGTCATTATGATATAAATTTAAAGAAATTAATGCAAACGAAAAGATAACCTGTCTCTGGCAGGTATCGAACCTGCACCCTTCGGGCGGGAAGCGGCCATTTTCCCCCCAGTCCCGTCCACTTTATCAGGTACTTCTGGGTATATAAAGCTAAAAGTGTTAGGATGTGAAACACTTCTAGACAACATTGTAAACCGTCCGCACTCACAGCTTGAATGACAGCATCGGGCTCCTTGGAATGGGTCTGCATGACGTTTCCGCAACTTGACGCCCCCTCATGTCAACAAGAGAAAGCTATAAATATCTGATAAAATCTCAGTGCTTTTAATTTTTTTGTGTAAAAAATTCTGAGCAGCTCAAATTAAGCACATAACAAAACCTAAATATGTCTCCCATTGAGCCAGCGAGCCAGAGACATACTTGGATTCTGTTCAACCAGCATCTTGTTAAGACAGCAAAGTGGCCTGCAATGTATTCATCTCTGATGCTATGTTGACCAAGCTGTCTATTCTGCCTGCTACACAAGGACAGGAATTGGACTTCGCTGTCTATCCACTTAGCTGTCTCTTAGGCTGCCTATGGTGAGTATTAGAACGCATCCTTGCTCCGCAGCACTCGTAGTGATGACGACGAGTGTGGCACACTTTGACTTGCCATCTGGAAGCGAATAGCACGTAAGCTTTCTACAAGATGGCAGCTGACCCATAAACCCTTGAGTACCATAGAGCTTCCTATAAATACACTAGACGAAACTCTGGCGCTAGTGTCTATGGGAGCTGCAACGCACGGCGCTTCAGCGAGCATGGGAATGATGGCTGGTACACGGATTTGTCTATTCTTCGTACTTCTTGCTCCGTTTCTGTCTACATGGCTTGGAGCTGTTTTGTCACGAAACAAAAAGCGTATGTCCAGAAGTTAGGCTTTACCAACTTATTCTTTTAGGCTTACTATTTTTATTCAGGTCACGAAGTTTAAAAGGTTTCATTCTTTCCTTCGAAACACAGCAATAAACAAAGCCACAAGTGCGATTTTAGGCCCAAAAGTACGAAGCTTAGGCAAATCCGTGTACTACCCATCACTCCCATAGTCGCTGAATGATCGCAGCGCCAAAGTCCCCTCTAGTTACGGAAACTCTATATTGCATACTAACTGAAGGCATCAAGTCTGCCGAAACGAGACCGTTGCACAAAATGAATGAAAGGTGGGGACCTGTTACGAATTAGGAGCTCTGCTTCAGGTATGGTGGGCACTCCGTCGGCACAGAGAAGCCGATCGACCAGAGCCGTGGCCATCGTGAGGTGCAGGCCTTCCCGTGCAGCCTGACCAATGATGGAAGTGGAGGCGGATGAAGTGCAGTACGTGGTGCGGTTCGCCGGAGTGGAAATATTGGTGAGGTTCCCCGTGACCTCCTCCAAGTGACGGCTGAACTGCAGTTCCTGAGCATCGTGAGTTCCATCGAGATTAAGAACCTGTTGAAAAGAAGTAGAAGCACTGTTACTTTGTGCTTGTCACAGGGTTCGTACACGTTTCAAAGGCAAATAAATGCAGTCATGAGCGATATAAAAAGAAACACTGAAATTACCTTCAATCAGCCATAGTGGTGAAATCCAATTGCTAAGCACAAAAAGTTTTACAACACTAAATATATTCATATGAAATGGTATCTCAAGCTAATGAATACATCCTATTCAAATATGCACATCACCAGCAATCACTGCTGAAACATGCACATGGTGTTCTCTTTCATACCGCTCTTTACTGTTCACACTTTGCTTTTCTAATGCAATTTTTTCAATGTCTCTTTCACCTGACTACTGATGGGCAAGAGCACACATGTCGGCAACGCTTTGTGCACGAGAATCAGAATCGTGTCATTGCTATCATAGTGCATGTCGTTCCAAGTTTAAAATATTGTATTTTGCACAAAAGGTTTTCAGAGAGAACATGCTTCCTTCAACATTACCTGCTAATGTTGGAGCACTTGTAGCACATTTTCACATAACCACAGTGCCTCTGCATTTTCTCTGTCAAATCACTACTACAAATGTTTTTTTTTTTTTTTGCTCCTTTTCCTGCAGTTCTACAGCAACCAAATATTTATTGTCTAGTTTCTCGTTCGTGCTAGTCCAAAATGCCCACATTCGCCTAAGGCCTGAGAATGTGGCTGGCAGAACTTGTTAAAAGAAAGTTTTGTAAGCGGGCCCCTAAGTATTAAAAAATTTTCAATGTTCTTCTAGTGAGACTGCACAAACACTTTAACAGTTGTATGAATTGGAAAGATATAAGCAAAGGTCTCTTCAGTATTGTTGATTTCCCATTACTTTTTTTTACCTGGACCACTTGTGCCGCCTTCTCGTAGCTTCCATGCCAGAGACAGTGTTTCAGCAATGCTTCAAAGCTGGCCAGCATCTTTTCAATAATAGTGCAGTCACCACGCTGCAACACGAGCGAAGATCGGCGCCGTCGTTTTTTTGGCTTTCGTCCAGCTTTACGCTGCACTAGACTACCTACAGGAAGAGTAAAAGCAATAAGGCATGGCAGTGCTAAAAGGAACTGCACTCCTGTTTCACAAAGCCTTTCTTTGGTCCTTTAAAAGCAGAAGGTTAAGTATGGTACTCTTAATTGTGCTTTTTAAAATTTTCGGTTGATTTTATGTATATTTGTGCATTGAATGCTTGCATTTCAAACATTCAATAATTATATCAGTACGATACGTAGTCTATAAAATACTGAAACTTTAAGGCACTTTTTTCAGCAAGATTTTTCTTAAACAGATAGATTCACAGATTAGATCAGCAATCCATCACAATAATCTGAAATTACAACTCTACGCGGTGAAACGAGAATGGGCGTTTAAACCTATTTGAACAAAATTATGACACGTTGAATCTCCATAAGCAAATTTTTGCCCTAGGCCTTTAGGTGCTACCAGAAAAGATTGTCCTTTGCATCAGCAGTGGTTCAGTTGCATGGCATGCAATTCAAAAGTGTCCTTTGCTAAAATCGTGAGCAACTTCACTATTTGACAAGTGGCACCAGAAAAAGTTTCAGTTAATTTTACCGTTGCCCATTTGTGGCAGCAGTGAGACTTCATTACAGCAGACTCTGATTGAAGTCGAACCTGAATGGATCAGAAAAATATGCTCTTCTTTAACAGGAATTTCAATTACAGAGAGATGAACAGGCGTGTAGAATTCGGGTAAGAAAGCAATATCAGAGGCCGTTATTCTATTTAGGTTTTATTGAAGTTCTAGTTGAAGTTCAAGAGGTTTTCGTCTCCTGTATATTATAGCAGTGTAACAAGTGTATGGACATGAAGTTTTAAAATGCAAAATACTGCATTATACACAGAAATTTCAGTTCAATTGAAGTTTGTTGAAAAGAAAGCTTGTTATTTCGAGGCGCTTAACTGTACATAGATATTAAATGAGCACCAGAGGTAACTACTGCTAGCTCTGGCAGCTTACAACACACCTTCTGGGCTTTCCTTGATGATGTCAAGGGGACTAACGTGCGACACAGGTGGGTCCACTTCTGGTACTGGCTCAGAAGAAGTGACCAGTTCATATCGCCATTGGGCTTCGACCACGTGCTTGCGCAGCTGGTCCAACCGAGATGGAAGCTCCTCCCAGCTGACCGAGGATGATACGGGTGGCTCCTGAGGCAGCGAGTCTCCACCACCAGAAGCCTGGTAGGCCGAATTTGAAATTACGTAAGTTCCAAGCTTCATTTCAACTCTCACAGTAAAAGCTCATTAATTTGACACCCATTAGTTCGAAAATTCAGACAATTTGGATGCATTCCATGGTCCCAGCAAGCTTATATATTCATTGTTGACACCAAACTCTCGTTAACTTGGGCATATTTGGCTGCAAGCCACTTAATTCAGTTTATTTTGGAGTGCACCAAGCATGCAGCTCTGCATTTGTGTGATGCAGAGAAGCGAAAATGGCGTTTGTGCAAACCGAAGCAAAGCAAATCATTTTCCATCACCAGTGCCATCAGCATAAATCATACGGTAATGAGTTTCGAGCTTAATTTCTCGTAAGCACATTTCAAGTTAGTTTGGACAAGAAGGTCTTGAGCCACGATCACATTGTGAACAAAGTTGATTGATTGATTGATTTGTGGGGTTTAACGTCCCAAAACCACTATTTGATTATGAGAGACGCCGTAGTGGAGGGCTTCGGAAATTTCGACCACCTGGGGTTCTTTAACGTGCACCCAAATCTGAGTACACGGGCCTACAACATTTCCGCCTCCATCGGAAATGCAGCCGCCACAGCCTGGATTTGATCCCGCGACCTGCGGGTCACATTGTGAACAAAGTGATGAGTGGTGAAAATCGTGGCTTTTAAACTGCTCTTACGCAAAGTAAGTTTGGTATATACATATTCATCAAGAAAATCAAAGTGCATTGACATAAAGACATTTGTTTATTGCTTTCTTGATATTTTCAATAATTCAGACATTTTTCTCAGTACCATGAAAATCAAGTTAACGAGGTTTTACTGCACTTGATAGTCATTCTATTAGAAAAAAAAAGTCACAGCTTTGCCGCAAAAGCAAAGCAATGAATGCAATAACAACAAATTGGAAGGCCACAGTGCAGAATGGCAAGCAGATTGAAATATGTCCCCCGTTTCTCACGCACAAATGACGCACGAAACGTACTGACACGTACAGATAAATGTGAATAAGCGTCTCAGTTGTTACTTCGCTGCGTCTGAAAAGCGCGTCCTTTTGCAAAAGGAGGCTGTGCAATGATTGCAGTGACCTTTGTGTGCCCCGTAACTACAACAGAATCGTTCCAGTGCCAGCCCAACGCCAGACAAGACTTATGATCCTCCCCACCTGGAGATAACGCAGGAGAGATCGTCTACTTCCCTCTTCTCTACGGGCCAAAGTACGCGTGAGAGATGAGAGCCACCGCGCACTCATTGCTCCAGCTTGTTGATAATGGTGAAAACACGACAGTTCCTCTCGAGATCCCCGCCAACAGTGGTAAGTGTTAGATATAAATAGCTTGCCATTGAAACGTTCAAGGAGGTACCCCTCAGTGGCTCAGTGGTTAACGCCTTGCATTCACGAAGCCGAGGTACCACGTTCGATTCCGAATGCCGGAGTCTTTTTTCTAGATTTTTTTCTTTCTTGCATTTTCATTTATAAAGATATGTATACATATACGGTGCACGACATTTATGCTGACACAGGCGGCGAAATCCAGCCGATAGTGTCCATATAATTGCTATTGCAATAAAAAATGAATGCACCTAGTAATACCTTGACAATCCTCATAAAAGTTACCTACCATCAACGTCACATGAATTATACAGTAAAATCTCGATACAACGAATTTCAAGGGACCCCGAAAAATCATTCGTTATTTTAAAAAGTTGTTGTAGTAAACGTACTAAATGTTTTGCACAAAAATTGTAAACACAAACACATGAGTTGCCTACCTGCGCTGTGTGTACATTCGTACCTGTGTTATGCTCTTATCAAGCACAAAAAACAAGCATGAAATATTACAGAACCAGGGAACGTTTATTTGAGGTAGAGCGCTACTTATCCTGATGTGGGCAGCTCGACTGCTGAAAGACGAACTCTTAGGAGTGCGCATTCTTCTTACACATTGCGAAGCATCGGCTTTAAATACCGATTCTTCACGATGGTTCACGCCGTATTCGCTCTCGTCGAATACGGCGTATTCGCACTCATCGCCGTTTTCTTATCACGACAAATGGTACATATCACATCGGTTGTCAGCGACGCTCATGTGCATGCTTCTTCGTCGCACTGTGCGTAGTGTTCGAGCGTTAGTGAAGCATGCACTTGTAATCGTGGGCGACTTATCCCACAGGTCACTCGCGTCGCATTTTCCCCTCTCGTAGCATTTTCCACTCTCGTAGCATTCCTTTCGTGCTGCTTCCGGAACTCATCTTGAACGTTTAATCACCAACCAAAAGGCTAAAATACAGCCACGTAACAAGGGTGCAGGTAAAGCTGCCCGACGAAAATAAACGCAACGGGGCGTAAACTGATGCAAAAAACAAGTAGCGGGCGATGACGATAGCGAGAGGGCTATCACACATTTCAATAGAGCAGGTAAATGGAGAAATAAGCGGGTGTTCCGATGATCATAATAGTGGCAGGTGCGGTGCTGGGGCAATACTTTTACAGCCCCGAGTAACTTTTTGCAATCGCTATTTGTTATTTTGAAAAGTTGTGAAGATATCAAAAGGATAAAATTCGTTACTTTATTGTGAAACATTCGGTATTCTGAAATTCATAATAGTGAAATGTTTATACTTTCAACCAATGAACAATTGGAGGGAGATTTTCGAAAAAGTCATTAATCTGAAAATTGCGTTAACGAGATTTCACTGTGGTATGAAAAATTGTTGAACAAAACATTTTGATATACGTACCCCGTTTTATACATCAGGTGTAATCCTACAAAAGTTGCAAGACTTCTTGCAGTACATGCGTTTGCAGTAAGAAATAGTTTACAGTTAAATCCTGGATATAACAAAATTGATAAATTCCTGGTAAATTGGTTATAAAGAGGATTTTGTTATATGCAGGTTCGGCAAGAAAATTCGGAAAATAAATGCGCAAATCAAACAAACAGGGGACTGTAGGCAGAGCTAACTCAAAGCATTTATTTAACAGTACAAATATGAGTTATTATTGCAATAGCAATTATATGGCCACTCTCGGCTGGATTTTGCCGTCGCTGTCATGTTCCATAACAAGTCCAAATTGATAACATACCCCCGTGCATCGCAACTTTCACCAGTGGGTAAAAGGGCACAAGCGTTACTGAAGCAAAGAGCAAATGGGCCCGCCCATCGCTATCGCCTAGAAAGTGCATAAGATAACATCTCCCACGTGTTAAAACTGTGGTCGGTCGAATGCTCAAACAGAAAGTGAACCACCCATATTGAACGAGCATGAAACAACGCGGGGGGGGGGGGGAGGAATCGCTCGAGTAGCAATAATGAACTTGAATTTTTAGGGGTGGTCGCAATCGCTGGCGCACTTGCTGTTTCGGTGAGTATCAGTGTGGTTTCAACGCGAAGAGACTGTGTGAAAAGTGCACTTCTTTCTGGAGCGGCCGTATTTGCTCACACCAGCGTTTTGCAGAAGTTCAGCGATATCGAATCCAAAATAGTTGGCTGCCAGCCTTACTTTTTATATCATTACATTTTCTTTCTATCGTGTTCATTGCATTGCATTCAACATGACGTCGTGTTGCCAGAACTAATCGGCTAATCGCAAAAGCTGCAAGCCTGTGAACTCGCGGCGCAAGGCGGAAGTGCGTGACGAGTCGAGCTCCGAAGATCCGTCGTCGCCATGGTCTCGGACAGTTTCCATCAGCACCTAGTCTGACATCCCCTTGGTGGTGACGATACGGTTCTCCGAAATCAAGAAAAGTCACAGTATCGCTGCAAGGGCGAAGCAATGAATGCGATAGCAACAACTTAGAACGTAACGCTGAGAATGGCAAGCAAATCGAAACGTGCAGCACGCTGCTCATGCACAAATGACGCACGGAAACAACATACACATGACGAGAGCGAACTTGCAACGTTTACCGCTCGACACTTGACGCGCTGTTTAAACAAAAACGAGGCACAAAACTTAATCACAGGTACAGATATGAGTGCGAACTAATAAGTGCCCCAGTTGCTCACTTCGCCGAGTTTGAAAAGCGCACTGTTTTTGAAAACGGCGCCTGTACTGCGAGCCAAGTGATGGCGCGCAATGCTCCCCACCGGCGGATAAGCGCGCATACAAGCATGTACCCCACCCCCCCATATGTGGGGCAAAGCACACTAGGGAGATAAGCGTGCATAGGTGCCTTGTGACAAGCTGGACGCCAAGCACGGACGGCTTTTTTTTTTCTTTCTCAAGCTTTCATGTATATATATATATATATATATATATATATATAAAGAGAGAGAGAGAGAACTATAGATATGCGGTAAATGGCGGCGGCGACGACAAAAGAAACCAGCCGAGACTGTCCATATAATTGGTATCGTAAAAAAAAAAGCAAAGCTGAATGTCGTAGGGGGCTACACCCTGCATGCGCGCACGGCGTCGAAAACGAAAAGCGAACGACACAGATACCGCGGAAAACGATTCGGCAAAGTGCCTTCCATATGCAGCGTGGCCCACATATGTGACGCTAACTAAAAGGCTGGCACTGCCAACGCGCAAAAGTAGTTTTTTCTTGTTTTGTTTGAAGTGAGGAGAGGGGGCACACCCCCGCATGCACCAGCAACGGCGAGAATGACGGTCCGCCAGCTCATGGGTTGAAGGCCCGCCTGCCCACCTCGCGCTCACCTGCGCGCAATAATGAGCGCTCACTCTCGCCTGTTGCGCCGTGCCGCCGCCGCTTCACGCTTCATCTGTGACGACCAAATTGCTAAAATGCGGAGTGAAATTTTTAGATTGTCCGTGCAGAAAATTCGTTATATTAAGGTTGTCTCCCGCTGTTACTTTGTTACATAAAGGTCACAAATACATGTGCTTCTATGGAGCAACGGCGGGTAATATAAAAACTTTGTTATATCAAAGAATTCATTATATGGAGGTTCGTTATAAGCAGGTTTAACTGTAATGGTCTTACGTCACGCAATACAACCTTAATGAAAACCAAGAAGCAATAAAGCCAAGGAAAGTATAGGAGGCATGACTTGTAGCCTTTTAACTGCATTGTGGTAATCAAGAAACAATTATCACATTCAGATCATAATTACTACAATGCAGTTAAAACACTACAACTATTCCTGTAATTTTATTGGGGCCATTATCTCTTTGTTTCATGAAGGTTGTATCAAATGAAAAAACAAGCCCTGAAGATAAAGATGATTGTTATAGCGCGAACTTAGGACAAGGACAAAAGGCACACAAGGACGAGCGATTGCCTTCAAGTGCCTTTTGTTCTTGTCTCGAGTTCGCGCTACAACAAAGCCTGAGCCCCCACCCCTCTAAGCTTTTACGGTTACCTTTTTTCGTACAAACTGTAACGCAATTGTGCTTTCAGAATGAGTAATAAATGAGTATGCTTTGTGCCTTAGAAATAAAGAAGCCCTGTTATTTATACGTTGTGTCAATAGGTTGTTCTCCATCACTGAGAATGTCTTTGTTTTGTATTGTGGCTGCTGATATTAGTTTCCGTATAGCAGAGCTGGAACCAATTGTGGAGGTCACGTCGATGACGAAATGTAAGAGCGATACGCACAGACTTGCTCATTTTGCAGACTGAACTACTTGCATAGCTTCCACAGTGTTGCACCTGATACATGAGAGTACAGAACAGGGCATGCCACAAGAGTCACCAGTGCAACATTGTCTGGAGCAAGCGACTGGGCTTCTTACCATGGCTTTCCTCTGAGCTGACCGGTTGAACAGCTCGGCCTGCGTTGCGAGGACAGCAGTGGACAGAGAGGCCAGCATGCTGGGCACCAGGAAAGGAGGGCACAAGAAACCCACAAAGCCCGTAGCCACCCGATTGGCCGCATTGCTGCTAGCCGTGCTGCCTTTGCCCGAAAGGGAGTCGCTCGTCTCCTTCACAACACTGCTCGATGCCGATACTAAAGGGTAAAGAAAATGAGAAAGACAAAGGCTGCAGGTTGCAGTGATGGCATTAATGACCAACACTATTATACTCAAACCTCATGATAACAAAGTTGCATATTACAAAAAAATAAGTTAGTTATATCTGAACATTCGTTACAAACGTTATCCCTAACACTGTTCATCATAAAAAACAGCACTGTGATACGAGAGAAGAACGACAAAAGGACCGAGCGGTGGCTAACAGCATGATAGTGTTTATTTTCTGTGAATGAATATATATGCCTTGGAAAAGGGAAAAAGACGGCAAATTGAGGAAAGGGAGGCAATGCGCATGCATCTTGACTGGTACATGAAACTGCAAAGTTCAATCACAAAGATAATTATACTCCTTGTCAGTTAGCACAATGGACAGTGCGCTTACACATGATGGTCCAATGGAAAGTATCTTGAACGCTGCCTAGATCTCCTGAGCACGAAAATCGCAATATCTACGCAATATGTGCGTCTGTTCAAAATTGGAGTGCAACCACACTTGGCACAGTGAATTGCCAGATTTATTCCAGTTTCATCTTTTAGATTGTTTTTGTGCTCTCGCAGCCGATCGTTGACTTAAAATGAAGAATCGATGAGAGGGTAACATATTTATTTAACCTTGAAGATAAGCGTCGCGACAATGCAAATTTTTCCTGCATGGGCGTTTTCACTACAGCAAAACCACCTGTACATGCAAACTAATATGCATGTATAAGTTTATTTAAATACTTCAAAATTTTCAATAATTTAAATCCAAATCGAAGCGAATTTAAATACTGTAATGTTCATCCAAATATTCTAAATTTTCGAATATCCACGCAAGCCTATATCAAGCAAACTAAAAATGGCTGAAACTAAAATGCATACATTACTCAGCCCTAAATTTTCACATTTCAATCCATGAGCATCGCACTTTGTCAAGAAAGTTAATATTTATAAGAATAAACAAGTGAACAAACCATAGACACTAGCTGCTTGATTCTCGGCGTTGTTTTTAGCGTCACCATCCGATTCCGTGTCGTGTGCTTCCGGGGTGACCGACACCTCCAACGGTGACTGACTGGAATGATGCTCATCGCTTCTGGCATCATCTTCAGCGTCAGTGGCATCCTCGTCGTCGCTCGCGTCTCTTCGCAGATTGACGTGGGTCACAAAGAGAAGCGAGAAGACATTTTCCAGAACTTCCAAGCGAAATGTCAATGGGTGGAGCTGTCCAACCTCTTCCTCAAAATGCTCCAGTTCATCGAGAACTACATGTTTGTGCACCTGTAAGAAAGGGAGGAAAGATATGGTGATGGGCATGTACTAACAATGCACACAATGTCTTGTAAAAACTACAAAAAAACTTTAGGCCTGCACAAAACATGTAGCCCAGAAAAGATAGAGGAACAGCCTTCCTAGAGCGCCTTTCAAAACTCTCTTGAGGCAACTCTTGCAAGTACAGTTGCAAGGCACCCAATCTACCAGAGCATAAATCATCCGAATTTGGTGAACACACTATGCCGTTTCTGCAGAGAGTGAAACACTATGCCATTTCTGCAGAGAAGTGATGTACACACCCTGTATGTGTCTCGAAGTCATTTTGTGCAATTGGTTGATGTCGTGGCCGGTGACGAAGAATCATGGCTGAGCCCTTTGTAATGAGTCTGAAGCGTTAAACCACATACTGGCGGAATTAGCATTGTGTGAATACTGGCTATTATGTTACTCTTCTGCCACACCATACCACATGCATTAACGCGGATTCTTGTCCAACGTGACACCTGTACAGGGTCTTCTTGTGAAGGAGTTTCAAGCGTCAGCATGGCTCGTTGTTAATATATTCAACTGCCACACACAGCACCCAGATTAAAGTCCTGCTTGATCCTGGATATTGTTTCTTAATGGGACACTAAAGGGCAAAACGATTTTTCGCATGTTAGTAAAGTACAATTTCACAATCCCAAAAACACCACTCATAGCACGACACAACATTTGGTGAGCAAGAAAATGATTCCCACACCATACACTGTAATGTCGTGAATTTTAGGAGGCGTCAACTGGGTTCTACGTAGTTTCAATCAATAAAAATGAAGTACATTGTAATCTCTGGGTGTCCATAGACTGAGCATATGAAGTTTAAGAAAATTTCATCGAGCGAATGCCACGAAAATACTGAAAATACATTTTGAAATGTCTTACATCACGCGCAGAAATTTCGGTGTGAAATTTAAAGATGAAACTTCAACCTTAATTTGTTCCGCTACTAATGAACCTGTGACAGTGAAACATACGACATTAGAGCTCTCAGAGTGCAGTTTGTGAATATATACCAAGTCATTGTTCTTTTTTAGTCTCTCTTTAATAATAAATATTAACGGTTATGGACACCAGCAGCAGCGGCAAACAACTGTGCCATTATTGGCTCTTGTTGAAATCTAATAACAGCTTTCACAGTAAAAGTTTTGACTCACTGGCCCAAATCCATACATGGCAACAGCGTCAGCAAGAGAATCGCACTGTCTCAAGACCACGTCATCTGGAAGCTCCTCTTGAAGCTGCTCTTGTTCCCGAAGCTTTGCAACGCTGCATCCCAAGTGGTGTAGCACAATGGCCGAATGCATGGCGTTCATTGCATGCTGCATGGCCAGGTATCCTCGGTAAAGGGCGCAGTCTCTGCTCCGAGCAGGGCTGGAATGGTATGTGACATCCGTGCTCTCACCGGCAACAAGGCATTGCCCACTGAGGAGGTGAAAAGTGTTACTGCGATCTAACTCTCCAAGGCCTAGGGTCTTATGAAGCACACGCAGCACGGACTGGTGCTGAAGCATTCCAAAGATGGTACGGTTCCTGGCCTTGACATCGGCCATAGACGTCAATGAAGTTTTCCTTTTCCTGCACATTCAAAATATGAAAACAATGCAACAGGAGTAAATGCCGTGTTACTGAAACTAATTGTGAATTTACAGGAAATACATATTGTACAGAAAGTAAATGCAACCTTTAACAATCTAGGCATCAAACATGAAATGCACCTGAAATGTTTGCCCGTTAATTTTTTCGGCATTCAAACGTACTTCTGACAAAAATCAATGCCAAGTGCTGCCTTGTAGATGTTTTTATATCATTTTTAAATCTGAGCAAGCAGTTCTCAAGCTACTGCAAGCTACACCTCTGAACACAAAGTTTATATTTAAAATAAGTTTAAACTGAATCAAATGCAAGCATTCATATGTGCAGGCTGCCAAGCTCTCATAAAATAGCCAGTACTCTGCAGAGGGCCCCTTCACTTTAAATGAAGCATAAGCACAGTACGTAGAGAAAGCATAAATATTATTCAAGTCAAAGTCAGCTGCACCTCTGTAGCGAGATGATCCATTCCGTCACGAACAGGCGATACCGCATCTCCGTAAGAAAACTGTGCGTTTCTTGACTGCTCCATGTTATGGTCTGCATACAAAGAATTGGTCAACATAGAGAAAACAGATACACCACAGGATTAATGCTTTAATTTTCTTTCTAGGACGAAACCTTGAAAGTTCATAAAAAAAATAAAAGCCATGAAAATAATGCTACATCATGCTTTCCTTTCCCTTTCACTATGCCTAAAGAAATGCTTGCTGACATTTCTTACGTGTGACTGGAAACAAAGATTTATATTCACACGTTTTGCATGCCAAAGCCAGAAAACTTCTATAAAGGATGCTTAGCGGGAAATTCCAATTTTTTTTAACACCTAGGGTTTTTTGTTGTCTACTGAAATTGAGATTCGCTAATGTTTCCTTGCATTTCAATAACATCGATTTGTAGCAGCGATGGCCAGAAATTAACCCCCACCTTCTAAACAACACTTGAACCAGAGGCCCTTTACACAGAGATCTTCATCTAGGTATAAAACGCGAACGAGGCTTAGTTCACACTGACCTTGTTTTCAAATGATAATTGTGAACTATGCCACATTAACACACAAACACTCATTTCAGGTGAATAAAGTCCCCAAGTACAGCAAAGAACTAATTCAATTATATATATATATTTTTTAAAAAGCTAGACAGGAAAAAAGGATAGTTTTGTATTCTCCAAATTTCATTCTTAAATTGATTAAGAGTGAACAAAAAATTTAACAATATACTTCAGAAACTAGGGTGCAAGGTTGAAAGAAAACAAGACTCGTGAATTGGGCACAATGCGCACAATTTCATGGTAAGGTTGTACGATGGTTCGGATTTTGACATTTTAAAAATGAGAATGAGGAAACAAGAAGTACAAATGTGATTTGGACATTCCATGCCTTGTATTTTTATTAGAAATGGAGCTATTTGTGGGTGAAAATACAAACCTTGGTGTTGTCCAATGCTTTCAATACACAGCTTGCGTCGTTGTCTGACACAACTTCATTCCAGGCACGAAATAAGGCAATAATGTAGAAGTCTTGCAGAACAGGATGCGCAAAGAGACGAAGTGCTGCTTCCGATTCTCCCCTGTGCAACTTTTTGACAGCAGCGTTCTGATCAAGAAAAAAAAAAAGAAAGAAAACAAAAGTGGACAGGTGTCATACTATGCAGAAAGTAAAGGGAGGGGAGAAGTGAGCACCTCACAGCGAATCTTATCAACCTCGCACCTGAAGAAAGGGTATTTATTTGTGCAGGCACCACAACAGCAAGGTTAACGACGATTAGGTATCTATGACAGGTTTAATGCCTTCACATCTAAAGTTGCTGCTACCCTCACAACTAGGTACAGTCCTACTTAGCTTTGTGATCAAGACAACAACAACGAAAAATTGTTGCAGCGGGGGTTTTACATGCCAAAACCACAACCTTACCAGTCATTGATTCATTTCATATATACTCACTCGCCGACTCAACTTGCATTACATATAATTATTATTGAGAAATTTCAAAAAATTGTCACAAAAGATCGTCATGCTCGGTCCCCCATTTGTGCTGCATTTCAGACAAGCACAAAAAAGCAGAACACGAACAAAAACAGAGAATGCCATACACATGAATAACAACCCAAACAACACCAGGCCTGCACAGAACATGCAATGCCCCCCATGCATTAAATGTGTATTCATGTGATACTATCAAAATGGCTATACCTTTGAGTTATTAAGCAGCTAATGCCATTTTTTACCATGCTGCAAAAGCATTAATACGGCCACGTGCTCCACAAATATAACATAGCCCGTGAGAGCATCGCTGCACTCCGTCCAGTGCTCGTGCAGGCCATGACTAGTAAAATGAGCTTCCACAAGTGCAAATATACTTGGAAGTAATGCATCATGTTTGCCACACCAATTCTTTCTTTTCAACACCATCGAAAATGCTTGCCAGAGTCAATGTAACATATTAGGCTCCAGGCAGCAAAACTGCTGTCCTTAACACAAAATACAGACAATTAAGCTGGCTTGCCTCAAACAAGATATGCTACTGAGAGCAAGATTGTGGGTTCAGATCTCATCAAAAGAAAGAGTAAAATTCATCCACTTTAATTCATTTAAATTTATATCATAACTGATATACAACTGTTAAAAACAACAATTCATATTTTTTATGCTCTCACTGATCTAATTGTCTGCTGGGTCAATTTGGTTGTGTCTAACAAAGAACTGAGCCTCTCAAAAAAAAATCTACTTCTTTTCTTGATGACAACAAAGTTTGTGCTGTCAAACCTCTATACAACTAACCTGAATATAACGAAGTACTGGTTATTATATAATGAAGTAAATGAAAAATAGTCTTACAATAAGTGTTACGAATAAACCTCTAACAAATTTTGGATATAATGCACTTATTATCGTGTAAGATGCAACTTTGTTATAATGAGATTCAAATGTATTACTCTACTGAAAGAAAGGCTTCGAAGGCACAATGTATCACAAGACATTCTGCGAAATCTAGTCAAGCAGCCTGCATGCCCCAATATATTGTGATGCGAAAGTGTCAAAATGGTCGTTTCTGTAGGAACTCTAGTGTCGGCGTCTTCGGTTGTGGGCGAAAAATCGATTCTCTCCGCGAGTGAAACTTCTAGGTAGATGCAAATAAAGAAATAAAAAATCCTTCGTTTAAGAGGGATCGGACATTTGAACCCATGACCCCTCGCTTCGTTGCGCGATTCATTTAGCTGCTTGGCCACTGAGCAGACGTCTTCTACTATACTGAAGGTGAGCTATTTATATACACCATTTAGCATTGGTGGTATGCGCATCTCAAAGGTTCTTCAGCAGCTAGACCGAAAACCTACGAGGCGGTGCAAAGGGCCCAAAGGCACGTTTTCCTGTGTTCTGTCGCATCGCTGCATGGATATAGAAGCCAGCACTCATTATACTTTGGCTTTCCTTGCAGTATGGTTTAGGTATCAACCAAGAAGCGAAGTAAGGCTTGAACACGGTCTGATTAAGCTATCACATTCTACTCTTGAAAGCTAAGCTCGAACATCCTCCAAGTTTTGTAGACAAGTAAACATTTTCTTTAGTCGCAGCTAGGCATACGTACAATTACTGGTTTCCAGGAAATGCTCTTCCCTGACAAAGGACTTGAGGAATGCCTCTTTTAGATCCAACTGGCCAGACTCCTCTGACACGGCCAGCGACAGTGGACTTCTGGTAGCAGCAAGACGTCCATGCCTTTCATTCTCACGTTGAGCTAAAAATTTCGACAGCAGTGGGGACTTCCGGCACACAACTGACTCAAACACAAAAAGTTCTCGAAGAAGGCCTCCATCGATAAGATCGAGCAGATCACTGATGATGGTATCCAATAAGCCGTTGGCCCACTACAAAGAAACAAGAGAGGAAACTTCCTTACAGGCAACACTCACTTTTTCATTCCCCTTTATTGCAACAGCCATAATGGGAATGTTTAATGTGCAAAACATGGTCAATATTAATCAATCAATAAATCAATGTTTATTCCACTAGAAAAATCTGGAAGGAGTTCAGGATTAAAAGCTGTTCTAGGCCACTTGACTCGGTCCCTAAAGACTTTTACATCGGCAGTATTCAACATTCACAATACAAATGTGCATATGCAATCATAATTACAATATATAGGAAGTACATAATACTATATGAGAGTCTCAGTTGTAGCTTACATCGCATATTTAACATTGGATATAGAGAGCAGCAGTTGGATTAGCATCAAATGCTTTAACACAGTATAAACAACTTCAACACATAAATAAAGAATTCTAACTATAAAAGAAAACGGTACTGTGATATGTAAGCATAACATGTTTCCCATACAATAAAGAGTACAAGGATTGTACAGGTGATGACATCACGTAAAGATGACAAGTCAGAAATAAGATGTGATAAAAGCAGGATAGGCTGAAGACTGTGCAAACAGAAGATATGTATGTCTTTCGAGGATTACCCCACAAGAACTGTTGTTTTGTAGACTGATGCCAAGAACTGAAATAACTGCCTTGAAAATAATAGCAGGCTATTACAAGCCCCCAGGAGCCTCGGAAACAGGCGCCTTTGCTGTTCACTAACTTTTTTCATGACAGGACACCCAACTTTCAATTCACTCAGCCAAAAATGGTGTCTTCACATCTTCATTCTATCAAAACGTGCATGCCACGGCCAGGAATTGGATCTTCAAGTTCAACACCAAAACACTACTATTATTTGAAGAGACTGCGTCAAATTATGTCTAAATTCATCCAAAAATAAAATAATTGCATAAAACAGATAGAATATGAAAGTGCATCCTTCAGTGCTGTTAAACATGCTAAGGAAAATGCTAAATCAAATTAGACATATAAAGAAGTCTCACAAACTAAGTTTTCAATAAATCGATATATAGATGCCAATAATTGAAATAGATAGTAAAGGTCAAATTTGAATTTCTTGCAGATTTGTTGAATCCCCCAACACTGCTATGTCAGTGTGGTCTCACGGTAGTAAAATTTCTTTCCTCTGTGTACTGAAATATTCGTGGCACAAACTATAACAGTACTCATAAAAAGGACAAACTGTGCTTGTTTGTGTCCTTTTTCTGAGTCCTGTTAGTTTGCGCTGTCAATATTTCAGTATAAATCTGCATCAACTATGGCACTCTTCAACACTTCTAAGAAGTGTTTCTAATAATTGGGATGGTGTGCTGCACTGAAAGTTATAAAAATGTGTCAAATCTTTCGGGCCTTTAGGATAATAATGTAGTCAATATTTCTCTAGGTAAAAATCAGCTAAACCACAGCAGGTTCTGACGAAAATCCACACAGTCATGACAAGTTGGCGCAGAAAATTCGGAATAAATTGTCATCAGCCCTTCTTTTTAAGCCCTTTCCAAGATTATGGTAAAAGTTGCTTTTTCGGTGCTGAAGAGGGTCAACATTAAACACAGCTCACGCTATTTTTAAATGGCTATAACCTTACTGTGTTTCTTAAAGGGGCTCTGCAGCACAACACTTTTTCAAGTAGTCATAGAATGGATTCACTAGAGGTGCTTGTTCCCTCACAAATTGATTGCCGCAAAAATTTTTCAAATCCATCCAATACGAGCGGAGTTACTAAAATTTGTGACACGCTGCATTTGCATTCTCTATTCTCTTGTTCAGACGAAAGCGATGGAAGCTAAGCCGGGAGCAACAACTCGGGAAAATCAAATACGTCACGCAGGTCTCGTGACCTTGAGAACTTTCTTGCTTTTTTTTTTTTTCTTCAAATAGGCAGCTTTCCAAAGCGATCACACATACATGTGGACATGTTGCCACTTTTCATGGCGATCTCTGTAACGATTGAGCATGCCATGTTCAATTGAGCCAAAGGCTGATCCAACGGCTGTGACGAGTGGTTTTTGAGGTTTTTCTGTCATTTGTCGAGAAAAGAGGAAGCAATATTTAGCTGACTTTGAGCATTTATTGCGAATTCCAGGCCTCGTGCTGCAGTATAATATTTGGCACGCGTGTTCTGGGGAGCCTCTACTACCGATCGACAGCATTTTCTGAACATGCACAAAAAGTGTTGAAGTACTCCTTTAATTGCTACTTCTATGTGGGACTGACCAGGTCAATTTCAAATAGTGCTTCTTTCTTTTTTTTTTTTAAGGCCAGGTGCAAGTGCAGAAATAGCCGTGGTCGAGAAATATTCGAGACTTGGCGTCTTCTTTTTTGTATATCTTTTCAGAAGCAGTGTTTTTCTTTAAAAGTGGATTCAAACCAACGAGCTCGTAATTCAGTCCCTTCAAATTAGGTATTTCCCCTGAAACAGAGTTATTCAATCATACCAGTTGGAAAACTGCATTCCAAAACCCGGACATTCAGTTGGCCCAATTTTTCAGGAGTTAGCAGACTGCGGCGTCATCTGGGAGTGGCTACACAAAACACAAATATTGTGCTTATTAGTGGGTGTGCTGATCAGCAGGTGGCGTGACAATCTGCTCCCTCTTGACATCTGGGCCAATAATGTGTCTATACTTCGATACATTGAGCCTATGGGGAGTTTCGCAACTCGTACGATTGAATAACTCTGATCGTGAAGAACTTGCCTCAGGGTTGCCAAGACAGTGCGCTGCCAATGGATCAGGCAGGCTCACTAGTAGCTTCAGCAACAGCGACCTCTGCCGGTCGTGAATTTCCTCGTATGCCGAGAGAGCCTCCTTCACTCGTTCCAGACAGCTGCGCAGGGCGTCCAGGTGCACTTGCCACAGTTGCTGCGTGACGCCGCTCGCTCCTCCAACACGCTGAGAAATGTGTTCCACCAGAAGACTAGGCCCTCGCGGGGTCGCCGAGGAACAGCTCTTTGAGCGATGAGAGGCAACTCGGCGAAAGAAGACTAATGCTTTCACACTCAGACCGTGCTGCCGCACAGTAGACTTCGTACAGCTCCTTGAACAAATGTGCAAGGCAAGGAATAATTACATAGGTCAAAACATAGACTGGAATAACACATTTCGAGCTAGTTGGTTGTTCATACAGAGGCGAAAACAGGGCGTATTGATGCATACGGGCAGACACAAGGTAAAATACAGACACAGGTGCTGGCTAACAACTGAAGTTTTATTGCGCACGCCACGGAATTGTCTGCCCTTGCAGTCTGTCTGTTCTTATCAATACACGTCGTTTTCCCCTCGGCAGAACATGAAAAGAATCAGTTTTAAAAATTGAGGCAGCTATGGACTAGAGGTATGAAGACAGAAAACAGCAAAGCTGGTGGCCTTACCCTCCTTCTTTTCACCCTCAATTTCTTTTACCACCACTTGCTAAAGTATGCTATAGAAGGCTGTGCTATGCATTCATTCTCTCTCTCTCTCTCTCTGTTTATTGTTATCTCTTCTCTGTATTAATCTGCAATTCTCTTTCTTAGTTGTCCAGTTTCTTTTTTTCTCTTGTTTCTCTGTCCCTCTCTTTATCTCTTTCTCATTCTCTTGCCTGCACCAATGCAATCATGTCTATCTCTTTCGTACCAATGTAATCATGTGCCAAGTGGTTGCGGATCCATCCATAATTGTAGCTTTAATAAACTAAATCTTTTAACACTTCAAACTAGAACTGACACGTTCAAATGTAGTTTTTTTCTCTTAATAATTGAACACTGTGATTGCTTTACCAGGAGGTGTTTGTTGATTGCCATGTCGCGACTTTCTGTCTGATGTTTTATGTATTATCGTCACTCCTACAATAGCCCCAATAGAGTTTCAGTATGTAAAAATAAATAAATTAATTATAGACATTTAAGTTATCCAGGAGACTTTTATTGAAAAGTTGATCTCGAACTCAAGTGCGATTGAAAGCACCCTGTGATTGGAATGCCAGTGCAATGCATTACCTTACAGTACCACATTATTCATATTTTATTATATAAATAATTTATCTCGATTCATCAAGATAAACTACAAATGTAACGAGGATAATAAATAAAAACATATTGCATTCCCTTTGTAACGACATGAATTACCAAGGGCTAACCTTGGGCCTTCGTATAACATATGTAGCGCCTGTGTGGGTCCCCTCCTTCTAGTCCCGTAATGGAAAAAAAATAATAATAATCTGCACTAAATCACTTTAGGCTTGCATTACATTGTACACATGTCATTAATTGCTATATGCCTATAAATCCGCACAATTTTCCTAATATCTGCCCACCCAACTTTCTTCCTCCCACTCATGCACTTGCCATCTTTTGTAATCCATTCGGTTACTCTTAATGATCAGAGACTAGTTTGCCTTAACACTACATGCCCTGCCTATTGCTTGATTGTTTCCATCATCGCAATCATTCGTCATCGCTCACATCCCATAAAAGACATTGCGCTCTTTGGCCATGCACGGCCGTTGTGCTACCAACCTCCACTAATCCTTATCATTGCTTGAGTTCGACTGAGATGTCCTTGACATCAGTTTGTTTTCTGACCCACTCTTCTTCCTTTTAAGGTCACCGCTATCAATATTCTTCACATGGCTCACTGCGTCATCGCCAAATTAAGTTGAACGCTCTTTGTGAGCCTTCAAGTTTCTGCTCTGTCAGTAATGACCGGTAAGGTAAAGCTGTTACACAGCTTTCTTTCAAGGAAATATTATTATACATATATGCTTATATACACTGTAAATGTGAGAGTGAATGTGTTGAACAAACCTGTCTACAGGCATCCGGAAGTTCTCCACCAATAGTGCAGAGAAGGACCCGCAACTCCGCATCGTGAGCCAAATTTGATGGTTTTTGCTGGGCAAGAAAAGGAAAAAGGTCACACGCCATACATCATAAAAAAAATAAATCAATGAAGAGAAAATCCCACAATGGAACAAACCTCGTCACAATAATCCTCTAAAAATTTCGCGGCAAGCCAGCTGAGGTGGTTTGGTGATAGCAGGAGTGGATTGGCACATGTACTGAAAAAAAAAAAAAAGGTTTTTATTTAATGTTGTCATCAGCTACACTATAACACTGTCTTACACAGCACTACTCCCAAACCTTGTTACAATTTGAATAGGAAATGCCACTAAGGCAGACATTTTGCAAAGTGAGCTTGTTTTTTTAAACCTGCATGTCAAAGCGAAATGCCTTGACATGTTGGTATGTGACAACACGTGAACGCAAAATGCCTTGACAAAGACAAGTTCACATGTCAAAACATTGGCTTCAACAATATTCCTAGCTCAACGATTTTTCATCTATTCAGGCTTCTACGTTCTTCTACGTTCCTTGAGCTTCCGTCTTGTTTCATTAAAACTAAGTCATACCCTAGATGAACACCTTCTCTATATCCATCAGTGTTATAAACATGCTTTCATTAAACATTGCTAAATGAAAAATGCATCATGTGCCCTGTCTCACATGCGATAATTCGTAGTGTATAGTCCAGGCAGGTCCAACTATATTTTATTAAGTATGAGCATGTGAAGATTATGAAGCAGTGAAGATATCGAAAGCACTTTCACTTTGGACCAGACCAGCAATGCTTTGAATGATTCATCAACTCACACCATTCAATTTATCTAGACCCAACTTACTTGCCTGAGATGGAATTTGATCTTCTTTTTTTCATGTTTAGACTGATCGAGAACAGGCATCATTAAAACAAGGTAAAATCTGTTAATCTTGACTGGCGAGTTCAACTGTCTTTGTAACTGTGTACTGCAAGAGTGAATTCTTCCCTCCTTCATGTAAATAATGCAAGACAAGTTGTATGACATGTAGTGTATCACTGCGCTCCTTATGAGCAACAACGCGTGGTCCCTAAAGTACTTTGAAAGTGAACGTGGTCAGTACTACTTCTCTCATTTTTTTTTTAATCTACGTGATGCATGAAAACCACTTTCAAAAAAGATTTAACAAGCAGTACCTAAAGATGCAGAGCAAAATGTGAACATTTTTTAAATCTTGGTTATCTTGATGTGAGTGACTGTGCACACATGCTGACCTGTACTCCACATATACACTAAACCAGTGTCTACTCATTAATTATTCTAACACTGCCCTCCTGCACATAAAGTACCCTTCTGCAACAATTGGTACGTTCATATGGGAGGTACCAGTTGTTCCAGAAGGGCAGTTTATGAGCCAACAACAATGCACGTATACAATGACAGTTATGACCCTGTGATGAAAGTACACTCCTACTCCACCATGACTCCTATCTACCCAAGAAGATCAAGCTTTTTCTAGGAAAGATACACAGATATATCTCCGATGCATCTGTGTATCTTTCCAGGAAAGAGCTTAATTTTCTTGTGTAGATTAGGAGTCACAGTGGGAGAGTGCATTTTCGCCATGTGGTCATAACTGTCACTGCACACGTGCTGTTGGGAATGTATAAGACTTCGGACTCTGTGAAGGTTATTGAAGGGTCTTTACTTTACTATGCCACCCTAAACAAAGGGCCCCAGGCCCGTTTGAGGATACTAATGGTATTTCTGGGCAGCTTGTTTCACTGGCTGCCGAAGGTAGACTCCCGGCACCTTGATGACGCTCTCTCACCTCCGAGGCAATCACATGTTTTAGCTTCGGCTTCTCAGACGCCAGCCACCAGTGTCGAAGATCGAAACATAGCGATGCTCGGTTCGAAAGCAAGAGGTGTGACGACAGGCAAATGCCTCTCACTTCCCGTAACCATTCGAGAGAAAAACTGCGGTCTGTTCACCATCAATTTAATGAACAACACGCCGGTCTTTCACTCGTGGGGTGTGAGGAAACAACATGAAGACACCCAAGGCTGAAACACGGATATATTTCAAAGAGCCCGCGAACCTGATGTCACGCAACAGTATATTGTTTCAGACGGGCAGCTTATGTGATTCAATAACTAAAACAGGCAGCTTATATGATTCAATAAATCAGTTGTTAGTCTGCATTTGTCCTGTCTGCCTTTACCATGGCGTCTCATTTCTAGTGCAGTATAAGATTCAAAACGTCTTACAGACTAACCCCGTGGCAGACACTTCCAGAGTTAATAATGCAGTAATGGGTTGATTAATAAAACAAAGAATAAACTTTGAAGTAATGGGTTGATTATTAAAACAAAAAATGAACTTTGAAGTCTTATTTAATTATTGCATCAAAACTGCATCGTCCGTGCATCAAGCTGACATCACAAATATACATGTTCTTTTGCATTTTCGCAACTGCAGTTTCGCAAAATCTTTTAAAACTTGCTTGGGTCAGTCCTTGTCGTTTTATGAACATACAATACTGTGGCTGAAGCCCATCCACAGGGTGCTTGCTCTCTAAGCCAGTGTAGACGTAATGAAAGTCTATGACGCCACTTAAAGCTAGTGCATAAATTTCATGGTAGTGCTGTCACCTATATTTTGTTTGTGCACCCTTTATTGGTTATTAAACCTGGCGTCATGATAAGAAATGGGCCCTGAAGCCCATAAGTTACCTTTTGGGCAGTGAAGATCCTTTCATTAACAGGTAAAATTTGTTTTCTTTTTTTTTCACATTTTCTCCTAATGACTATTTTTGAAAAAAAAAAAACATCCCGCTTGCATCGCACCTGTATAGTAGTTACAGGGACCACAGGCAAAGTGGCCTTTATAGAGCCCTTATGAAATTATACTGGAACAACTACTACAAGTAAATCTGCGAGGCACCCACTACGCCAAAAATTACAAAGAAATATCTAGCCGTTATCATTCTGCGGAGAAGCAAGGCACCGACTAAACACCTGTAAGACAATATGTGCACATTTTTGATGCTGCGGCTGAAGAATTATAGTAGCACCATGTGTAAAGAGTCTGAAGTTTTTAACCGCCTACTCGTAAAGCAATTCACATCATGCAATGCCGGGTTGTCATTTTACTGTTCTACAATGCTATATTACATATTTTAATGCAATTCCTTGCCCCTACATGGTGCCTGCATGAAACATTATTGTGGCAAAGTTCCACGCACCCACGTGGCTCTGTTGTAGAATTTTGTTTGATCCTATATATATATATATTTTTTTTCATTGCACCTGATCGCAGTTACAGACGCTGGCAACAGCAGCAGACAACGACACCACAAAAATCTACTGTTGTGATCCCACAACAGTGTTCACTCTATAATATTTCGTGCTAAAAAATAAATACAATATGTAGTGATAGTTAGGGCTCATCTACTTCAATTTATTTCGGACAGGCATTTAGCAACAGCGGTGTGCAGCTGCAGTGAATCCCCACTTTGTTTCAGTGTAAACTTCGTGCATGTATGCGTACTGTATCGAGTTTGCATCCCGTTTATAGCAGCGATATTTAGCAATGTATTGTACTCAAGCTCACCTTGATAACGGCAATTTTTAGTCATGTGGTATTGCTTTATAACCATCATAAACACTTGCACAAAAAAAGAAAAGGAAAAGTCCGGTTATCGTGCAAATTTTGAGCAATCCTTAAGGGGTAATGTAGACAGGGATGCAAGATTCACTAGGCCATCACAGCGCCTGTGAATGGTGTAACGAGATGGCAGTACAGCTGCTTACACACTCCTGACCAAGTCGTCAAGATGGGCTTCAGAAGTAGAGACTAGCTTTACCTGCTAGTTTTACCTGTGTAAGAGAGCAACTATAACTTTAAAGGTGTGATAATAGTAACAACATACTAAGTGTAATGCAAATAGTTTTTTTTTTCACAGCCACTTCATACTGTGCAATAGAGTAAAAAAGAGAGAGAGAGAGAGAGAGAGAAAGAGACAGGCAGGTAAACAGGTGGTAACTAATACTTGCGTAAGTGGTACATATGACTGCAACAGGCGTAATTAACCAATTAATAATTAAACAGGCAAAGGCACTACAACTCTAAAAGCCTTAGCAGTTTTGTGTTAACAGCATATACAACACCTAGCAAAGTTCTAGCGCGAAGCGACCTGCTACAACCGCTAAACGTGCATCGTTATCTGGCACCTCTATCAAATGGTGTTAAGATAAGAACACGGAGGGACATTTGTCGCAAGGTAAAGGATAAGTGGCACGTGTAAGCCACTGAGCCGCAAAGTTTGCGACATGATCACTCTAACAGAAATCGTTCGGCACTAAGAAGCCATCAAGGACATTGTCTCTCGAACTACGGAACACCTACCCATCACGGACTCGCAAACAAAAACAATAACAGCACCGTCACAGGAGCACCGAAGGAGGGGGGCGTATTCAACCGGTGTATACCTGAAGGTTGCGGGCAGCGCCGACACTCCGCGAATGTACTCCTTGACGAACCACTTTTGCTCGCGGGAGGTGAACGGTGCACGCAGAGCGGTGAGCGCACAGGCTCGAGCACATTCCCACTGGCCGAGGTACACGTGACTCGTGAACTCTGTCAACAAATTGTCGGCGGAGCCGAGCGTCTCTTCGCTGTAACCGTAATCGTCGGCGCACCTGGCCAGCCGAGACGACTCCGCTGCACTCTCGTCTACCATCGCTTTTAGTGTATCACTCTTCGAGCACAGTCATCGTTTCGAAATGCAGCGCTGGCAAGCACTGCGACTTTGACAACGCCACGACGGATCACGAAAATGGCACACACGCACGGAAGCACAGCTGATCAACGCGCAGCCGCCATTTTTGTTGTCGTAGCGCGACCCTAGGGTTAAAATGTAATATTAACTCTATAGAGCGTGACAACATGTGCTTAGAACGTAATAAAAAGTTTTTTCTCAACAAAAATAATTTGACAACACAAAAATTATTAGTAGAAACATTGACAGTCACAGCTTCATTACTTGACGTTGCTTAAGGTGGCGGTTCTACTGTCGCCGTATTGCGAGTAGTTCTGGAAAAAATACCAGACGGCGCCACCAAGTCAGGACTGGAAGGCCAACATTTCGGAGGTGGACTGCCACACGTGTGCCGGCGCGCCACACTGCATGACGAGGGGGTGCAAATCGCGCTGACACGGTTCGAAGAAATGAGGCACTGAGCAGGGCCTTTTTTTTTTTTTTTTCTCCCCTTCAACGACACCTCCATCTCTCTCCATGCTCACTAGCCCCTGACCCCTGCGGTCGCTGCTTTTCAAGAGATCCCTCATGTAGGCTGCGTAGCCTGCTTGGCCAGCTGCTCTACGTTCCATACAGTGCCGGAATGCGGGGTTGAGTGAAAAACTCTATCGCGGAGGTCACAACAATGTATACAATGGAGATCAAAACTTGGACTATGAGTATTCATGCGAGGTTCAACGGAACAGTTCGTTCTACAAATAATTGTGGTTGTGGAGCATGATGCGGTTCGGTGGGACAGGAGAAGGCAAATTATATTTGACTATGTATACTTCCTTCCCAGTATGGCCTAAGCTTGCAAATTTTCAAAAAAAGAACAACAAAAAAAACGGGTAGTTAGGCAAATCGCGTACTAAGAAGTGCGGCCGCTGTGACTCACGGTGCCCAACACGTGCCGACTGCATAATCATTAGTTTTCCCCACTATACGTAGCGTAATTTATTTCATTAGAATTGAAACTTCAGCAGGCTAGTATGAATTCATGTTTTGGTTGATGCAGCGTTTATTTATCACGTTGCCGTACGCAATCCATCGGACTAGTCGACAAACTATCTTTATGACGAAAATGAAGCAATTACCTCTTGTGTGTCATATGAGCGAGACTCGCACATGCGTGGCCTGAATGGTCAAGGTGCGTTATTCCCTTGTCCAAGGAACGACTTCTCTATTCGCGTACGCTATTTCAACATAATTTTTTTTTTTCCTGTAAAGGTCGTGGCAATAACATGAAGAGTGATCGTTTCGCCCAAATCAGTTATTGACTGCAAGCTCGTAGATTCGAGGCCGTTACCTCAAGCTCTATAAACATCTCATGATAAAAACTGGGGCGGATTCACACAAACCTCCCAGGAGTGCAACAAGGGAGGGGAAGACTTATGGTACAGTGCATCTCCCATGCATCTTTCTACACAGCCGCTGCTTGTATTACTTCTATGTCGTACCCATTTCGAATTCGTAAAGCGCATGCAAGGCAAAAACATGAGTACACAGATACAATAGTTGCAAAGGAGTTGAAGAAAAGGTCTTGTCGCACTGGATAAGGCTTTTGGATGCATGATTGGTCAATTCAAATAACTATGTCGGCTAACATATCTTCAAGCAACGAGTCTTAGTGTTGTGTATATGCTATGCAATGAAGGGCTGTCGCTGTCATGCAGTAAGCAAGATTGAGTCAATACACGATGTTGTGACAATTTATTTAATACAAAACGAGCGTCGGCAGCACTTGGTTACAGCCACGAAGACACCTGAACATCACACACACAAAAAAGCCCGCAGAACTACAACGCATACATTCAGAGAAATGTAAAATCGCACAAAGCAAAAGTACATATAATCACGACTTTCAGATGCGAACTTGTGACAGCAGAGAATGAAGGTGTATGTTTTATTATTATTTTCCGTTATCCTATATCACACACGAACTTTTTACAAAAGTTCATTGGCGCTTCTGTGGTCATGTCTCTCGGTCATTGCTGCTGCAGAACGCACGTGAATGGCTGATGACACACCCGACACAAAGAAGTGAATTGCTACCTCATAGCTCGTTCGAGAAAGAGTCTTTGCTATCGTCAAATCTTAGCCTGCATCTGCCATTCGATATATACAAGGTCGTTCTCCTAATGTGCAGTTCTTTAGAGCGAAGCTCTTACGCACATACTGCTGCGTTGAGCGGCGGCGCCTGTTGGCGTCGTCGGCGTAACCAATAGAGCGAACAAGGACGAAAGAGAGCGAACGCGGAGTCTGCTGATGTCACTCGCCACTGGCCTCTAACCTCGCCTTCTTCCTCCGTCACGCTCGCTAGCCCCCCACCCCCCCCCCCCCCCCCCCACCCCCGGTAGCAGCTCGCGCGCGTGCAGGGCTGGCACGTGCACTGCGGCTGCCTTCGCTTGTCGTAACGGGGCTCTCGGCATTTCGCTTGGTTCACGACGCCTGCAATGCACAAAGTGGTATGCGTAACGCTCGAGCACTGGCAATTTGCGTGGAAATATGCAAATAGCTACAACTGCAGATGGCCGAAACTACAGACGCACTTGGCGTTGCCCCAACACGAAAGTGCGCTCAAAATCACCATTAGGTAGCATCGTCACAATTGATGAATTTCTTGACAGTGCACGCGCCCAGCAGTCCTACGACTCAAGGCTGTGGAAAATGTCCGAGTCGCCACTCTGCTTTGCCTCCTTGTTCTTCATCGAAGCTCGTTTAGACTGCTGGTGTGACTCAATTGCTTTCACATTCCACTGTGGTCTGCGTATGGGCATGCTGCGCGTAGTACGGGGATCTACAATTTCAGGTAGCATGCAGTCTCTGTAAAATCTGATTAGTTGTGGAAGCATTCTGAATTTCCAAAAGTCATTATCTCTTTCGATCCGCTGTACGTGGATGTCCTTCGACGTGCAGACGACGAAGTGGCAAAAACTTCTTTTAGTGATATGCAGCTGGCCTTGCACTTGGTATAAATAGTTATGAGAGCAGCTCAGTTTGGGTGGTTCGTGTACTTGGCTCCTTTGATTGTACTTTTTAGCTGCCTTGGATGGCTCCATGTCCTTCGCAGTGAATGGGCACTTCACCTCCACGATACCGTCGCTCGCAATTAATCCGTCTGGCGACGCCGCCAAGAATCCGTACTCTGGGTAAACAAATAATCCGCAAGGTTGCACAGCAGTTTCCATTTCTTGCTCGTATAACCGGAGTGCAACACGTTCCTGTTGTCTTTCATGCTCAAGAGCGGCACTGGTGAAATTTTTCTTATAGAGCAGGGTCTTCACGAGCGTGTCACACGGTGTCCACTCCCTCCTTCGGCATACTGCATAGAAATTCGACGCCGTTAGGCGCATGTTTCTTTCAAAATGCCATGTAGGATTATCAGCCTGTCCTCGAGTAGCCTTCTCAATTTCCATCTGCTGTTTCTCATTCACCTGCAAGCTTGCTAAAACAGCCCGTTCTTTCTCGGCATATTGCTCTGGTGGCATGTCTGGCTGCTGGCAATTCGGACCATAATGAATCATTGAGTCGTTCACCGTAGACTCCTTGCGCTTATGCTGCTAGTGGCCATTTTCTTCAAACAGTTTTCTTCTGAGAGACTCTTTGTTTGCTTTCTGAGCCGTCTTCTTGCTTGCGTAACGCTTCGAGACGGCTGCGGGACTCTTGCAGGTTACAGCCTTGGATGTGGTGCAGTGCCACTGTGGCCCCAGCTGAAAGCTGAGCCCAGCTCCATAACAGCGGTGTTCATTCATAAGAGCCCTTTTGACATCTGTTGATCTGTTTACCACCAGATAGTTTGGCTACCAGTGCCATGACTGCCTCGGCAAGATTACTTGTATCATCTGTCACAAGACGGTCAGCTTTTTCGGCAATTATATTGGCAGCGGTAACTATTTTCATTTGTAGCACCTTAGGCATGCCATCATAAATGTTGTCACCTTTGGTGCCATCACAGAAGTAGTCTTTGCATCTGTCGTGGCAACCAAAAACATGTTTTGGGCCATTTATGAGGTCACCCGCAAGCTGGCGCGTAAGGTCGGCTTTCTGGGCACGCTGCTTTTGTGCAGTACCCTGTACATCTCTAAGAATGTTTGCGTAGTGCTTTATGGCCTTCCGTGCACCATTCTTTAACCGCTTAATCCTAGGGCCACTTAGGAAAGCTGAACTGCCCTTTGTTTCTTTGGCTATGCCATAGAGCCGAGTGGTGTAACATTTCACAACATGGTTTGCACATTCCTTCTTTTTTACAAAGCGCCCGTACTCCACTTTCGTGAGTATCTGATGTAAAACGGACAAATCCCCGTCCCCTATGAATATCCGGTATTCCACACCATGCATTTCCACGCTTCTCTGGAAGCCTTCAACGATAATATCCGACTCCATGGCCCCTGAGCTTTGGTTCCAATTCTTGTAGCACACATGGTCTTTCTTGCCATTTCCCGTCCTAGAATAGTGCTCACAGGTACTGCACAGCTTGTTTCGTACTCCTAGGTAAAGGAGCTTCTTCGTGCGTTCTCGTATAATCACAGCGACACCAGAGTTGGCGGAATACCGGTGTCCATGACTGCGGTGTGACCACCCACCATCGACAATCACTGTAATATAGGGGGTTATGCCATCCTCACAGAAAGCTCCAGCTTCTTCCGCGAGTTTTTTTAGGGGCGAAGCTCCTTAGGGCGTGGGCTGTGCGTCCCCTGTAGCCTGTATGTAGCCACCTCTAGTTTAGTTCTTGCAGTGTTCACTAGATGGCGGTACCGTCCCCTGTATGTAGCCACCTCTAGTTTAGTTCTTGCAGTGTTTACTAGATGGCGACGTCGTCGTCTGCAAAGCCTTGTAGAATGAAGCGTGCGTTGTTTCGTTCGATGCGCGCGCGCGCATGTGTGTGTGTGTGTGTGTGTGCGTGCGTGCGTGCGTGTGTGTGTGCGTGCGTGCGTGTGTGTGTGTGTGTGTGTGTGCGCGCGCACAGGGGATGCCACAGGGGATGCGAGATGGGAAAGGGCGGTACTTGGAGTGTTAACACTCCAAGTACCGCCCTTTCCTAGTGAATTCACTAGATGGACGCACAAACGGATGGACGGACAGACAGACTAGCAGACGGACGGAAGGATGGATAGACGCGCGGACGTACGGTCGGATGGACAAACGAACAGACAGACAGAAGGATGGATGGACGGACGCACGGACGGACGCACGGACAGATGGACGCACGGATGGTCGCACGGACGGGCTGACGGGCGCTTCGCCCCACTCATCATCATTTACTCCGTGGATATGCTGTGATTTTTTTTCTTCTTTTCCGGCTTTTATCATTTGGTCAAAAAGGACGGTTTTCCAGCACTGCAACAAAACAAAAATTACAGCAGATTACAACGTCGAAATTGTTTTCACAATAGCGATGCCGCACTTTGTAATTGCGTCAATGCGTGAGTGAGCTCCTAGACAGGACGATTACTGGCTCACTTGTAATCCTGAGATCTAACGATCAATCGTTTCATTGTATACGACGAAATGTTGCAGAGAAATTCTCATCGTGCCGTGCTCCCGTTCAAAACGCTTGCCATGCACGTGCCACTGTCGCTTCACGTGAATTTTACTAAAAATAAAGCGCTGTACATCCTCCATCGTCTTCAGAAAGAGAAAATAAATATTTATCAGCTTATTTACCTTTCCCAGGGACTCCTCCCGGCGTAGAAAAGCCCCTTTGCTCATAGCGGAAATTCCCATGACTGCCATTGCTTCCTCGAACTGCGAGTGGCCCGATCCGATACTCATGAATGCCCAAACAGCAGCATCATTGACTCCTACGTTTGCTTTGTCAGTGAGGGACGTTGGTTCTGTGACGGGGTCAGTCGTCAACTTTCTGATTTCCTGACATTCACTGCAGGTAAAAGTGAGCTCCGACCAGAGCCCCACTCTCCGTTATTTCACGAGTGCAAAACGTCCAGTCAGCTTAGGACAGCTGTGGTCGTCGAGACTACGAACAGCGTTCACGAAATGGGCCAGCGACACAACTCGTCTTCCGGTGATGATCGGCTCCTCTGGCTGAGTTGTGACGCTTGTCTCCAGACTCAGGCCCGGCAGCGACTCTTCGACGATGTCAAAATTGTCCCAGTGTTCAGACGTTGCGTCATCCTCTCTGGAAAAACCACTGTCGTCCAAGCATGGCGTACAGGCGGCGCTTTGGCGTTGCTCTCTGTTGCTCTCCGGCGAATTCGCCTTCCTGAAAATTTTACAGGAAAGTACATCATGTGGTTAGTGAGCTAGCACCAGATGCACAGGGATCGTAGCAACTACACTTCCAAAGCTGGCACGAATAAGCTGGTGTGGTGAGGGACCGATGCAAAACTCAAAATAAAAGGGCGAGTCCTTTTCTCAGTCGGGATAATTACTGAAAAGAATTTCTCCCGACAGTGGGTTGCTTGAATGTCAATGAAAGGCAAGATAGACGATACAGGTGTTTGTGCTGCCTTCATTGAACCTAATCAATCAATCAATCAATCAATCAATATATCAATATATAAATTAAATAATTTTTTTTCCCAAAAAAAGCATATTTACGGTAGAAAAGGGTGGCCGGGCTAAAATAAGAACCATTACGGATTGACAAGTGCGTAATAGCATTTTGAGAGGATGGTTGGGCGGATAGGGCATGTGACACGCTGTGTGCGCGCGTGTCCGTGCGCTGTGGGATAAGCGCTCGTGGGTACAGAATCATTTGATTGGGTGCATCTCACATCTTTTTTTTTTTTACTTTGAGCACAGTCTAGTTTTTATAGAACACTTTCTCAGTTACAGTGCTCAGCTCTCAAGCACGCCGCGTGCTTGCGACAAAAGCAGCATCAGACAAAAATGCCGGGCTTTGCCACCACTGCTCAATGTTCCACCCGCAAATATGCTGTTTGATCAGACAAGTGCAGGTCAGAAAGATAGACGGAGCCCAAGGTCACGACAAATAAAAGGCGCCCAAGCAGACAAACACGCAAGCAGGAGCGTTGTGACGTACACACAGCGTGCTGTAGGTCCTGATTCGCCCAGACCTCTCGTCACAGCGCTAAGAAGCACCTACCCTCAGAATTTTGTACATACACGGCAGCGACATTTCAGATACACAAAGAAACAAGGCTTTTTATAGACTCCACACGTCCGCAGGTCTTAGCACTTTCTTCTCACGGGCGCGCATTATCTAGGAGTGACTGCGTGTCCAGCGTCCTGTACACGCACCTAAAGGCGCTGCAGCGACAAAGTACGGGCTATAGCATTGGACAGTTTTGTTCGCCTGAAGCCGTAAAACAGAAGTTCAAACGAATTTGTCTTTGTACATATATAGCCACCAAAACTAACATGCTAACATAAAATAGAGTAAAGTATAGCAGTGTAGCTGGCAACGTAAAGCTGATCATAGAAAGAATGTCGCCCACAACGTGACAATTTGCCTTCTGCTTCCTTCTTTCCTTTACGGAGCCCACATTGCGTCCAGGGTACAAAACGAGCTCGCCACCGTATCAAGAATAGGCTTCTATAATGTTTTTTTTTCTTTTTGCTGCTGTAGCTGCGCGCTTTTATTATCAAAATAAACCACAGTAATCGAAATGGTCTTACCTTGAATGGTGTGAAAATGCAGCTGCTGCCCGTGCTCGACATGTCGCGATGGCGGCTCTCTTCCTCTTCCGTGAAGCTCTATCCTTATGATTTGTCATGACTCATGTGAAGCCCGGCAAGGCACTCGTGCTGCAGGTACTCCCACAGGCACTCGCAGCGCACGCTAAGCAAACTCTAAAGAAGCCCTCTACGCGAGCAGTGGACACCAGAGGATGCGGCAGAAATGCGTTCTATCTCTAGTGTCTCACGCTACTACAACACTGTCGCCATCCGTGCTGAGCACGCATTTTTGTGTCCGTCCTCATCCTCACTCAGTCCGTCTCCCCCCTCGTCATGCTGCCTCGCACCTCCAGGCTAGCACAGTGGCTGTTATTCCACATCTCCTGCCCTCGTGCGAGGCCATCTAGACTATTCAGGTGTTAGTGGTGTCTCCTTGGGCACCCCTTCTTCCCATGGAAGGATTGGTCAGTCCATTGACCTCCGGGAAACCCTTGTCTCCCCAACATCGCAATTAGACGACGTTCCTGTAGGAAACAGTACCGCATTCGAGCTGCGTTTGCATGAGTGCGACAGAATGCAACGGCAGCGCACCACAAGCAGTGCGATAAGCTACAATTTACATGGAGCGCATGAACTGTCCCGAGCAAAGCCCCTACATTTTTTTTTCTCTTCGTTGCTAAGTACCGACAGCCATTGAAGCGCCGCCGAGGAATCTCATTGTGGAGCGCTCGTTTGCGGTGGCCATGTTCTTCCTAATGCTTTTCCAGCACCTGGTAAAACGCGTTCCTCGCTCACTATTGACGGGGGACTAGCTGGACGAGAAAGGCGCGTCGCGTTCGCACATTGTTCACTGATAGGCGCGTGGCTAATTTACTTATACGTACGTGGCTTTGGAAGTCTTCCTAGTTAGGAA